TTTAAGGATTTAAGTCTTCAGGAACCTGTTTAGACTTGGCCTAGCTAAGCTGCATAGAAGGAAGAATTTTGCAGGGGCAGGCTGTCTCATAAACAAGTCTCTTGTGATGGGAGAAATTGCAGCACAAGCACTCTGTTAACCCATCGCTTTGTATTCCACAGATCACTAACTCCCCCAAGTCACTTTCTCGTCCAAACTCTTCTGCGATCCCTTTGTCTCTTCCTTTGTGTAAGATCCATCCCCCCAACTTTCAGTTTATTCTTTGCTCCTCTTTGCTTCGATTCCATGTGTTGACTACCCATTGAGTTTTAACCCATGTACCACAGTATCTGGTTTCTTTTACCACTCTGGACAGTATCCAGTACTGCTGTTGTGTGGCTGCTCATTTAGTTGTACCCGTGGGACCTGACACCAGTGCAGTGAGGAGTAAACACTTCCTGAATGTGTGGAATGCCAGGATAGATTGGTGGAGCTCCTTTCTGCTCCCTCTGCTGACACGGAAATGAGAATTTCCACTCATTTCTGGTTGTTTTAAGAATCACAGTGTTACCAGTAGATCCTGGGTTCAGATAGCACGACAAGCCACAGTGCTATGGAGAATGAACAAGCTGTTATCACAGATTTTAAAGACCAAACTTACCATGGTTAAATACCACAGCTGGATTTAGACAGCACGACAGGCCAGCTGTCATAGGATCTGGAGGAAAGGGAATATCAGCCCCCCCCACACACACACACACAATTTCTTGGCATCCTTCAGTGGGATTGCAGTCAAAATTCAAAACTTTGGTTATATTTGAAGGCTTTTGTAGCACATGCACCAAAACTCCATTCAAACTTCAACCTAAAAGGGGAATTAGTTCTCCATAAACTATAGCATGCTTGACTATATACATCACAGGAGGGCTCTTCCCCTCTTCAGGAAACAACCATCGTTTCCAGAAGCCCCTGAATGAAAGGCCTGTGATGAGCCCAGGACTGTTGCTTGCTGTCCCAGTAGGCTCTTGGGTCAGCTTCTGTCTAGCACACAATTCTGTTCAATCTGTGAGGCTTGCTTGCTCTCTACAACAGAACTTGCAGGTTGCTTCTTCAGTCCAGCCAGGGGGTTGCTGAGAGAAAGAGCAAGCAAATGCTTTCTTTCCCCCAAGGATGCAGAGTTAACTAGCTTCTAATCTGACTGCACCCCAGTGGAGAGCCATGAGCGTACCGATTCCTGGTCTCTCCTAAGTCACAACCTCCCGTGCTCTCTTCCTTCCGTGCCTGCCTTTCCACACACCCTGGACCTCCTCTGCTGTCATGGTTGCAGCTTCTCCTGTGCATTCTCCTCCTTCCCTCTCCCCGGCCTTCCTTTTGTCCCCCCGCTTTTCCCTTTGCTCCTTTCCTCCCAGTCCCGCTTCAGGTGCCACTGATTTTGGCAGGGGACAGACAACAAGCGGCAGGCAAGGCAGAGCGTGGGACCTCACTGGCTTGAGGTGTCTCTCTTGCCAGCTGCCCTGCCCTTGCTAATTGTGTTGGCCTGAGAGTCTGTCTGGCTGCAGGCACCCACAGCGGGGCCAGGTGCAGCTCGTTGGGTGTCCGGTAAGCGGAGGCAAGCCCTGCTGTCCCTTCACACAGACGGTGACCCAGCAGCCATCATGGCTTGCTGTGTTGTTTGAACATGACCACCGAGTCCACGTACTAGTGTTTGCTTACAAACTTAGTTTGGACAGCTATTTAAAATTGACCAAATTGGCTATTTGCGATAGCTGTGCTTAATCCCTGAATGGGGATTTTGGGACTCCTTTGTCCCAGTTCAGGATTCTGCTATCCCACACTGTTTCAGCATTTATCTTTTAGGTATTTCTGTTATAAAATAGAGTGTTGTTACCCTTTTCCAAACAACGTCCCAGCACTTCTGCCCCCCCCCCCCCATCCTTAAAATACCTTGTTTTCTGTTAAACCATTTGCTGGTATCTTTCCTGGATCTGACGATTACTGTTTGTTAATGCCTTTTAAAAGGCTAAAATCCAGCCAGTGTCAGATCTCCCTCCTCCTATCTCTAGCTCACACACTACCAGTGCTAAATATATATTAAAAAATGTCCACATGAATCAACTGAATGGTGCTCAGATGTTTCAAAATCCTTTAGATTTTCATTTACTTAAGGTCTTGTCAGCAACTTGTTTTTAATGCTTGTTGTTCACCATAAATAGCTAAAAAGCTTTCATTTTTAGCTCTTGAATAAGCTCTTGAGTACAGCTCAGTGAACTGAAATTATTATTTTGCTCTTTCCTTTTAAAGTGCAACTATTTTAAACACTGGAATTGATTTTTATTCATACTAAATCAAGAGGGTGTGTATATCTTGAAACAACGTATTTGGTACAGAGCTTAGTAGAGGGTTACCGTGCATATCACATGAGTGCAATTTTGCAAGCAGTTAAGGATTTTTAAATACAGTATCACATGCTTGTTTGTTTGTTTATTCATATCCCCCTTTTTCCTCATGCAAGGAACCCAAGGTAATTTACATAGTCCTCCTCCTTTTCTCCATGTTATCTTCACAACAATGCTGTGAAGCAGGTTTGTGCATCATTGCAGGGAATAGCAGCCTATGACTGTACTATCAAGTGTACTTGATGCTATAGTTTGTAGGGGTCAAAGTTTTGCATGACTGCATTTTTCTGTGTGTAACCTAAAAGTATGCATGGAAGAGGGTAGGAGGTGGTTTTGTTTTTGTTTGTTTATTTTACTTGTACAAAGTGTGCATATATTCTGGTGTAAACATTGGAATGAAAAATGTATTATTCTACTTGCATTTATTGTGAGTATTTAATGTTGCTGTTTTACTGGTAGGCCATATCAGTGGCTGCTGTCCCTAACAGCATTGTGGAGTTGCACAAATTAAAAAAAAACAAAACAAAATCCAGTGATTTGCTGTTGGAATTTGGTGGTGGGAGTTGAAATGGAATAGCCAATCAGTGCTTTTTCCCATTGCCCCAGCAAGTAGTGGCTCTATTGCTCAAGGGTTTATGCTAGCAGAATACCATTAGTGCTAGTGCTGGGGCACAGCTGGATGCTGCCCATGGTATAGAATTTACTGTATGGAAACATGAGCTGGACATTAGAGTCAGAGAGGAATAATGCTAGGAAGTCTTATAAGGAGCAGGACTGAAGATTAAGTGACCAGGAATGGAGCAGAGGCAGATTTCTCCATGCATGATCCAAGGGAGGTGAAGTGCTGGGTACCTGAACTAAAGGGCAGGTATAAACTTAGAAAAAAAGGATACAAAAGGATGAAGGGCCCTGGCCTGGATTTAGGATGAGCTAGAACAAAAGAGTCAATTGCTTAACTTCGGGGAATAAAAAGGAATCTCGGAAGCTACTGATACTTGACTGAGTTAAAGCTAGCAGACTGAACATTAGAAAGCCCTGCATCTATTATGCAAAACAGATGGATTTCATGAGGGGAGTCCACATGGTGCTTTAACCTACAAATCCAGTTTGGGGTGAGGATGCTCCATGATTAAGCCATAATTTGCGTCAAGCCCTTGGAGTGGCCACTTCGTGTCTGGCATAGGTTGTGACTTGGTAGTTAAAATGGTATTTGCATGTGTTCAGAATTCCCACAGAGCAGCTCTTTTTAATTTAGTTGGAAGGACATACACCAGCGATACTCCTGACCAGGTCACTCTTGTTCCTGGCATCCTTCAAATGCCTTGCCTTTGCTGCATTTTCCGGAACAGAATGGATGCATTATCCAAGATACAAGGGTGAGAAGGGCCCTGGTTTAGTGTGATAGAGCAAATGTTTACATTGTAGACAGTCCCAAGTTTGACTGGACTCTGGCATCTCTGGGTAGAGATGGGGAAAGTCCTGCCTGAAACTCTGAAGAGCTGCTGCCAGTGAGCATCATTGGTATGGAGCCAGATGGGCCAAGTGGTTGTCCAGAATAAGGCAACTCTTCCTGTGTTGCTCTGACACCAACCAAAAATGTCACCCACTGTATTTGTGTACATAAAGCCATGATGGCTGAGCATCGCTATAACAACGGAGCACACACATTTATGTATGAGTTGAGCCAGCTGACAAATTGCAACGGCCCACTGACTATCCTATGCCTGCTTGGAGCTCTCAAGTCAGCTCCCATATTTAAACGTAAAGTACTCATTGCAGATGGCTCTAAAGAAGCCTTGGCATGTTTACCAGCCCTTTTGACCATATCCAGCAATTGCTTATCCCAAATATTGTCATGCTACAGTACAAATCATAACTATGTCACTTCACCATTTTTCCAAAATACACTGGGGATGTAAGGCAGATGACCAGTGGTTACACTGAATGACCATATTGATGTCAGTGGCATTCACATGTGAAGAAGAGAAAGATGCTGTGGTCCCCATAGGTTGAGGGCTTCCTACATGTTCTTTCAGTGGCACATACATGTGTATGTGTGTACATACATGCACACACAATATAGTTTGCAACAAAACTGTGGTGTGGTGAACAGAGAATAGGGGAAACAGGCTGGCTGGCTGGCTGGCGGGCTGGCTTAGGTAACCAGGTAAGGGAGAACAATCAATATCATGTCAAGAGGAATACTATTCTACCAGTAATGAAAACACTATTTTGAAGTCCTGCAGAACACAAATAGCCTTTAAAAGAAAATTGCCTTCTCTTTTTCCAGACCAACACTTTTGGAAAATCTTTCCAGCTACCTCCATGGACCTGCACCCTCACCATGCAAACTCCTGATATTTCTTGATTGCTTTGCATCTTTATCTGTATACAGACTATGCATGCTTTGCTTACTGAGTTTAAGTTTAGTGGATTTACTGGCTTTTTATTTGTTTGGTAGGAAAGTCCTAAGACACTGGCTTAGATTCATAACTAAATGCACAGCTAAATCCCTTCCTTGTAGTCTGTTTGTTGTTGTTTCTTCAGGGGTAAAAAGTAGAATATATAGATATATGTGTATGTACGCATTTACAAACTCTCCAACTCCTTTCCTTCTTTTTCAAGGTCTGGCTTACATGCCTTTTGAATTTGTCTGAGCTGTGCATGTCAATGATGCATTTTGAATTGAAATGATGCTGGAAAACATTTGGCTTCTCCTTTCACTGGAAGACTGAAAGAAGACTAATGTGGTCTTGACTAGCGTCAAAGGAGATTGCCAGAATCTAGCTGCAGTGATGAGTTCAGAGGAGAAGGGTATCTCTCCTGCTCACAAAACCTCTACACCATCTCATAAAAGTGCCTCTTCTTCATCCTCTTCTCAGAGGGACAGCAGACAGGTGAGTGAAAGAATCTATGTTCTTCATCCACATTGAAACTCTCCAGCTTCTTTAGTTGGTTCCATATGACTTTCATTGTGTAACAACCACTTTTGGTGGTCGGGTCTGCTCCCATCCAGGCTGCTTCCTGCCACTGATGAATCTGCACAAGATCCTCCCTAATCCTCTCCCCAGTTTTCTTTATTCTGGATGGCTGGCCAGCAGCCAAGTACCATTTTTATTTTCCAAAAATGCCTTTAAAGCTCACATGGAGCTGAAAAACAGCTGCATCAGGGAAGTTTTCTGCTGGAAAACAGGAATTTCAGGAAAGTTCTTCTTTTATATTCATTTCCCAGCTCCTGGCTGGCTGGCAAGAGTGCAGTTTTACTGCTGTTCAGATTGTGTGGGGAAGACTCACTTTGCGCTCTCGCTTCCATGGTGGCAGCAGCATGCACAAGAGGGAAACGGAGTGGCAGGTTCAAGGACAGTATTAACAGAAGTTAGGGGTGTGAGTTTATTCCTAGTGTAGTTTTCTTTATCTTGCTCAATGAACATTGACTGGCTTTGTAAGAGAAGATAATTTGAAGGAAGTTCACAAAAGGGAAGTTGCCTGTCCCTTCCTTTCCCCCTGCATTTATGGCCCTGAGGTGCAGGCTGATGGGAGGAGAAAATTGCCTCAAATTGGGTGGACCCTCATAAATTTTACATTATCTCAAAATGCAAGCCACTGAGTGTGTATGTGGGAGAGGGATGCCTGTTCCAGTGCATCCCTCCTGCCTCCCCCATATGCATTCAATATATCATAGCTTTCCCCAACTTTGCATTTTCCAGACACATTTTGACAACAACACCCAGAATTCCTAGCCAGTGGCCCTGCTGGATGGGAATTCTGGGAGTTGCAGTTCAAATACCTCTGAAGACCACCAGGTTATCTTTTCTAACTATGAAACATTGCTGCATATATCATAAACATTATACAAACACTGTCTGTCTGTCTGTCTGTCTGTCTGTCTTTCTTTCTTTCTTTCTTTCTTTCTTTCTTTCTTTCTTTCTTTCTAAAACTTTGGTTTAATTTACTGTTGGGCTTTATGCTCTATTTTTTCCTGAATTTTTCATTTCTTTAGGATTTGTTTAAGTCATATATTCTGATGACTCTGCTCCAAAGTATTCACTAACTGTTATTTCCTCCCACAAGTCTTGAAGCAATAATTAACCCTGGAATGCATGCACTGTCATTGTGATGGTTTCAACTGTACAGCTTGACTACCCACAATACAGTTGTGGAAAGGGTAATCACAGCTGTACAGCAAGCCAGATGTGAGCAAAGCCCTCATTCCTTCCCTCCTCTCTGTCAAAAGCAGGACAGAAGTAATGTATTTTTCAACCATCACCACCCAAACTAGAGAGTAGAGGAAAACTGGCTTATCTCTTGTCCTGTTTTGCCTCAAGCAGGATGGGAAAATATGCTCCTTACTTTTTCCTACAGAAGAAAAGAAGAGTGGGAGTTTTGCTGAGGAAACTAGACCTTCATATCTCCCCTCAATTTATAATGGCAGTGGTAACACAGATGCCTTTTCTCACCCAAGCAGCCAAATATGGTTATAAATCGTAGTCTGTGGATTGGTGGGTGGAAGATTGCCATAGTGATTGGGTCTGGATGACATGCTGCAGCTCATTGTGGGCTCTTATTAAACAACTCTTACATAACCTAAACAAGCCATGAGTTCCATGAGAGTTGTTTCGTCCTTGCATAAGCCATGCTTACTGGGTTTGCACGACATATCTTTCCCCGCGCTGGGCTTGCATATTCAAAATGGTGCCACACCCACCATAACCACAGTAAAATAACCCAGCTGAGTTGCTGTCTTAAGTAATGCAAACAGCACCATTGTGTGCAATTCTGTGCCTGTATTACTTTGCTGAGTTACATACACTGTGTTGAGAATTGGAATCTCAGTTACCATAAGTTACATTTTTTCTGTATATCTGATAATTTACTTGATCTTTCTTTTTCAGTTCATCGGTCTGGGGTAGTAAAGAACAGTTCTGTCCATTACTTTCATTGTAATTTGAGTCCTTTCCATATTGTCCAAATAGGCTGGGGTGGGACATGGTGGCAGCCCCGACTCCCTCACAGTATGCTTTGTGTGCAGCCTCTTCCTTCAAACAAACTGTACAAAGTTCTGCATACATGATCAGGAAACCTGCTCTGTGAAAAGGCCTTGGGTCAAATCAAAGCGTGTGACAGACACATATGTAAAGTTTGTTAATTTTTTAATTCCCTTGATCTGGGTTAAACCTGTCAAAATGTTTAGTTCACAACAAAAGAAAACTGTCATCAGAGTCTCTATGGGGAAATCAATCCGTATGAGCAATTACGCAGGCAAAATATAGTTTCATTTTATGTGTGTTGTAATGGTAATACTCCTTCATATAGATTTGCAAATCCTCTTCTGAAAGATAGTTTCTTGGATTTAGGGTGTATTTCTGCAATATTTTATTTTCTAAGGATGCTTTCCTTTAAGGGGATCCACCTGCTCTGTGTCAGAATGGCATTGAAGCTATACAATTAGGAGTTTAAAAGGGCAGAGAGTTCAAGTAACCACTTGACATTTCCATAGTACAAGTATTGTGCAGTTACAATCTCTTGAGGAAACAGTTGTAGAAATGCGTATCAAGATTTCTGCTGTGCCACTGAAGGTATCTTTCTGTCTGTTTATATCTATATCACACAGTAAAAAGAGCATGGAAATATTTATGGCCTCAGTAGTTCAAGTTTGCAGATTTCTGCACCAAACACAATGCATAAGACACCACCTAAGAACAAAAATGCAGAATATATATTCACACTCAGAGCAAGATAGGGAAGGCCTGATTTCTTCTTCTTCTTGACAAAATCCAAACAGCATGTAAAAGACCTGGGAATCATCCAGGCATTCCTTTGCATCCAGTGAGCAATCCTAAGACATGCAGAGTGGCGTGGCACTTGGCAGCTTGCTGCTGCCGGCGACAGTCTCATCTGCCCCAGCCCCGCCTTCTGCAGTCTCTGTGTTGGTGGGGGGCGTTTGTAGAGAGGCCCCGCTGTGTGAGCACCGGTGCCTTCTGTGATGTGGAACTGGGAAGGTGCAGGGTTCCATGTCACGGGGACTCCTTCACGCAAAGTGCAAGCTCTCTGCCAGAGATACGCTTCCTCACCTGTCAATAGGGTAGATCAGTGGTGGCAAACCTGTGGCATGTGTGCCACAGCAGGCATGCAGAACCCTCTCTGTGAGCATGCGAGCCAAGTTGCCCCAGCAGCCGAGCAGCAGATAACAGCGCACATAGGGCCATGCGCGTATTCAGAAAGGAGTAGCGGCGCCAGGCGATGATGTCATGAGCTACGACTTATTAGCCGTGATTCATCCGAGCTTTCGCATGGCCTGTCAGTGTGCTGCCAAGGATATACATATATTTGCTTGGGCTGGCTGTGAGTTGTATTTTTCTAAACTAAAACCTCAGTATTCAGTGTGTACAGCAGTGTTGGCACTTTGCGATAAATAAGAGGGTTTTGGGTTGCAGTTTGGGCACTCGGTCTCTAAAAGGTTCCCCATCACTGGGGTAGATTGTTGCATTCCACTCCCTTTGCCGCCCTCTCCCCCAGTGCATTTGGGAGGAGGAATACTCAACATAGGGATATAGTGGAAAGCAGATATCTGAAGTGGCAAATGGTTAAATCATACTTGTTTTGTTGAACCAATCGAGGACGAATTTGAGGGTCGACTGAGTCCCTTTCCCTGAAACAATGATATTTAGGCTTGCCCCTCTGTCTTTCTTTCTGTTGATGTGAGAATAAAGGTAAAATAAAGTAAACAAGAAGCCAGCATAGGAATATGGGAAAAACACTGATGAATGCAAAACTATGGGAAGAAATAGTGTATCAGAACTCAACTGAATAATATATCCTGCCTATTTAGATGTTTATTTCATTTAGTTGTTTGAGTGAATTTACATTTTGGCTTTCCATCTAAAGATAAACAAGGCAGTTAATCTTGAGAGTAGCAGTTATATATTGCCTTGTGACTCTTGGGTGATGTAATTAACATTCATATAGGCCTTCGCAGCTATGAGCTATGAAACACATTAGGATCCTCAGTATTGACATTCTTGAATTGTGCAGTAGGAAAAACGACTTTGGTGATGGTTAATTTGTTTCTGGGAACACGGTACATTTCTAGAAACCATGACAGCCTTTGGACTTCGCTTTATACAAAGAAAATATATTTTGTATGACATGACATTTGCTCCCCTTTTGTTTCTGTTTTGTTTTAGAGTGGCCATGTGTTAGAGCGGAATATTTCTTCTGGAAGCACAGATCTGGTAATTAGCAAACAGTTGCTAGAGAATGAACCAGTCACTGTATCCAAAGTAAGTGCAGTTATGGGGTATTTACCAGTAGTTAGTGTGGAAAATAGATGGCATATTTAATGTGGAACTCCTGTGTATAAACTATTTGCCTTGTTCTGCTGCTGGTGAGCTGCCTCTGTTTAGGGAACGAATCATCCCCATTAACGTAGATTGAGTCATGACCAACCCTTATGCTTTCAAAAGAAGAGGAGAATAGTTTGGAAATGGAGTAGAAAATGTAAACATGTAAGCAATTTGAGTGAGGACCCATCTTTCTAAAAAGCAAGGGCTGTGTCTGTTATAATGAAGTAAAAGCTGGTTCATTTTTTAGTAAGACACAGAGCACCAAGACCTTAGGGAAAGGGAATCACCAAGGTTTAGAAATAAACAGTAGCAAATAACCAATTTGCGCTGATTCAAATGCTAGATGGGTTCTATCCATTTGTAAGTACCCAGCTGACTGAAGCCATCTGCCAGCAGAGCTGGGAGGGAGGCAATTTTCTGTGATTGCTAACTCTTCAGAGCAGATCTGGAGGGTTGAAAAATGCCTCTTTCTCTGTTCTACTGACAGATCCTTTCCAGTCACAGAGTAGCCAGAATTGGATAGAACCTCATGTTTTTAGCTTACCACATTGATCTAACAAGGTCTGTGGGCACACGGAAGCAGGTTATGTCATGTATCCCCTTGCTTCACAACTTCAGGGTGTATATTTTATTGATGATCATTTTATTTAGGTGCTTTACGATTTCTAAAATAAGCTGTTTTGAATTCTTGAAAGCAGTTAAGTAAAATGCCTATATAAATAAATATGTGATGTTCTGAAAGTATGAAAGCAGAATTATCAAGAGTATTAGGAACACAATAACAAATACTTTGTTTGTATATTAATGTCTTGGAAGGACCAAGTTAAACTGAAGCTGTCCATGTGTCTATTCTTGTTTTGGTCTCATCCACAAGAAAATAACAAAGGCAAATTAAATAAAACTGAACAACTGCAAGCTTATTCAATAATAAAGGTGTAATTAGTCTGTACAATTCACATAAGGCATAATTAGTTTATATAACTACTTATTGTTGCATTCTAAATACTGACTGCATTCACAGATGGGAGGTCATGAACTAGCAGTCAGTAGTTCGAACTGCTTCGCTGCACATGGCTAACCTCTTAATTTGTTCTTTTATTTTGTGTTTGCTTTTGTATGAGTGATGACTTTTCTTCCACGTGATTTGGAGGACAGAAAGAATTCAATGCAGTTGCAATGTGTCTCTCCCCCCAGCCCCACTGTGTCCCTCTTTGCTTTGGAGGCTTTCCCTCCTGAGCAGACATTGGGGGTGTATGGGGAGGGAATGCTCCCCCCACCGCCGTTCTGCTGACACAACTCAGTGGAGTTGCAGTACTGGATCCAGTCCAAAAGCTTGTAGCTTGTCCACATACGTCATGAGAAACCTCTTAATGAAAGGTAGAATAGCTGCAGTTGTGGCAATGCCCCCCCAGCACCATATCTATATATTCTAGCTCCATGTTGCATCAGTAATGCATCAATGTTCTATTGTTAACAATTAGAGCAGTTCGGATGGGACAGAGATTTTAGTTGTTGCCACGTTTAGGAACACTGAAGCTGTGATATGACGTTCTTGTATCGTGCATCCTGCTGCTCTTCTACCATACAATTGGCTGGCAGCAAAATGTCTGGGACACTGGATAAGCATTCCTACCTATAACGGGGAAAGAGGGCAAAAATTCAACTTCAGAATTCCGTTCAATGTATACTTCCACCCTAAGGACTGGAATTTTTATTCATTTACTTACTTATTTGGCTAAGAGGGGTCTCAAAAAGGTGTGCACTTAGTGTAATGCCCCGAAATTCAATATATTATTTCTTTGTATTAGTTGCTGAGCATGGACATATATCACCCACACCTGTTATTCTTTACTTAGAAGTAAGTTCACTGAATTCAGTAGGACTTGATCCTTTGTATTGCCACTTCAAACGGTTTGAAATTGGATTGGATTGACAATGTATTGTCACCTTGGGGGATTGGAAAACACGGCTCAGAGGAAGCCCACTGTTTCAGACAATGTTGACATTATGAGGTTCTTTGGTGTGTTCCCTCCACCTCCCCTCCCCTGCTCTTCCCTCAGGAGCCAGACAGCTGGGAAATTATAGAAGGCCTGAAAATTGGTCAGACTAATGTTCAGAAACCAGACAAACATGAAGGATTCATGCTAAAGAAAAGGAAATGGCCTTTAAAAGGCTGGCACAAGGTAAAATATCCATTTAACACTCAAGTGCTCATTAGTTCAGATTAAAAAGAAGGGTTATTATTTCTGTGGCAAATTGAATTGCTCTTCCAAATTCCTGAAATACATTTTTACGGTCCATGCGAGTTTATTATATCATCTGCACAAAGCTTTCCTTAGAGGATATATGCTTCCTGTCAAGAACAGATAATGCTTTCTTTGTAATGTTTATCAGAGGAAGTACTACTTGAAGTCCATTAACCCCTGAAACCAGGAAAGCCTTCCCTGCACCCTGTATCAAGCAAGTCATAATCAAATATGCAGTGTGATGGCCCAGAAACAGTGAGCACATAGAGGGGTACATTGGGTGTATTCTTGGGATTTTGTTAAGCACTGAAACGGAGAGTCAAAGGGAACAGCTGACCCTCTGAGCGCTCCGATGTGCTTGCATATTATACCAAAAGAAAGGAGGGAAGTGCCGGCACCATGTTGTGGGGAATTGGGCCCCCTTCATTTTAGTTCGCATTGCTGGAACAATCCAGTGCCCCATGGCAGCATCACAGGAGCAAGCAACATTTCAGCAGTGCCACTCCTTATCTGGTAGTCAAGGAAACAAATTTGCTGGGCTGTGGGTGGGAATTGGTCTTGCTAGGCCAGGGGGAGGCATCCCGGTGCCCTCGTCCCAGAGAGCACAGCCAATGGACCGGAATTATGGGAGTTGTAATCCAAACACTTGAATGGTGCTGTGATGCTTTTTCTGGCAACATAGCAGAAGGGCATTAATTATTGCCTTGGTGCTTATTCCTTCTCTGACCCTGTAAGCTGCTGCACTTAAAAGAGAGAAGATCGGGATGATAGCACTGCTCCACTATAACGTGGCTTCATTTCACCTGAGGTCTTTTAACAACAGCTGAAGGGTCCACAACTCAGTAGATTTCATTATATTAAGCAGTATATAAGAAGTATACTGTATATAGTATATTAAGCAGTATAAATAAATTAATAAATAGTTGTAATATTTCACTTTAATAATTAAGGGTAGTCAATCTCTGCTAGTTTAAAAAGTTATTTGTTTTGAGTTTGGTAGAAATAGCTTTCCTGAAAAACTCTATTTCATCTATGTTTTTATAAATTTACTGATTCATTTCTTTTAATTTTTCCATTATATGTCAGCCCACTTAGGTCACTTTTGTATCTGCTTATGTAGTCAGTACTCCAAAGAGGAAAAAAATCAATATGAAGAGCACTATTCACATGTCACTCAGATTGAATACTTATGAATTAACTATTAAACACAGATTGATATTAATCCAGATTAAATAATTTAGAATTTAGTAATCACAGAGAATGTACATCTGTCTTCATTAGCGGTATTGTTTCAACATTCCAGGTTTTATTTGCTCATTTGCATATTGTTTTTCTGCAGCGCTTTTTTGTCCTGGACAATGGAATGTTGAAATATTCTAAGTCACCAATTGATGTAAGTAAATCTGGAGCAATTGATGTAAATAAATCATGCTGGGTATTGCCTGCTACATCACTTAAATATTGACACTTAGAACCAAAGCACAACCTTGCTAGCAGCTACGATTTGGGGGATTACTCTAGACAGGTGCCCTAGCCTGGATCAGGACCCTGCCAGGAAGTGAGTTGTGAGGCATTTGGCAAGAGTAACAAAAACCTCTTCCCAAGCTAGCCCAGGCCACCAGCAGTGCTGGCCTCCCCACAATGCCCCAGTGGCATAGTGGAGTGACAGACGCTGGATAGCCTTTCCCCTCCTTCCTCCCCCTTTTCCCCCAGAGGATTCCAGTCTGTCAATAGTGACAGCCCCTTTAAAGTGCCCAACCAGCACACTGCAGGGCCTAAAAAACTCTGGGTTTTTTAGTTCAAGAAATTTGGCAATCTTTAAAAAAAATCTAATTAATTTTTAAGTCAGACTTGTGCAAACATGTATAGTTACACTTGAAATAGCAAGCCTCGCCCGAGTAGTGTCTGTGGGGATGCCTGCTCTCAAAGTGCAGCAGGGACACCCCCCCCCCCCTTGGGCATCGACATAAAGAGGCTGAACACAACTTTTTTTGTTTTTGTTTTAGCTTCTCTTGACAGCTGTCAAAAGCTGAGTTGTGAAGAGAAACCAAAGCTGCAAGCTGTCTTAACTTGCAAAAAGGGATGGCCACTAGATCATTGTGTTCATGGCAAGATCCTCAAGATTTTCGGTGGAGAGAGACCTCGGTCTTCTTGGGTCCTTTGCACTTTTCCACTGCTTCCAGAGATTCTAGGTGCTTGGCAAAGTGAAAAGTGCAACCCATCCCCCTTGATGAGAACATGGAGATCTGACAGCTACTCAAAGAATAATTAAATTGCCTTATTTTTCTAGTCTGTTGATAATGCTTTGTCTTGTTTTTTCAGACTCAGAAGGGAAAGGTCCATGGGAGCATAGATGTTGGCTTATCAGTTATGTCCATTAAAAAGAAAGCTCGTAGGATAGACCTAGACACTGAAGAGCACATCTACCATTTAAAAGTAAAGCGTGTTTCCCCTAATTCTCTTTCTGTTTTGTAACCATCACGTGGCACAATGGAAGGTAAATAACACTTCTGAACACCTCATTCACACCAACCCTTTCACTAGGTGAAGTCCCAGGATTCGTTTGATGCTTGGGTGTCAAAACTGCGCCACCACAGATTATACCGTCAGAATGAGATTGTACGATCCCCACGAGATGCCGGCTTCCACATCTTCCCTTCAACCTCAACCGCAGAATCTTCACCAGCTGCTAACGTTGCTGTGCTGGAGGCCAAGGTGTGAAATGTCTTTGAAGTAGGAGAACTCCTGTCTTGAAGGTCACGTGTAGTTGCTTAATCCTCTAACACATTTCCTTACTGTTCTTCTCAGTGAGGAAGTGGGTTTCTGAAGAGTCCCCTGTTTTTCTGCATCCTGTATTTGTTGTTTGGTTGCATTTAGATTAGAGTGCCACATTTGTATTTGCTTCCCTCTTCAGAAAGAAACAATGTCCTTTGTGTGGTGCTTAGTTTTTATCACAGTATTTTCTCCCAACAGTATAAGTTTTGCCTCTCTCCCCATCCTCTTCTCTTATTTTTTTCCATAGGTCTCACCGAATAACTTCCCATGGCAATCACCTATCCCCTGCAGTAACAGCCTACCTGCGACATGCACGACTGGCCAAAGTAAAGTAGTTGCTTGGTTGCAGGACTCTGCAGAGATGGACAGGTGTGCAGAAGGTCAGTCCCTCCTTCAGTTCATGACCAGGCTTTCTCCTTACTTCATAGCAGCAGCTTCTGCTACTAAATTTAATAGATTGTAGCTGCTAGTATTTACAGTAGCTAATCAGACTTCTTTCCTAAAAGTAATCAATAGCATCTTAGCTGCTATAGATGCTTCCCTTGCAGAGTTCATATTTCCCTGTCAACAATTCTGGGCTCTAACGTAGCCCACAAGTACCAGTGGTTATCATACCAGTGTGATCCCGATGGGCACTTCCAGCTCCTACAGCAGTGATCTTAACTCCCCCCTCCCAGGCCACCTGGGGGCCTCTCGTCTTCTCCTGTCTCCATCGAGTGGTGAGGTCGTGCACCAGGTTCAGCTGGATGCCTTTTGGGCCTCTCCTGCTCTTGCCCCTCCTCCATCATCCAGACAAAGCCTTATCAGTCAGCCACAGGCAAAGTCATCAGGCAAGCAAATTTTGACAGGTTTGGGATGGATCTTTTTCTCATGACTTGAATGCTCTGTTCTTTTCAGGGTTGCAACATTTCCCACCAGCTTCACCCAGGATAGTTGGGTGGTATAGATAATTGATTAAGTAGAGACTGCTGTGGCTTTGGTAGGGAGACCCCAAAATCCAGTCTCTCTCCCGACCCCTCCCAGCCACAGAAAGAAGCACGGCAACTGCTGTCCAAGGGCATGGAAGCAGCCTCAGAGGACCTCAGCAAGATCTGCAAGGGGGTGTTGCAAGGTGGCTTGATAGGGAAAAAAGAGGAAAACCAGACAAAGTTATGAAAATTGCCTCTGTTGTACCTCTAGCCCTGCCAGCTGCAACAGTGATAAGATTGCAAGTTTAAAAAGAGAGTTGATTTTGAGTTTTACCTATACATTTACAAGTATATTCCACTTATTAAAGTTAAGTTCCTCCTTTTTAAACCAAATTATTTGTTTAGAATAGCTAGCTTATCACCTGACAATATAACAGATGTGATACCTCGAATTTTTGATTTCCCTTAAGCAGGAATGAAGGAGTTGGCAGTAGCAGGTAAAAAGCACATTGAGAGATTAATCGAGCCTCCACTTGTTCCATCCCTTGGTTCAGGGACTTGTAGAGGATCAGAAGAGTGGAAGAGCCACATATCCCCGTCCCGTTATGATTATCAGAAGTGTCGCTAAAATGTGTTGTATTTTCCACATAAAGCAGAGTGATTATGCTGCAGTACAGGCAAATAGGTCCATTTAAGGCAAGAGATACAATTGCAAAAGAAAATTTTGGCCATGGTGGCTAATGTACCTTTGTTCTGGTAATTTGCCTCAGATCTTGCGCACTGCCAATCAAACCTTGTGGAACTGAGTAAAATTCTTCAGAACTTAGAAATACTTCAGAGAACCCAGTCAGCCCCAAACTTCACAGACATACAGGTAAATATGTTTTTTAAATGGATTAAATACTGATGGTTATACATATAAACAGTTTGTCCTTGAAATGTCCCATGCGGTTGCCAGGGGATCTAGTTGTCATTCTGCAAACACGCATTGCTAGAAACTCTTTGGGCAATCATAAAAGACTTCAGGGTGTGCAGAATAATGTATTGTCATACTCCAGTTTCCTGATGATTATAAATTCTACAACCAACACAAATTTGCAGAATCTTGCTGAATTTGAATGTTGTGTTCTACTAGTGTAATAGTCAACTTTTCTTTGTTTTTGCTAAGACTGTTATGTCAAAGAAAAAATGAAACTCTTCTTTCATTGAATTTTAGTCAGAAAACTCTAAATGGCTGTAGGATTGTGCTTTGAAGTTTATCTGCTTTTAAAATTGTCTTCAGTGGGCATATTGTCTGCTTAAGTTAGCAGTCTTCCTACATTTCTATTTGCAAAAAATACTAATGCTAAGATTCTTGTTACTAACTTTGCAATATTGTCCATGTTGTCTGTGTGAGCTTTAATGCAGTGGTTTGTTGCTTTTAACTATTTTATGACATAGGCTAACTGTGTAGATAAGAAAGACAAACGTGTCACAAGAAGATGGAGGACAAAAAGTGTCAGCAAAGATACTAAAATACAGCTTCAGGTACTGAGTTCATGTTGTTTCCATTTTACTACTACTTTGGATGAATCTTTCTTTTGAAAAATACAAAAGAAGTCAGCTGGGTTGGGCTGTTTCTTTGTTTTTGTTTTTGTTTTTGTTTTGTTTTGTTTTTTGAGCACTGGTCCTTTCATTCTTAAAAACATTTAAAAATATGAAGAACAAGGCCCGATGCTCGCAAATTAAATTGCATTCACTCTCATATTAACATGAAGAATTTTTCATATAAAAAAGGAAACAGACAGAAAGTGGGGCAGGGGCAACTCTGTAAGTATGAAAAATATTGCTGACTGGTATCCAAAGAACTAATTTAGGTATGTTCCAGGCTCTGCTAGCTGAATCTCCTTTTTTCCTGTTTTTCCTTTGAACTGAAGACCCCTGTGCTGAGTCACTTCTTGCTTTAAGAAACCTCACTTTCAAAAACGGCTTGTCATGCAGTATTGGGGGTGTCAGTTTGAGAACCTTAAGTATAAAAAGTCCTCTTTGAAATGCATAACTAGTTATACACTTCTTTGGATCCTAGATATTGTGCTATCAGCAAAAAAAATCTCTTCTGTCCAGGAAAGCCATATGCTGGGTGTATGTTTATTTTGCTGCATTGATATATTTTAGGAAGCCACAACCAGTAATTACATGTCTATTTAGCAGCGGCATCCAACAGTGCACACTATATTTTTACCTACATAGAGGTGGTGCCTTTGAGGTCCTCCTGTATAAAGATGCCCAAAGTCAAGGTTGGATTTTTTTAGTTATAGATGCTTACGGCATGCATCATTGTATTCAATGTGGCATACTCTTGGGTAAGTGTGCACAGAATTACAACCCTTAATGTAGATAACATTTCTTCTATAGGCCTTTACAAGTAATTTTGCATCATTGAAATTACGGCGTTAGCCAGAGATAAGACAAGACTATATTATAGCTTACTTTAGATTGCCCAGGGATAATAGTTCTTTCCCAGGAACTGTACTTCAACCTTATAACTAGATTATAAACAGTGGGGTTTGTAAATATGCTCTTTTATCTTCACAAGCTGGGTTTAGACATGCAATGGAATGAGGTGAGAATGAAGTGATGGCCTACCAAAGTAAGGATTGTAGGATTTCAGACTGCTTCAGCCCTCACCCTGACAAAATCCCAGTAGACAGAGCTCTAGTACCGCAGAAGAACTGGGCTAGATTCTTTCTACTTGCATGGAGTACTTCCTTAGTTTTCACAAAAGACAGCCTTTAAAAATGGGATCCTTGGTCTGAAGTAATATGTGACAAAGTTCATGGTATCACCCCAGGCCTCTTTCACTTTAACCTTCTGCATGTGAAAATCTTGCCTGCATGAGCAAGCAAACGAATCTGCCAGTTCCTGGGAAAGGAGAATTCTACTGGGAATCCAGGTTTTGAATATTACCAAGTAATATTACCAGCTAAAAGACATTGTGATACATGTACAGAAATAGATCCTTGATCTGTTTTGAAAGAGTTCCAGCTATGCACATTAAACCTCATTCCATGAAGAAGCTGAAGTTTGAAACCTTTTTGTTTTTACATTGACTCTACCCAAATGAACAGACTGTTTCAGGCTTGGAAATAACAACTCTATTGGGTGAAATAAAAACTGTCTCTATTTACACTCAGTGGCTCTGGAAGTGGCCCATGGGGCTGCTTCTCTTCCTGTCCCTCGCTGAAGAGCCAAATGAAAACATCTTGCTTTACTGGTGCTCTATTCCTTCCTGAAGCAGGGAAAGGAACATTCCCATGCAGACCCTCTAGCCTGGCCTTCCACAAGGCTCTGCATGAAGGAATGTGCCATGTCTTGATTGTGACCCCTTCCACCTCAAGCAGAGAGAGATTGCAGGACAAGACCAGTAGGTTCTAGCTCAGCTGTGTTTTCGCAGCCAGGTAAACACAGAGTAGCTAGTTTCTGCTTTTCTTTCTCTCTGTCTTCCCATCAGATTCCTGCCTTTCTGTCTTCCTTCCTTCCATACTCTTATGTTCTCTTTCTGCCTCACCTGCTGCTCAGAATCAAGGGAGGGACAGAATCTGCCCAGCAGTGTGAACATTTGAGGCAGCTATGATTACCTTCCTCTCCCTCCTTTCTGTTCCTCTCCTCAGGAGAAAATGAGCCCTCTGAGTGTGTGTGTGTGAAAGACAGAGGAAGGGAGAATGCAAGTCCCTGGTTGGCCCCACCAGCAGATCTTTTTTTTCACCCTCCCAGAGTTAATTCCCCATAGAAGCTGCCGTGAGGTCTGCATGGACTGTGGCATGCTCAGTTGAGTGAATGGGAACAGGCTGTCTTCCTGATCATTTACAAGGCAGGACTAGTAGTTGCCAGATGAACAAATAAAAAAGAAGAGGACCTGTAGGTCTGAGAAATTATTATATCCATTGTGATCTAATGGAAACAATTAAAGGAAGGTACCCTGACAAATCAAGCCTTTCACACGCATTAGACAATCCGTGTAGCACATTCAAGACATTTTTGTGTTTTCTTTGTATTGTTTTACATGTGCACTTTTATATATCTATAGCACTGTTCCAATCCTATTGCCTGTTACTAATGCCTATTGTTTGAAGCTTGATACAGGGCACTTTTTGAAACAGGTGTTACTATTTTCATTTTTTCCCAATCTCTTTCTAGTAACTTGGGACTGAAATGGCAATGTAGGTTTCCTAGGAGAGCATGGGAGAGAACAGCCTGTATTTATAGAACTGAGGGCCTAGAACTTTATCGTCAAGTTTTACCAAACACCTCCTCTTTCTTTTTGTGGGTAGGAATGTCTTTCTGAACTAATTGCATCCCTTCAGAGAGAATTTTCAGGAAATGTTGCAGGATTTCAGAAACTTGGTAAAACAACAAGCTGATTTCTTTGCCAGCACTGCTTATAGCCATATGCTTTGGAATGATGACACATGGTTTTGCATATCAATAGTTAGACTTATTACTTTCCAGTAATATCCAGCAAAATTAAGAAGACACAACAAATAGAGTTGTTAATGTTGTAAGATGGACACATCTTGTTTTATTGATGTAGCATTTTCTGAGAATGCATGGTCCTTATTAGTCCTTACTACGTCATTTTGTGGTAGATATCTTGCTAGGGTTTCTAATGCTAGTCTACTAGCAGAGGGAGTATTGATGTGAGAGAAATGGAGATTGATCAGGGAAGTCTGGAACCAAATTTTAATTTCATTGTCTTTACCTATGTCTTTTGCTAAGTTGCTAAGATTATTTCAATTCTCTGTTAGCTTGTTTTAATGTTGAATGAAATTGGAGGCTTATCAGTGAAAATAAAGTTAAAATAGAAGAAAAGCAAATGCCTTAGAAGCCACATGAAATAATATTTCTGTATATGCACCTTGTGTGTGTATGTATATTTCCCTATTATGCATGATATTTTAACAGGTTGCTTCTCTTGTGTAGCTTACAAGTCTCAGAGAAGCTTCTGTTTACAGCTGAGAGCCTGGTTAAACTTAATTTCTCAGCCCAGCATGAGAAAGGTGGATGTTTGGCTCTTGCATATTCCTTTATTCTTCTTGCACCCCTTTTCTTTCCAGGTAAAAAGTAGCATGTGACCCAGCATGGTACATATTCACCTGTATCTGTAATTTGAACCCTTATTTATTCCTCTTTAACTTCAGGAACAAATAGAAAGAGTAGAGTAGGGAAGGTGGAGTACATATTTGGGTAAACCTACAACTTTCTCCTCCCTGGATGGAGAAAATCATGTTTGACCAAATCTTAGCAAGCCTGAAAATGGTGAGAGTTCAGAGCTAACAGATAGATGTGGGAATAAGATGCATACTTGGTCCCTGATTGCTAGTAGCCCACGTGCATGTAAGGGTGGGATGGCTGCCTTCAAGGAAATTGGGCAAGATATTCATTGGAACCTTGTAAAACTGCTTGCTTGAATGCTCTGGACTGGCACTTTGCATTTCGAATGGCATGTTGAAGAACTGTTACTGGAAGCATGAAAACAGTTATTCAGTATGGTTTGTCTGCAGTCTTATGCAGAATATGTTAGAAAGGAAAGGAAGGCTGGAGAAGCAAAGAGTCAGATGTTCAGGATAGTCACTCTGGATGAAACATGTGCTATTAAAACAATCAGGTGGAATCTTGAGGTGGCGTATATTTTGACTTAAACACCTTCAGAATAATATGCATGTCCACACTTTATAATAGTTAGCTTGCAAATTGTAATAGACTTGCATTCCAGATGATTTCTATTGCAATGCATAAGGTAAAGTGATTGTATCAAATCTCTGGACTTTTGTGGTCTTTTAATTGCATAGCCTTTTCTTTTTATTTGAATGGTGTATAACATGCACAATTTTATACATGCATTTGTAGTTCATGAGCATCGGATACCATTGAGAAAAATCTTACAGCATGTAAAATTGCCATACTTCTTCAATAAGAAAACAAGGCATGCCATTTAATACCAGGATGCTATCTTTTCCTAAGAATTAAGACCGAATCCAGTTATTCTTTATACATGCATTTGGTTATTGCATTTATAATAGTTTTATATTATAATTATAGGCAAAAGGGAAAAGAAGCTGGGTTTTTACCCTACTCTAAAATTGCCTGTCAGGCTATACTGAGCTGAGTGAAAAACAAAATGAAACAAAACAGCGCACCCCCTCCTTCAGCTTCTCATGAACTAACTGGGGGTGGAAATGAATACTGGAGTGGCTGAATCATTCCTCTGTGCTCACATCTAGATTGAGGCAATCTGTATTGGAGTTAACAAGGAGTTATGGAAATTGGCCCTTTGTAGAGATAAACTCCGTTAAAGCATCTCCCCCCTCCTTGTCTCACCATCTTTTACCTTCCTGCATCCCATCCTCCTCTTCCCTCCTTTCTGCTTCCCTGTTCTTTTCCCTGTTCACTGTCAGGAAGGGACAGCGCTGAAGGGTCAATTCAGTACTGCACGGCGCCGGCAGAGACTAGCAGCAGCAGTGGCTACAACAGTGAGTGACTTGACAGTCAAGGCTCCTCCACACAGCTTTGAAGATGGGGTGCTGTATATGTTGAATGTGTGCTAGTGATGCTGAGAGACTGAACGGCACGTCAGGTGCTTGTGGCACTTGGGGGGCCTGGGAGGGTGGGGGGAGCCCCGAGCCGGCTCTGCCGCAGTATGGGCTCATAAACCATACAGCTCATTCATACGAGTGTATGTACTGTGCGACCGAGTAAGTGCTTTTAGCTACGTTCTGCAAAACCGGGCCAAATGAACCCCACAGAGTTCTGTGAGGGAGAGAGAGGCCATGGCTGCAACCAGCAAGGCTTGAAAAAGCTGCAATGTGGTTGGACTGCATTGTGTGCGTGCGCGTGCGTGTGCACACGTGTTTAGAACTGCTTCTCACACAGATGGTTTTGGGTATACTTTCTGAGCTGAATTCTTTCTGATTTTGTATGCATGGTGCACCTCCTGATGAGCATCATGCGCCAAAGGATTACTAGCAGTTACCTGTGGGGTCCTGGGTGTCTTGGCAAGGGGGTGTTCTTGGTGGCTGCTCCCAGGCCAAGGGGGTTTGTGCTGGATCCCTCCATAGGGGAGGGATCTATAGACATTTTTATTCAAGCAGACCTTTGGTTTGCAGGTCTGCTTCAGTGTTTGGGGGGCTGTTTTTATTCTTTTGTGGTGTTTTCAACTGTGCTTTTAATGTATTAATTTTATGACTATTCTAACTAAGCTTTTTTTTAATGGTTCTTACTATTGTTAGTGGCCTTGACAGATATCGCTTTAGTGGAAAGGCAGACTGTTACTCAAATTGATAGGATAGGATAGGATAGGATATAGCCAATGGAAGTGAGCTTCACATAGGTGTTGGAAGTTTTGCTCTGGTAATCCTTCAGATACTGTAATAACTGCAGTTAATGCTTTTACATGCGGTTGCCCATGGTGAGCCAAATACCATCCAGATGCTGCCACTCGGTATCCCCTGAGGCACACTTGCATAGGGTTTCTTTCTTTCTACCTTGAGAAAAACCCGCAAGTTTGGGGAAGAGTAAGGAAGACACAGCCTGGCTGGCAACGTCACCATTTCCAGCACTTAGGGTGGCAATGAGGATGAGAGCAGGCATGGCAGCCTAATCAGAATTGGGGAGACATTTACTACACCATGTTAGTGCGGTGCCTCAGAGAGAATAAGAAGAGCTTTAATTAAGTTGCTTTTTTATTATTTTACTTCAGCCACCTTGGGAACTCTTTTGGATCAAATGGTGGGGTGGGAGTAATCAAACAAGTAAATAAAAGATCTGGCACCATGCATATTAAAGAGGGGGACTTTGGCAGAGAAAGATCCTAAGATGTTAGAATCAGGCCCTATCCACTTAGGATAATTATTGTATTTTGATTATTTTATATGTTATTTTCTCCCCTTCAAATGGAGAAGTCTGAAGGGACAGATAACAAATATAAAACAACATCAAAATAATTAACCAACAATAATCAAACTGTCACATTCTGATAGGTATTTTATACTTACACTGCATACTATAAATAATAGGAAACCACAATATGGTTGAAATTCTGATGCTCACTTGAAGCAAATCTTTTTAAAAAAAGAAGGCCTTGTTTCTGAGTAAAGATGCTTAGGATCACACTGTAATTCCATGAAATGACTTGACCAGTTAAGAAGACAGAAGACGATTGATTACCAAGTCCATCATGGAATTTAACTACACTGTATTTTATTATTGTCTAAGTTTTATTTCTGTTCCATAACCACAAAAAGTCATATTACTACCATGACCAGCCATACTTTAATTTTTATTAATGGTAAATAAGTAAGTTATTTATTGAGAAGGAACAACTCACTGGAGAAGATCCTGATGCTGGGAACGATCGATGGCGAAAGAAGAAGGGGATGGCAGAGAATGAGGTGGCTGGATGGGGTCACTGGGGCGGTGGGTGTGGGCTTGGGTGGACTCCAAGGGATGGTGGAGGACAGGAGAGCCTGGAGGAATGTTGTCCATGGGGTTGTGATGGGTCGGGCACGACTTTGCGACCAATAACAAGAAGAAGAAGGTATTTATGGTGGAAGGTAAATAGAGTCAATGACTTGGTATCCAACCACTGTTTCCATCCAGTGCCAAAAGTTTCACATAATTCAGTAATTACAAGAAGGCTTAAAGTGCAGTCCTCTGGCTTCCTGGCATGGTCTGGGGGCCGTGGAATAGGTTGAATTCTCAACTCTAGCCTCAGAAAGCTTTCCAAGGTTGAGACTGGGACTCAGAGCTCAGAGGGGGCCCTCCATCTTGGCAGCTGCCCTGTTGTTTTCTGCATTGGTTGAACCCCAAAGATGGGAGAAGGCTCTCTTGGAGGCAGTGTGAAGAGAGGCAATCCAGAGGTCAGGGAGGGCGGGAGTGAGGCATGGCTTTCCTCTGAGGAATCCCAGCAGTGCCTCAGCTTCTTCTCGTGAGAAGGGGAATAATCAGCCATCTATGCATTGTACAATTGTGTGGCTTAATAAATAGACACATTTTCAGTGGAAAAAGCTGATGAATGAACTCAGGTGAGCACACTGTGATCAAAGATTTGAAATAGGATCAGTGATTGGCGGAAATGAATGAGGACAGGGACGTAGAAGGGGTGGTGGAGCTGGACAGCCCACTTAAGTGGCGTGCTCTGGGTGGCTGCACAATCTGGAAGAACCTGACAGTGATCATTGCAGCCTCAAGGTATTTAGGTGGGTGGGTAAATCAATTAAAGACTCACTTGTGGCCATTTCACTTTCAGGTAACCCCTTCCCCTAAAGACTGTGTGTGTGTGTGTGTGTGTGTGAGGGGAAGGTTGTACTGCAACTGTGAAAGGCACATATGCATTATAACAGGCAAGCACGCATTACACCTTTGTACCTCAGCATAATATTCTATGTACTTCCAGGCCTGCTCAAGTCAGGGTTTTACCTATTTCAGCTGCTAGGAGAAGGTTTGATAGATTTTCCTCATATGGTGCTGCATACTTTACATTTATAATGCTGCAGTGCAACCCTTTTTTCCCCAAAATTTTTGATATTTTATTTTTTGGTCCTTTAGCGTCTATTTTGAACCACAGCTGTCATATTACACTTGATTTCAACAAATTGCTTAATGCCATTTACCCTAGTCCTACCTTCATTATAGATGTTTCTTCTAAATTCTGGGCGCTGTATAAACACACTTTCTGCACTCATGGTTGGAAGGACCTGAATCTTGACATCGCTGTAAGAAAGTGGTTTTGAAGTATTACCTTAATATGTGCATATATTTCATATTAAAATCTATTATCTGTCTATCTTCTGTTAAGGTTGGTGGATGGGTGTGCACACATGTGCACACACAAGTACTGAATACTAGGAAGTAAAGTCATTACCTGCATGTTATCTATGTATTAGTTGGTCAGAATTTTAAAATAAAGTTGAGGTAAATACAGACTGTTAGCATCTACGCCACTAGGATCACTTCAGGCATGAGTTTAATTTCTTCACATCATATTTTGTAAATATGTACACATCAGCTGGGATTCAAAGTTCCCCTTAGATTGGTCCGTGGTGAGCAAACTGCAGCATTCCTGGATTTTCTTCCCACCTGCAGATCCCTTTTCATTGTGGATCTGTGGGTAGGACTCCCTTCCAAAGTTAAGCATGGGGAGATAAGCAACAGGAAGTGCTTTTTTCCCCAGAGGGAGGAATAGCATCTGCTCTCACCAGTCCTTTGGACCCTGGATAGTCACAACCAGTATACGCTAAATAAGTGTTTCGTATTTATATTTTTATTTCTTCTTCTTCCCTCCAGATTCCACTTTCCCCCCTCCTGCAGTAACCCAAGACAATATGCAGAGTCCAGAAATATTCCCTATACTATTCCCCACTTTGGAAATGCATGTGCTTCCTCTGCCCACCCTTCTTCCCACCACACCCTCAGCAGAACTGGTCTTCTGCCAATGACTCTCCCATGATCAGCTCCAGATCCCTGCAGAGGAGAATGACAGATTTAGGGGACAGTAGATTTAGGCTTTTGCCCTGGTGTATCTGTTTCTAGATGACCCTCCATGCTTTCTCCCAGGAACTTTTATCAGGGCTCCTTGCATGAATTGTTCTAGCAATAAACTGCTGTTGGCTTCAGCCATAGCAATTTTGATGAAAATGAAGTTACAACTTGGACCAAGTGCCATGGGAATGGAGATCAAAGCTTACTTGTCAAAAGGATAGCCTAAGGGATTTTTTTACAGAGAGAGTATTAATATAGTATGAAATCTGTGTTCAGTGCGAGGAAAATATTCTGGATGTACCTGTCTGTCAGTGGCATATCCTCTGTCAGCAGAACAGATTTTCTTTCCTCACGTAGTTCCCTGCCCCCTCACCAAATCTACTTGGGTTGAAGGGTATCCAGAGCAGAGTTTTGGAGTCATCGAGACTGCAGGGTGGGAGAGGGGTCGCTTTGTTGCATTAATCAAGTCCACTCGCACAATGTTCATGGTCACCTTTTATGTGCTTACGATTGCAGTGATATTCGAAGATCCCTTAGGATAATGAGACATTCTCTCTGATTTCTGAGAGCAAATAAAAACAACTATGTAGCTTTTGCAGTCTAAATTTGACTTGGGTTCTAATTTAATATTACATGTACAACTGAGTGAAAAATATATGAACAAAGAATGTTGGTTGTTTTATGAGGATACTTAGCTGATACTTCTCAAGATGGTGTCTTCCATGTGTTGCTGGACTTCAGCTCCCATCAGACCCAGCCAGCATGGTCAATGGCCAGGAATGTTGGGAGTTGTAGTGCAAAATATCTGGAGGGTACAAGGTTGGGGTTTAGGTTAGGGTCATAGAGTAATATGACTTTTTGTGCTGGTACTTTTTAGGGTATTTCAAAGGCATGGACTGAGTTTTGTGATAATTTTTCAGACGTTGACATTTAAATTACATTAATTGCTTGAACGACAATGAAACTAGCCATTGAAGTTCTAAATTGGATTGCTACTTCATTCATAGAGAGGCTTGAATTTTGGACTGCATATCTCATGTAGAGCTGTGTGTATTTTGTCTTGCATGTCTGCATATAACAGAATGGCATGTGTATATATTAATATAAAAAGGGCCATGGTGTGTGTGTGTGTCTGTCCGTGTTATTTCATGTGTAGATATAGAAAATGTATTGTGTATATGTCTTAAAACTGCACAGATACATTATTTATAAAATATACACATATAAAAACATATACATGGAATGTACATGAAACATGTTTTTGGAAAGAAATAGAAAGTGTAAATGGCTTAATAAATTGTGTGCTTTGGGACATCATTTTGGGACATCAGACTATTTTTGTGTTCAATGCACTGCATTAAGCTGTCATTCTAAATGAAAAGGGGGCACCTAAGGAGTCAGTGTAGCTTCATAGTGTGCAATTTGTAAATGCACTATAATGCAATATATTTAATAGCAACTTCCAGGCACACCAACATTTGATTAATCTATTCATAGTTATTTTGGGAATTTTTTGCTATATTTTTAGTTTGCTGAATGAACTTAATACCGTGCATCTTTATAATTCAGTTGTATGCCTTCTTCTGTCGGGTGGTACCCAAATGGCAGCCACTACACATTCTTCCTGTATGAACATCCAGATGATTAGAAATTAAGTAATGTTCTTTCCACCCTTTACATTTTTGCTTCTCACTGAATGGTTCGGGAACACATTTTACATCATCACATGAATATCTATTATTCAGCCCTCACATCCATGCTCAGGAGATAAGGTTGCTAAATTTTGCTTTACTTAAAAGATTCTCAGAATTGTACATTTCAAAATATAACTGTATGTGTATAACTCATATAGCATAAGGGAAACTCAAATTAATGCTCAAAATGAATCAGCATTGATTTGAGAGGACAAAACTTGATTTGGGTGTGCTTTGCAAAATAAGCAGAACTTCCAGTTGAGGATTAATTGTGGATTTGCCATGGCTCCTTCACTTACATTTTACAGGAGGTTCAGATAATGTTCATCTACTGGTAATCCTTCCATGTATTCCCAGTGTTGCTTTTTTTTCTTACTGGAGAAGTTCTGTCCTGGTTTTTTTTCGATTTTGTTTTTATTTGTTTTTGAGGATGGAGTTACACAGTCTTCAAATTCGCAAATGGCCTTCCTGCTGTTCTTCCATCTTTTTAAACAATTGTTTTTGACATGTGCAATGAACCTATAGATAGCTCAGCATACTTAAGACAGATGAAAACAAGTGGATGATAAAAAATGGTGCTCATTGCAAGAGAGGTAGTAAATGCTTGTTTGAGTTGTCCAATAAGTCACTAGCCATGGCAAAACCCACATCCCTTAAAAGAGACAGAAAAGTAATCCTAATGGCACTGAAGTGGTGTGGTAGTTTGGGTATTGGGCTGGGCCTGGGAAATCTGTGTTCTAGTCCCACTCAGCCATGAAGCCCACTGGGGTGATTTTGGATTGGTCACTGACTCTCACTCCAACAGGTTTGTTGTAAGGATAAAATGGGGTAAGCTGTAGGAAAAAGAGCAGGGTATAAACAAAATATTCATCATAACATAGTAGAATGTACATTAGTAAATGCACAATATGCCTTAATAGTATGGAAAGTCAGTCACAACTCCATTTGTAGCTTACAGTGGGGAAACACTGATTGTTTTAGTTCTTGGAACCATCTGTCTGGAAGCACCTTTATTGTGAAGGAGAGTAAAAACCCTCCTCTTGACTAAAGTACCAGTTCTTGTAAAATATTAAGCATATGGGTAATGTTAGAAATGCCTTCTGTTTTTGTATCATTGTTCTAAGGAGGAAAGATTCAGTGCTGTATATCTGTTGCTTTTCAATTTAGGTTCCTTTCAGTACTACAATGTCTCCCGTTCGCCTACATTCATCCAATCCTAACCTCTGTGCAGACATCGAATTTCAGACTCCTCCAAGTCATGTATCTGACCCCCTGGAAAGCTCCACAGACTACATAAAACTCCAAGAAGAATTTTGTCTCATGGCACAGAAAGGTAATTGCCTTGGTACCAGCTGCTTCTTAACAGAAGATAACCTTAGATACAGAAGGCTAGCTCAACTAAGACCGTGTGTGGTTGTGTTGCTTGCTTTGTTTGTGGAAGAAGGAGGTTGAATGGGCAGTGGCTGAGGGATTTCTCTTCATCCTGTTCTGGTTTGGAAGAATCCATGTGTGACATTTTAAAAGTGCTTGATCTAGCCTTTCAGGCCCTTCACACAAACCTGCCAATACATGGGAGTTGCCTCCCCCTGTGTTACACGCATGCCTACCATACAAGCAGGGCAAAACTAATTGTGTTCCTTGAGGATTAAAAGGACTGTTGTTTCCAATCTATGCATGAAGGAGGAAGTTCTGGCCCGTGGTGCATGTGGGCTTTCAAGAGTGGCAAGTCGTGTTTGCAAAAGATGCGTCTATTTCTGTAGTGAAGGAGTAACATTCTAGAAATTATCTGCTGGAGTTCTACAAGTTGCTTGCAAATGGCTGCTGTGTGTATCAAAGGTATTTAGGACAGGAAGCATAGAATGCTGCCATATCTTCCCAGTGTTGTCTGCACTGACTGGCAGCAGTGGCCCACCACTGTTTCAGGAAGAAATGTTTCCTAGCCCTACCTGGGGACTGAACCTGGAGCCTGGTGCATGCAGAGCAGGTGCTTTGCCACTGTACTGTGTCCCTGTCTCTTGAGTCAGGAGAATGCAACAGTTGCCCATTAATGGTCAACACTGAGCAGGCACTCAAGTCACTTTAGGGACATACATTTCTGTTTTCTCTCCAGTGCATTCTCTTCTGAAGTCTGCCTTCAACAGCATAGCGATAGAGAAGGAAAAGCTTAAGCAGATGGTTTCAGAACATGATTTCACAGGACATGCTACACAGATAACACGTCTCAGACAATCACTTTCTCAGGTAAACTCACATATGGACACTTCACTTATTCAGAGACGGTTGGCAGTGGAAGTACCTGTAATTTATATTTTTTGTTACACATGAAACACCAGGTAATTTTTAACAATAAATATTAAAATAAAATGTAATAATAGTAATGAATTCTTGTTCTGATCGATTTCATATCATTTCATATTTTCAGATTTATTGAAAGGGTACAGAAATGTGGGTGGGAAAAATAAACCATATTTATAACATTGTGTCCAGATATTACTTCTGATGAGTGAAAACTTTAATCAAAAGATTAGTAAAAACAACTTGTGACCATATGCCCTCAAATTCAGCTTCAGGCATTTCTTTACCTTTGCTTTCTATGTTACTTGGATGTATAAAACTGTACAGGTGAACCAAGCAGAACTGCTAACTCAGTAGTCTTGCTTTCCACGTTTCCAAGAACAATGTCTTCTTATTGTCATAGTAGCAAAGCTGATACAGTAACACCGTGGGCAGCAAGATCCTCACTGCCTGCCCTCCTTGGGTTTGTCCCATGATCATGGTTTGGGTTGCAAGATGCAACGAGAAAGCGCGTGCCGACTGCCTGGCCTTATTTCTTTTATTGCAACTTTGTTCCCATAGAGGGCATTTTGAGCATCTTACAGGAAAATCTGCACATCAGTTGTGCATTATGCCCAAGGCATGAAAGCAAGACATGAACAATCCCATTGACCCACCACCATAGCCTTGTTTTATCCAGTTTTGCTTGCCACTTTTCCCCAGTCAGCTTATCAGACTGAACTAAGCTCAATCTCTGAGGACCTGATCTTTGTCCAGTTAACTGTATAAAACCGTGGATGAAGTTCTAGCATCAGATGAGTTATTGCATTAACAATGATGATATTCTTTGGCTTATCCTCTGTTCTGTAGTCTTTCTCTCAGCTCCTGCCTCGTGTACTGTGACACGTTCTCCTTGTTTGTCACCAGATGCTCCTGCTTTAGTATCTGATCTCCTTGAGTATCCCCTTTCAAAGGTCAGGTCTTCCTCTGGAGGCAGGAGTGGGGGAAACAGACAGAAAAGGAGCTCCTAGTACAGCACACCTGCTTGCTGCCAGGTCCTCTTCTCTTGCCTCTTGTCTCTGCGTTATCTATACAAGTGGCCCGTCCTTTGGAGAGGAAGGTTGCCAGTGTATCTGTTTTGAAGGAAGTTGGTGCACCGTCTTGTATAAACAGACTGTAGTATATTTGTGAGTTTGAAAGTTTTTCTTGACAGGAGTTGGATAAAAGACCTTAAAATGGCTTAAGCAACGAGGAGCATTTAGTCCTTTCTCCATGGATGCTTTTTCTGAATCATGGCCCTTACAGAGAGAAAACTAGGGATTTCCCTTCCTTCACTATGACTCCCATCAGATTTATAGCACATCATGGCTGTATTTCATTATAATTTTTTAAGGAAAAGAAGATGGCTCATGCATTTCCCACATTGTGCCTTTGGTCTTAAACTTTCTTAAAATGCATGGATGATGGATCTCTAGCAAGGAATAGTCATGATCTTAACCAAGCTATTAGCATTTTGAGGAGAAATTCTTGGGGCGCAGTCCTGTGGCTTGTACCTTCAGTGCTCCTAAGACCCTGAACTCGAAGGCTTATGAGCGCTCAGTGCGGAGCAGGATGACCCGTGGAGGCAAACTCCATTGTTCTGCACCTCCCACTCTGCATTTTAACTAGATGGCTGTTTTCATCCATCTAGCTGAGGTTCTCTGGAGGGGGAGGGAAGGGGGCTTCAGCAATCAGGATACCTGGTGGCTCCATCTCTTCCTTTCCTTGGATCCTTTCACTCACTCTCTGAGGTTGTTCCTGTGACCTTGGGCAGGCAGCTGGCACGGTCCTTCTTGCACTGGCTGCATGGGTGGAGGAGGATCAGAGCATGGATTCCTGATCCTGTAGTAAGAGCTTGGTAACGCAGAGCCCTCTCTGTCGACATGTGAGCCAAGTCAGCCCCAGCATCACCCCAGCAGCTGAGCATTGAATAACAGCACCCATGGGGGCCATGCGCATGCTCGGAAAGGAGTAGCAGCACTAGGTGATGACCTCACGACTCATTAGCCATGACTCGTCCCAGCTTTTGCTTGGCCGGTCAGTGCGCTGCCACGGAGATATATATTTTTTTGCTTGGACTGGCTGTGAGTTGTTTTTCCTAAACTAAAACCTCAGTTTTCAGATTTTATTGCAGTGTTGGCACTTTGTGATAAATAAGTGGGTTTTGGGTTGCAGATTGAGCATTCGGTCTCTAAAAGGTTCTCCATCACTGGGTTAGGGTTAGAAAAATGAGGTGTTCTGGCATGATTTTGATGACTGGAATGTGTTTAGAATGGGCAGAAATGATGACCTATGCAGGAAGAGCTCTTCAAGGAAGGCTTTTTCAAAATCACCCTCTTTTCAATTGAAATTTACCCCTATATTAAGGTTAGGAGAGTGCACCAAGGTAGGGTTAGGGCAGTCGAGTTCAACCTATGGCACGTGTGCCACATCAGGCACGCAGAGCCCTCTCTGTCAGCATGCAAGCCAAGTTGCCTCAGCAATACCCCAGCAGCCAAGCATCAGATTACAGTGCACATAGGGACCATACGCATGCTTAGAAAGGAGTAGTGGTGCCAGGCGATGATGTCTGTGCCGCAACTGACTAGCTGCAACTCATCCGAGCTTTCGCATGGCTGGTCAGTGTGCTGCCAAGGATATATATATATTTTCTTGGACTGGCTGTGAGTTGTTTTTTATAAACTAAAACCTCAGTTTTCAGGTTTTATTGCAGTGTTGGCACTTTGCAATAAATAACAGGGTTTTGGGTTCCAGTTTGGGCACTCAGTCTCTAAAAGCTTCTCCATCACTGATATATGGTATGCTGCATCATGCTGTCTTTTTCATTTGAAATAAATAACAAAACTTTTTTGTCATTTTAAGGCTCTCAACCAGAATGCCGAACTAAGGAGTCGTTTGAACAGAATACATTCTGAGACTGTTATTTGTGATCAGGTTGTCAGTGTAAATATTATCCCCAGCCCTGATGAGGTAAGACTTTGGCATCACTCTCATGGATTTACAGTAGGCAGATCCCACTAATTATCACTAATGATTAAATCATTCTGTTTGACAAATCTGGCACGCAGTGAGTCCAGCTCATTTTCAATGGTTCCCTGGTAGCTTTCATGACGTTAGTAAGCTCTGGCTTCTGTGAAATTCCCTTTGGAAACCTGTCTGAGAAGTGGAAGGTTTAGCATGGACATTCCAAGACTGTGCATAAGCCTTGCTTCTAGTGCATTTCCCAGCAACTGAGTCTCTCTAGCAACATGAGGAGAGTCTTGCTGGGACAGACAAAAGGCCTATCTGGTCTAGCAGTTTGTTTCTCACGTTGGAAAATGGGAAGCTGATAAGCGGGACAAGAGTCTTCTCTAGCTAGCATTCAGAGGCATCCTGCCTCCGAATTTGGAGCTGACATATAGCCATCCTGATTAGTAGCCACTGAGAACCATAATCCCCGTGAATTTGTCTAAGCCCTTTTCACACCATGCAAACTAGTAGCAGTCACCACATCTCATGGCAGCTAATTCTGTAGGTTAACTGTGCCTTCTGTTCAGAAGATCTTCTTTTTGTGCCTCCTGAATCTGCTGCCATTCAACTCCCCTGGGTAACCCTCAACTCTAGTGTTATGAGAAAGGGGAAACGATTCTCACCACCAAGTCACACATTTATAATTTTGTAAACCTCTTTCCTGCCTCCCCATTATTCACTTTCCCCCTCTAAACTAAAAATCCCCCCAAATTGTCCATAATTTTGCTACCTCTTTTCTGTATCATCCTTAGCGCTATAGCATCTGTTTTGAGATGTGGCAATCAGAACTGTATCTGGATTTCAGTGGTACTCAGAACCCAAAGATTTATCCAAAGGTGTTACAGTATCGGCAGTTTTTAGTTTCAGTTGCTTTCTTAATGATCAGTAGCACAGGACTTGTTTTTTTCATAGCTATCACATGCTTATTAAGCTCTCTGCTATGACCCCTTCATCTGTTTCCTGGTTAGTTACTGCCAGCTCAAACACTATCCGGGAAGGTGTGAAACTAAGATATTTCCCCCCAAAATGCATTACTTGATGCTTACACATATGACACCCCTTTGCACTTTTAATTCCCTTGCAACTGGCTTGGAGAAATTCTCTTTCTGTTACCCTGGATAATTTGGGGTCCTCTGCAGAACCCACATCTCTTAGAAACAATGAGAACCAAACCTGCAGGTATAAGTGCTTTTGCCCACCGTACTTTCACAGGTTGTATGGTGTTTCACTTGAGCCACCTGTGACTAGTGTCATATTTTTGCCGTCAAACACATGCCATTTGAATGCTAGAGAAAGCTGGTTGCCCCTGCACCAGAGAAACATTCTCAGGGGAAAGCAGCTGTCTCTGTCCTCTGCTGCAAAAAGGTTACGAATACAACATCCTTGAAAGTGACTTGTTATACAAGTGCCTCGTTTGGTCTTGGCTTAGGATAGGATGAACATTCCCTGTTTGAGACATCCCCAAGCTCATGCGGGCATCTCTGTGGCTTTCATGAATAAAGAGGCAGGAAAGAGGCAGTGTGTCCTTACACAAAACCGTCTTGACTGAACATGCTCGTGGGTTTTCTCCGTCACGTGTGAGCTCTCTCAGGCCCTTTGTGCAACATTTGGAGATCACATGAATGTTTGTTTTTTCTTTCACAGACCAATGAAAAGATCCATGTCAATCTCCCACTCTCCCAGCAAGTTTCTAATGAGAGCAGGCTCTCCATGTCTGAATCTGTCTCTGAATTCTTCGACGCACAAGAAGTGCTTCTGTCTGCAAGCTCATCAGAAAATGAGGTTAGAGGCAGGGACAATCGTTAATCTTTATGATTAATTAGTCTTTATTCCTGCTGACATACAATGGTAATACCATTAGGAACAAGGCACTGTAGGTGCTGAGCTTTTGACCCTCGTTAGGACGGCTTGGACATGGACATTGACATTGATTCAAACCTTACCTCAGTTATGAACCAAGTCAGCGGCCTTAGGCAAGCCATTAGCTTTCAGCCTCAACTCAACAATTTAAAACCCTACCCTATCATGGAGAATTGTAAGAATTATGGAGTTAAAACCATCTGAGTAGTCTGGAATGTGAAACATATATGGCATTGCATTATTGCATCATATTATTGGTACCTCTCCCAAGAGTAGCTCCATCGATTTTAGTAGAGCTATTCCAGAGAGCAGAAACTTGCTACTAATTGCCTTCGGATTTAGTCCAAAGTTCAGCCAAGCACAGCTGAAAGCTGCCCCTCAATTAGAAGGCAGACTCAGTGAGGTCTGTCTGTGCTTATCAGCTCTGATAGGAAATGTAATGAATAATACAATGCACTGGTGAAAATCTATCCAGAAGCATTTTACACTGTTCCTTTAAAAGTTCCTGCTAAATGCCCTTTGAGGCAGAGCATACAGTAGCATCCTGTCTCCTTCATCAGTCCCTCTAGACCGGAATACATGCCCAGGACTAATTCTGATTCAGAACAGCTGTTTGGTATTCCTACGCTGTACAGTAGCAGGGCTCTGAGCCTTTGCTCACTCCACATCACAGCAGTCTTTCCATGAAGTTTTGTCAGGGTGGACGAAACCAGTGTGAAAATGAGAGCCTGCAGAGAAGGTTTTCTGATCTGAGGCAAAAGGATCCTTTCTTTTCCAAGAAATCATGCCTGTGCCCCGTTTCCTGCTGCAGCACAAAACCCACCATGCAGTGCAGGCTGTGGCTGGATGAATATACCTTGTAACCCTTTGGGTGGTTTGGCTTTCAGTGCCCATCAGTCCTAGATAGCATAGCCGGTGGTAGAGGATGATGGGAATGGTAGTCCAAAACATCTGGAGGCCACAAGTTTGTCTCAGGGGAGGTTGTCTCAACCTTGCCTACCCGATTGCTTGGTTAGCATAGAAGGATTGTCACTGTTTCCCCTTGCCAAGTATCAGAAGGTAAAATCCCAGGTTTCTGCATTGGCCCAGTTCAGATGTTGAAAACCTGATCATATGAGCCATGGTGTAGACCAGAGCTCAGGCACTTCCTCCTCCCATCATCTATACAGCTGACCTCCTCCACTTACTGGTTTTCTCCAGCCTAGTTTGTTGTAATAAACAAATCAGTTGCCTTTCCAGGCAGGCATGCTTTGAAGCGCATTCACGAAGCTTAGGCAGCGAGGAAATGCTTTTTCGCGCAGCATGTGAAGTCATGGGATTTTCCCTTCCACAAGATGTAGTGATGGCCATTGAGTTGGATGACTTTAGAAGGGGATTAGACAAGCTCACGAATGGTGAGGCTGTCAATGGTTAGTGCTCATGATGGCTATATATTACTTCCAGTATCAGTGTCCGTAATGGAAGTATCAGCAGTGCTTTTTCAGCTTGCCTTTTACAGTGTGGCATTGACAGAGAGTCTGTTTTTTAGGCACTAGCTTAAAAATGGTTCATATAGGCCAAAGTGAGGTTTCCTGAAGTTGAGTTGGTTGACAGGCCACAGGGAAGAATGAGGCCTAGGAACAGGTTACCTGAGCTGGCAGAAGAGTTGCAGGACATTTTGGGGACTGAGGAGGGAGAGAAAACATATATTACAGTGGAGCTGAATGTATGGAAATATTTTGTTCTGTAATTTTTGTGATCCCCCTGGAGAACAGTCATTACTGGGTGAGTTAGAAATGTAATAAATATATAACTAAATTACGTTCTGATTTAATCCTTTCATTTTCTTCCTTAGGCTTCTGATGATGAATCATACATCAGTGATGTGAGTGACAATATATCTGAGGACAACACCAGTGTCGCAGACAATATTTCTAGGCAAAGTATGCAGCCTTTTTAAATTTAAGAAAACGACTGTACTCTTTAGCCAATGTATGCAGGTCTAAATAGGACCACTTGATTTGGCTATGACTCAGAGCCACTTTTACATGTTTACTAACTCAGATTGGCTGTCTCACTATTAACAACGAAAAAGGATTTTTCTTTCAGTTTTAATTAATTCTTTTAGTTTTAACAGTCTCTTTAATCCCTTCTTGTGTCTGCATGCTGTACCTCAGTCCCTCTTTCTGCCAGTCCTCCTTCCTTTTCTCCCTTCAAACTATGGAGCAAGTGGCCTCCTCTCTTTCTGTCCATGTCACATTTCTCAGTTAACATCCTGTCTTTATTCCCCCACTCACAGCCTTCTCTCTTTAGCCTCACCTCACAACTGCCTCCCATTACACTCTCTCTCACTCACATTGTATGCCCTCCTCTTTCCATTTCTCCTCCTCTTTCTATCCCTCCTGTTTTTGTATACTCCCATATCTTTATGTTTCAGAGTTTAGTGATGGCAATGGCACACAGGTTTTGCTTTTCAAGCAAGCAAGACTCCAGCCACATAGTATTTGCTAATGTGCCTGATGGAATCCTGATGCTCTCCCCCTTTTTAAAAAGACACACGTCTGCTTTGAAAAGAGCTTATTGGAGCAGCCTTGCAGCAAGCTGAAGCTTATTCCCTAAGTGCACTTTGGGTACTCCACTGGTGGGAATAACGGCAGGGAAGCCAATTGCAGTGGCAAAATGGCAGACGGTGAAAAGATAAAATACATGTGCACCCTGTTTTTTCTTAGGGTGCTTCCAGATGGAGGGGTCCTAGTGCTACCAGTCAAAAGACACTGTGCAGCTGTTCCATCTTGCCCTCCTTAAGAGATTTTCTGTGGTAAGAAAATAGATGGAAGAACCAGTGGGAAAGCACAGGGTGGTTACAAAAGGAGGGCAACAACATCTGGGGCTGTCCTGTTTCCCATAACTTTCCATGAACGGCAGTGTGATTTCACAACAGAAACCTTGTCTGGAAACACCCCTCCTTTCAAAAAGAGTCCTCCTTGTCTTAGTTTTGTTCATGTAATTGTAAAATCAAACAAACAAAAATCCATGCTAAGGATTCTTTGGATAGAAAGTTTCCCTAGAAATTTGCTGCTGATACAGGTTGTGCGGCATGGCCAGTTGTGGCTGATGGCACCAGCATTGCCGCACACCTTTGAATACACAGGAGGAAGAACATGATTTTAGTGACAGAAGAATCCACTCCACTGACTTCTGATGAGTTTTGATGATGTAAAACATTCCTACCAAGAAGTCAGATGACCGCAGATAGGGAGGGGATTGCCGTTGGCCCATGGGCCTTTCGTGACAGTAGTGAAAGACAGATCTAGTTCAAAGAGGTATTCATGGTTTAATACCCATGTATGTATGTATGTATGTATGTATGCATTTATTTGTTTATTTTCATCTATGGATAGATTGCACATTCATGTTCTTACGTTTCTCTTCCAGTACTTAATGGTGAACTATCAGGAGGTGCTTTCAGAAATGGCCGGAGGACGTGTCTCCCATGCCCCTGTCCTGATACTAGTAATATCAATCTATGGAACATTTTGAGAAATAATATTGGGAAGGATCTCTCCAAAGTATCCATGCCAGTAGAGCTAAACGAACCTCTGAATACTTTGCAGCATCTTTGTGAAGAACTAGAATATAGCGAACTCTTGGACAAAGCTGCTGAGTCGGATGACCCCTACGAGCGCATGGTAACAAGCCTGACCGAGAGCACACAGCCACGCATGCTCTGTAATAGGATTGTGTTCTCCTTTGTGTGTTCTGCCTTTGTGTGCTTTGCTTTCTTGTAGCTTCACCTGTTGAGGGCAGGTTTTGTAATGCACAAGTGTTCTCATTGCCATTTCTGATCGTGCTTCAGCCCTCGCAGCAGGCCACCTCCTTTTCTTCTAGGCTGTTCTTGCATGAGTAGTGTAATTTCAGAAGAAGGGGTTTGAATGGGCTTTCAGCTCCTCCTCAGTCAGTAGTAGAATGCATGGAAAACATGTCAGAAAAGAAGCATATGATGAAGTGAGTCTTGGGATCCTTGCTCACATTCCCTTCAGCTCATGCCTTCACACACTCTGCAGGTAATGTCAGAAGCCCCCGACACTGCGTCTTGTCTCCTTGCTATCACTGCCTGCTTTTCCAGAAGGGGAGAGGCCACCTTGAGGAGAAGCCATGGTAGTATGGTTTCCATATGACTTGGGATTTCCTGCTACCTTCATGGAATGGGAAAGAGCCATGCTCCAGGAGCTCTTGAGTTACTTAGGTTATCAGATAGGGCCATTTAGCAGTAGTAGCATGTGGATCGCTCCTGGAAGAGTGAGCACAGTAGGGAAAAATAAGAAGCTTTAAAATACTGCAGCATCTCTCCCACACAAACTGATCACTTGTTTGTCTGTACAGTAGCTTGCAGAAGTATTCATCACCCATTGACTTTCCCACATTTTGTAATGTTACAGCCTGGAATTGAAATGGATTTAATTGGCATTGATACCACTTGAGATACACAAGATAATCCACTCTGTGAAAGTGCAAAATATTGTTATTGTGGCACAAAAGCTAAGTAAACAAAAACAAATTGGCACTTGTTGTTTGTTTAAGCCTTCACCCCATGAGTCAATACTTGGTAGAAGCACCTTTGACAGTAATTATAGTTGTGAGTCTTGTGGAAAAGCCTCTGTCAGCTTTGCACATCTAAATGCTGCAGTGTTTGCCCATTCTTCTGAGCAGACCTGTCCAATCTCTGTCAGTTAGATGGAGGCCTCTGGTGAACAGCAGCTTCCAAGTCTTGCCACCGATCTTGATCTGATTGAGGGTTGGGCTTTGATTGGGTTAATCTAGGACATTCAGGGTATTGTTTTTAAACCACTCCAGTGTTACTTTGGTTATGTGTTTGGGGCCATTGTCCTCCTGAAAGATGAACTTCTGCCTTTGCAGACTGGAACAGATTTTCTCCCAAAGTTATCCTATGTGTGGCTGCATTTGTCTTGCCCTCAGCTCTGATGAGTTTTGTCCTCCCTGCCAAGCAAAAGCAGCCCCACAGTATGTTGCTGCCACCAGCGTGCTGCATCCTGAGGCTGGTGTCCTCAGGACAAAAAGCTGTGTTGGCTTTTTCCCACACTCAGAATTTTGCAGCAAGACCAAGACATTCTGTTTTGGGAACCTCAGTCCAGAAAACATTTTCCAAGTGTTTGTTGTACCTCCCACATGCATTTTGGCAAACTCAGAATAAGTTTTGATGTGGATTTGTTGCTTTCTTCTCATCATTCTTCTGTAGAGGCCAGCTTTGTGGGACATCTGGGGATCTTTCACATGGATGATCTGTCCAATGAATGATCTATCCCATCTGAGCTGCATATTTCTCCAGCTTCTTCAGCGTTCCCAGGGATCACTCAGTTGCTTCTCTGACTAGTAGCCTCCTCTCCAGTCACTGAGTTTTGGCAGAAAGCCTTCTCTAGGCAGAGTGTTAAGCCATATTCTTTCCATTTTGAAACGATGTTTCACAGCATGTTCTGGGATTTTATTTTTTTAGCATCGAACCCTGATTGGTGCTCTACTCAACTGTATCGCAGAATTGCTTTGACAGCTTCTGAATCTTCAGGATGCTGTTTATTTAGATGGGTTCTCTGACAGACCCTGGAGCACTCTAGAAAGAGGTGCATTTAATCTGAGATCATGTGGCACTAAAATTGCACACAGGTGGCCTCCATTCAACCACTCATGTGACTTCTGGAGGCAGTGAATTGTGATTTAGGCATGTCAGAGCAAAGGGGGTGGACGCATGCTACCAAAAATGGCCAATTTGGTTTTAGTGCCAGGGTTTTTTTTTTTTTTTAAGGTAACTTCACATTGTGGAATATCGCATGTGCATCAAGTGGTAACCATGTCAATTAAATACATAAATAGACAGCAAGCCTTGTCTGTCATCTCTATAGAGTGATCTGATTCTAAGATAAAACAGCAAAAGCATCTCAATCCTGAAGCCAGTTTGGGACATTTACAGGAAAAGATACACGGGGGTGTTTGTGCATTGCAATTGTTCATAGGTTATTTTGATGTAGACAAGCTGGAGCAGGCCTCATGCTCATGCATTCCCCTACTTCATCTCTTCTTGTTATAAGACTGGGTAGAGGACTTCAGAAGCTGTTGCTTCTGGTTATTAGCCATGACTTCCCATTTCATCCAAAACAGGGATCTTGGTTTATAATAGTTTATACAAACCAGCTTTCTAAGGCATGTTTTGAAATTGGTTAATATTAGATCAGGATCCCAGATTTGGAAGAAACAGAAAACCATAGTGAACTCAAATGGAAATTAAAATCCATATGAGAGAAGAGATGGTGCTGAAGCTTACTGCAGCTTGTACCTTTCATGATAATCCCTATTTTTAAAAGCTTGTAAACACAACCACTGAGTTTTTCTTAGGAACAGATGCCAATTCTTGGCATTCCTATATTTTAATTTCTCTTTTATGTTGAGACAGAGACTCAACAGCAGGCCTAGGGCCACTGAAACACAAAGAGCAAAGTTGGTCCTGCCACCCAGATAATCCCAGCACATTTCAGTTCAGTACTACTTAGAGAACAGTTGTTCAGCTGGATCCTTAACTATGATTCTTGTTGTTTAACCAGGTCCTTATTGCTGCCTTTGCAACTTCAGGATATGCTTCCACGTATTACAGAGCAGGAAGCAAGCCTTTTAACCCTGTGCTTGGTGAGACTTACGAATCTATTAGGGAAGACAAAGGATTTCGATTTTTCTCAGAGCAGGTAAAATCACTTCCAAAAGAGGCCCTTAAATAGCATTCTGATGTTAATGTATGCATTTCTTTTTTAGTGAAGGACTTTCATCTTGACTTAAGAAAGTTTTCTGATAGAAATTTATTTTTTTATTATAAAATACATTTAAACAATATTTAATTTTAAAGCATTAGTCAAAATTCAGTGCTGTAAAGCAAAATCGTTTTGCAGAAACGCTGTAGACTGTATTCCTATCCTTTGCACAATGTGTACATCTGGTATTTATGGCCTCTGTTGCAATGATGATAAAAATGAAAGTCTCTTGCATTTTTTTATACAATTCCTCACCACCGTAATTTTTTTTTTTCAGGTTAGCCACCACCCACCCATTTCTGCCTGTCACTGTGAATCTAAGAATTTTGTGTTTTGGCAAGGTATACATTTTAATTCTCAAGCCTAAAGATAAATATAGTTAAAAAAAGAAAAAAAGCAACCTTAAATGATTATTACATATATAATTCTCCTTTTGAAATTTACCTAATCGGTTAAGCTAGTTGTGAAATCTGCTGTTTTAAATCATTCACTTTCATATTTAGCAACAAGGAATAAATAGATGGACCATTTTTTGCCTTCAAAAATAAAATATAAAAATATTTGCTCAAAACAGGGCTGTGTTGGATTACATAATAAGCCAGGGAGATAAATGCAGCACTGCATATGCAGAGGTTTAGTCATTTGCAGGTTTCTAAATCTTTGCTCTGTTGTTCAGATATCAGGTGGAAGAACAAATTCTGGGGCAAATCCATGGAAATACTGCCAATTGGAACATTGAATGTGACAATTCCAAAGTAAGCAGACTCTGTTCTTTACTTTGCATTCCTTCCTCGTCCAGGAAAAACTGTCCAGTGAAACCAGTTCAGGCTCTTCAGCTCAAAGGTGTACTTATCAAAGGAATAATGTAACAGGTTAAAAAACTGGAACCTCTAAAGCAGGGACTGGGATTATCTGGCTCTCCAGATGCCAGTGGACTGCAGCTCCCATCATCCCTAACCAGCGTAGCCAGTGGTGACAGAACCATAATTTAAAGTGTCCAAAGCCCAGACCCTATAATACTGGGTGCTTCAGTTAGGCAGCTGTGAAAATCATGCTTGTTATTCATAGCAGTTCCTTGGCTTGTGGTTTTCCCATTCCACTTTGAACAACAGAAGGGAACATTTTTCGAAATCTCCTGTAGAACTGTTTGGATTCTCAGTTTCCTTAAAGCAGTAAGAGTGAGAGGCATTTTAGTAGTTCAGAGTGAGTTGTGTCCTTGTAAAGTCTGAGATCACACAATGACATGAAATAGGGCCCTTATATTGGATGGGCTGTACTGGAAGAACCAGCAGGTTACTGTAAGTAATGTAGTGAATGTACTCATATTGAAGTTTCTTTCATTTGATCAACTAATGAATCTTGGAGTTTTTCTCTGCAATTCGGCTTGGTTTCTTCAGCACTAGTATGATGGAACAAACAGAACAATGGACTTAAAAGTGTTGGGACCCAGATATAATGAATCATATCCAAATGTATACAGTTTTGTGAAGGCTTTGGGCAATTCCTTATTTCTCAGCCTAATATTCCGCCTTGAGTTTTTTTGAGGACAAAATAGCATAGTTACAATATTAGTGTCACCCTCGCAGCATACTTTTCTGTTGATTTCCTTAAACAGCTGTAAGATTATAGTTTATAATCCAAAGTCAGTCCTCATTATACAGGACTATAATTCTTCACAGAGCTCATCTGGGGTTCTACAGTTGAACAAATTTTATCCTCACTGAAAATGGATGAGAGAGTTTGTTCATCAGCCCTAAATGTTTTAGGACCAGGGTAACTAAAAGACATTCTGCCAGTCAGTTGAAGTAGTCTATGGAAGTTGGGCTCCAGCTGCCACCAGCTTCAGAGGAGCAGTGGGGGTGAGTTGCTACAAGGGATGGGGCCTTCTCAGTATCGGCACCCAGACAATGGGCTGCCCTTCCTCAACAACTCTTTTAGGCCACTTCCCCACATCACCTCCTACCACACAGCTGAGAGGAGGAGCTCAGACTCTCTGCTAAGCATGGCTTCCCATTGCATCTGAAGTGGGATCCTGGTTGACAATGACTATAATTAGTTAAAACAAGCTAGCATCATGAGCCGTGGTTTGAAACTGTCTAGTTTCAAAACCAAACTGGATTTGAACATTGCTACCCAGGCTTTTTGGTGAGTTTAGAAATGAGTGGTAAGAGAGCTTATGGTGACGGATCAATATAGACTTCTTTTCTGGTTCAGTTATGTGTTTTATTATGCTTTTTATGATGATGTATTAAGTTGATTGTAAATGATCTTTTGTTGAAAGGTGGGGTGTAAACGTTTTAAATAATTACTCAGCAGAGATTTCCTGTTTCTTGGTTTCGACGTAGGTAAGGTAATATTAATGCAGTGCAAATAAGTGTGATTTAGCAAAGAGCCCTTTTGAAACTTAGTCATTATGCTTTTCTTTCTAGGTATGGTGATTGCTATGTGTGGAACAAAGTCACCACATGCATACATAATATCCTTAGTGGAAGGCGATGGATAGAACATTATGGAGAAATAACCATTAGGAACACAAAAAGCAGTGTTTGTATCTGTAAACTCACTTTTATCAAGGTAACTTTTCTGTGATCCTGACTGTGAACTGGGAAAGGGCTCTTCTCAATTGGTGGACCACTCCCCATGGTTTTTGGGGAGTGCAGAACCCAGCTGGCTTGCACTGATGGAGGGAACAACTGTATGAACTCGTGCTTCCGTGGAAGGAGGGATATGTCGCCCTTTCATCAGCTGTCACAGATCATGCCGTAGCCACCTTTCTGTTCCCCACATTGGAGGAGTTCTTTGTACAGCCAGCACCTCTGTAGAGTCCCAGCTAGGACACAAACCTGCAAGCGACCTGGACAGTTCCTGTGTTTGGCCATGCCATGGAGCAGATCCTGCTTCGGTGTGGGGAAGCCAGAGCAGCCTGTCAACTGCACTGTTCTCCAGGGAGAAGCTCACTTACAGTTGAGCCTCTGAGTCTGGAATCTGGTCCTTTCAAAGGCTGCTGGCCAAACAAACTAGCTCAAAGGTTTACTGAAAAAGACTTTTACAGCCATTCTTGTTCAGCCTTGCTGCCTGCTGTGACGGGTGTTTGTATTACCTAAAAACAAATAAGATTTGTTTTTCCCCTCAGGAATTGTATGCATATGCAAATTTACATAGATGTCACCCATTGCAAGTCCATGAGTTCTACTTGATTAACTAATCTGTTCATTAATTCACTGAAACTCATGCAATTAATCAACAAAGGCTTCTTTAATCAGGTGACACCTTTATCATCAGTGAGCAAAATGTTTTTAAGAATGTGTGGCCCCCAAAAGCAATGTACCTGTGCAGACACTAAAAGGAAAAGAAGAAAAGGGTGGGGGGATGTAACTGGATTTCCCTCTCACATGGACTATTCTTTCTACAGTCACTGACTTACTTTGTAACAACTGCATCTTTTTTACAAATTAGTTTCACTTGCAAAGAAGTGTAAAATAATTTTGAGGGGCCTTACTAAATAATCTTTTCATTACAGCCCTTTAAATTCTTCATCATAATAATTCATTTTGCTCTGCCATGCTTGTGGAAGCAAATTCCCTTTTGAGTCAGAGGTCCGGCTTACAGCACAGAGCTGGGTATTTATGGAGCCTGCAGCTGGAACCCGTCGGCCACAATGTGATGAGCAATGTGTGTGTTGACAGCCCTTCTCCTGGGAGAGCATCTAGACCTGGGAGGGGGTAGTGAATCATCCTCGTTCCCCGTTTCTGGAAGTCGCCTCATACTATCTGGCACTTGCAGGGAGCGTGTGGCAGTGTAGCTCTCTGCATGGGAGCACTCCTGGTCTTCTTGGATACTTCTGTGTAGCAATAGTCTGCTGCAGCCTGAGAGCAGGGGGATGATTTGTTGAACAATCCGTTTCCAGGTGAATTACTGGAATTCTAATGCAAACGAAGTGCAAGGCATCGTCATGGATCAAGAAGGGAAAGTGGTGCATCGCCTCTTTGGAAAGTGGCACGAAGGACTCTACTGCGGGGTTGGGCCCTCAGCAAAATGTATATGGAGGCCAGGTAAAAACGTGTGGGCAATTTAGCTAAGTTCTTCATGGGGAGAGGGATGGGGTGGATCTAGAACTTGCGTTATGGGAGAAGGTGCTTCACCACTGGATCCAGCAGGATAGACTGGAGTGGCCCTAGGAAGACTCTCTCTGGAGCCACCGTTGGCCACTTCTGGCCCATTCCCGCTCTGGCCCTGCTTCCTTTCATGATCAAACCTAGATGAGATCCAAGCTCTGCTTCCCTCGCTATCTTGACGAGTTTCAGTTGTCGGCCTGTGTTCCGTAGTGGGAGGGTTTGCGTGTCACAACAGATAACGGTATGTCTTTCATCCTTTTTGGTCTGCCATGCTGCCCAGCCTTGTTGTGGTATTTCCTCATGGAACGTTTGGTTTTGAGAAACCATGAGCAGAAACAGTGGTCTGCCCTGTGGTTTCTCAGTACAATGGATGCTGGAAAACACAATTGCATGTTGTACCAAGGCTGGAAGCATAGATCCAATCAACAAGAGTTGCCCATTGGTCGTGCCAGATGGCTAACCAGAGACTGCCACTGATTGCTGCTGGTTGGGCCAGCTGTCACAGGTGCCCCCTGCTTCTCCTGCCCCTTGCCCCGAAGCTCTTCGGGGCAGGAAAAGACCATCAGCACCGAGAGAAGAGCAGTGCCACTCAATTGATTCCCCCACTGCGGCTCTGCGCAAGCAGTGGTGGCCGGTTGGGGTCCGTGTGCTGTAGCACATCCCCCGGGGTCGCCCCTCTTGCAAGACCAGCAGGGCGAGAAGTAGTTGGACGGTGGCGGTGCCCAGCTGGGAGCTCTGGTGGCAGCCGTCCCATCCCTTCGTGTGCGCCAGGGCGAAGCGCCTCTCACTGTTGCTCGTGAGTCAGCAGCAGGAAGCAGCTGGGCAGCGCTGCAGGCAGGGGCCGCTCCCTCCCGTTGGTTCCCCGTTGCCGCGTGTCGGAGGGAAGCAGCTCGTGCAAGAAGGAGCCAGCAGCAAGTGTGAAAAGCAGCTGGGTGGCAGGGCCTGATTCAGGACCGTTCTCCCCTGCAGATTTCCCCACTGTCCCCCTTTCTCGCTGTGGCTTGCCGGAGACATGTTCCCAACCCAGTGCCCACTTTGCAAGCTTTCGCAGCAGGATCTGCATACCCCTTTAGTGAGATGGAGGACCAGTGCTGCTTCCCCTTCAGCATCACCCCCGGGTGCTTCTCTTACCCACCACCGACTTACGAGTAGTACTGTGAGGTGCAGTACTTCACTCTGGGCATCTCACGGGACGGATGGGGCATCAAGGGAGCAATGCTGCTCCTTCCCACAGCACTGCCCAGTGGGCCCCTTGCCTTTCGCAGATCGGGCACCCCTTTCGGGCTCCAGGCTCCCCTCTGGAGCAGGAGGAGAGGCTTCCTTGTCCTCGGCTGTGCTTCAGGAGCCCTGCTGGTTCCGCAGGGAGCGCTTGAAAGCCTGACTTGGGGTAGCGGTTGTCCGAGTGAGGAGCTTCCCTCCTTCCCATGGTGCTTCCTGGAATACCGAGGGCTGAGAGGGAAGGAAAAGATGGATGGGAGGAGAGGTACCGAACGGAGCACGATCATCTGCCAGGCACATCCACACAAAAAAACAGGCCCGGTGGAAGCGGCGTGGCACCGCTCGTCATGACGTGTGCGTCCAGCCAGTGTGAGCAGTCATCTCCAGAATGCAGGGCCGTGCAGAGTGCCACAGGCTGGCCGATGTTACGCAAAGGCAGACCTGATATTTTAAGAGGTGGGAGCTGCCTGGTAGCGCCACTGTTGCCATTAAAATGCAAGTGATTTTTTAAAAACTGTACTACCTTGGGTGGGCAAGTTTTCCACATCATTGAGGTTGAACAAGTTTTCCTTTTGAAGGGGAATTAGCCAGGGATGCTGTTTTCCTGTCCTGGGCACTAGTTGGTCACTGCAACATTATCAGCACGCACACCAACATGAGAAGAGGGTGCGTGTTTGATGGTTTTCTGTAGTACTTGAATTGATTGGAATAAAGTCCTTGAATCAATCCACTAGTCCCTGCCCCAGCCCAAATATTGTCATCTTGTAATTTACCAGATCATTAGCTAAGGGGCCCTGGGATGGCAGACCTCTCTGTTGCCCCAGTCATTCAAGCAGTGGCTTTGTGACATCACCAAAAAAAATGGTGCCTTTCTTTTCTGGGCTTTGAGCTGGATTGTCAAGTTTTGGCCACAACACCCACCATTTAGATGTGGGCTAAGGGAAGCAGAATCCTGGAAGCTTTACCTGACATTTTTGGATTCACGAAATAAAAAGCTAGAACCATTTACTGTAGGTGAAAGTCCACCTGGTGACCACAGGCCAGTTACTGGGCAGAATCCATTCCATTAGTGTAAAGGACATTGTGCTAGGTCCCAAGCTGTATGCACGAGGAGGCTCCAACTAAAATTACTGTGTTTCTGCAAGCTGTTCTGCGCTACTTTTGGATAACCTGTTGTGCGACCAGTTGTACATAACTCCTGTGCAAGCAATTGTACATTCCATTTGTGGAACCCATTGTCTAACCAACTGCACAACAATTTACACAAACCAGTTCTGCAGGCAAGTTGTGTATCAAAAAGATTTGGCAGAGCTCTGTAAACACTATTTGAGTTTGCAGAATGTTGCTGTTAGAAACTGCCCATTTTTTCTTTGTCTAACTCACCTTGGAGGGTTGTTATGAGGATCAAATGAGTAGATGGGGGTAGTTTTATGAGCTACTTTGAGCTTCTGCAAAAAGAATGGGATTAATTCCTTATTTCCTTGATAATGGGGGTCATCTAAGTCAGAACGTGTTGTTCTGATGTGCCTGCCATTCCTCATTCATGGTGCTCTGTTGTTGGTTGCTTTGCAGCTTAAATAACCACGATCCCAAACCACGGATGTGCATCCAAGCAGCAGCAGCTGCTGCAGGAGGCTACAGATGGGGCTGGGTGGAGCATATGCCAAAGGCCCAAGGTTCAGTCCTAGCACAGAGATGCCTTGAGTTAGCTTTCCCTAACCTGGCACAGTTCCCATAATTGGCAGGCAGCGCAGGCAAGAGGCGAAGGGTTTGGAAAGTTGCTGTTGGAGACCTTGGGAGAGGGCAGTGCTGGACCAAGAGCTCCGTACGCAGCTCTTGCGCACCCCCGCCTGCTCCCCAGTCCTGCAAACAGATGTTTCGTGCACTTGGCTCTGGCGGCCGGGCCATCTGTGGGCCTGGTAGGGTGGGGGCAGGTCACTTGCAAGAGCTTCCAAACGGCACTGTGCCGTGTAGCTCTGCTCATCCCATGGCTCTGCTTCCCGCCATGCAGAGAGCCCACACCAGTGTCACCTGGCTCGCAGAAATGGGCAAGGCCGGTTTGTTTCTAGTGGCTCCTCAGTAGCACGTAGAGCAGGGCTCCACCCACCCCCAAGCAGTGATGAGAGCTGATGGGAGTGGGCCATGCCAGCTGCATTTCTGCGATGGAGTATTGCGGTTTGACAATGCAAGAACAGGCAGGTCGTTTTCTTCTGGCACTTTCTTCTGCATAGAGGACCTTTGTTGTTATTCACAAAGAACAACTGCTAACTTTCCCTTGCCCATCAACTCTACCTTGCAGGCTCCATGCCAACCAACTATGAATGTTACTATGGCTTTACAAGGTTTGCAATTGAGCTGAATGAATTAGATCCTGCCTTGAAAGATCTTCTTCCAAGAACCGATGCACGATTCCGGCCAGATCAAAGGTAAGAAGGGCAGCATGCAAATGCAAACAGGTAAATAGGTACCACTTCAGTGGGAAAGGTAACAGCATTCCATGCACCTTGGCATTTAGTCAGGACAATCCTGGCTGTTCGGCTTACAAATGGAGATGAGCACCTGCCCCAGAGCCAGGCACAGTTAGCACACACTTGGAGGGTGGGGGGCACACACCTTTACCTCTCGCATTAGAGTAGTGATTGCAGACTTTCATCCTGGCATTGCTCAGTTGATTAATGCGTTTCATGGATTGCATACAGTCCTTTTCATCTGCTAAAGGGCTGCCCCTTGATTGATTAGAAAATGTTGAAACTTGTTATCAGTAAAAGCACTTCAGGTGGGCATTGTTTTAAACACAAGGGCATTTCTCAAAAGTGCTTAAGGTGTTCACCATCTTAGAAGAGGCATCCCCCTTTCTAAGCTCACAGGCAGAGGAAGGCCTCTTTCAAAATGGTGCCTTCACTGATACTTAAATGCATATATTTAAAACTAAAAGGCATGCTGGCTGTTCTAAATGGTTTTATTCATATGCATTTATGCTGATTTAACCAAAGAGATGACCTACAGATAATTAATTAAAACTCATGATTAATCAATTAAAAATTCTTTCACAGGGTGGCAGCCCTATTAATTTTATCTGAATGGTACTAGCTGCTCATTGCCTGTGGATTTTGTTGTTGTTCTTTCGCTACTTGTATATTGATAGCTACTGAATTATTCAATTGGTTTACTGAAGGCTTTTAGAAGAGGGGAATTTAGAAGCAGCAGCAGCAGAAAAGCAAAGAATAGAAGAACTCCAGAGGAATCGAAGACGCTACTTAGAAGAAAACAATATGGAACATGTACCAAAATTTTTTAAGTATGTAAATTTAAGACTGTGTTGATTTCCTTTGAACATATATGCCACCAGCTCAGTAACAGGAAGGGAAGATTTAAGCCAGGGCAGGCCACTTCTGGCTAGCGGGTCCCAAGTAAGCCCTGCCCTAAATATCTGCACTTGCGGCACGGAAAGGGTGGTTGGGGATAAACAGGACACATTCAGAATGAAAACAAGCTACATTTGTTTGCTTTACTGGTCCATAGCAGTTTGCTGCTGAAATTCATAAGTTGCTGTTTTTACCACAACAAACGCAGCAGTGGGAATGCAACCCGTGTTGTTGTTGTTGGTGGTGAGCTATGGGGCTTGAAAGGGACCCCAGATGCTCCCAAGTTACGGACCTGGACTATAGTTTATTTTACTCTCAGCATGCCTGTTTACAACTGAAGTAAGGAGTTGGTAACTGTTAAGGCATTGCTGTAAGAAACAAAATATTTACAAGAGCTTTAGAGAAACTTTTCCTTCAGCATTGGAAACCGTGTTATGCCATGTGAAAAATGTGAGCTGCTTCTCATTGCACATGGTGGGACATTGGCAGAAAGGAAACATTAAGGGAGGCAACCGATTGCAGATTATTATTGAACATTGCTCCATTTGACCGGGGCATCATGGCTCAGATAAACTTGGACCAGATGAGAGATACATGCATTTTTTAAACACTGGCAAGTAATTACATTTATTTATAATAGGCTGGACCTAGTAGTGCTGTTCCACCAAGGAACTACTTCCATCTGGGGAACCAGGGGTGGGGACATTTGGGCAGCGTGTGGGGTGGCTGCAGGGAGGAGGAGATGAGAAGGAAGTCCCACTGCAGAAATGGGTGTCTGCTGATGTGACACTTGATGTATAATGGTGAAGCTTTAGAGGGAGAACATTAACACTCTGATCCAGTTTGGTGCACTGTATATGTAGGTGCCACCTTCCGCAAGGGGGTCCTTAGCTAGGTAAGGAATGCTGTGCAAATAGGCTTGTGCTTCTTTACATCCAACAGCAGAGGCTGCTTGCCCTTATCCATGCAAAGGTGCTGCCAGTTGTCTGTTCAGGAGGCTGAATTTAGTCCGCCTGCTCCTCCTCTACCAAATAACAGATTGGTGGGATTCTTGCTTATTAAGAAGGCTTCTGCATGGCTCACAATTGAATGGGCATGCCATTCTTTGCTTTTTAAATTTCCCAATTTATTGTTGTCTGACAGTAACACCTTTCTTTTATATTTGCAGAAAAGTTATCGATGCCAATCAAAGAGAAGCTTGGGTTTCTAATGACACATATTGGGAACTTCGAAAGGATCCTGGCTTTAGTAAAATAGAAACCCTCAAACTCTGGTAAACTGAGAATGTAGATTTAGTAACATATCACTCTTAAAAAGAAAAAGAAAAACTATGCACAACATGTTTCTTATAGCTAAGGGTGGTTTGTGGGCCTGCAGGAAACCTTCCATTTGCTTTTATATTCATCTTTATAATGGACTTCCAAAAGTGCATTAGCCCAGACCCTGAACATTTCTGCAACAGTCATTAATGTAAGGAAAAGAAAACACATTCAGACATGGGAAATGCAGCACAAGAGAAGCATGTTCTGAGTTCGCCAAAGATACTTTGAAGAGTATCTGGTGCTTAAAATAGACATGGGGAGTTCCAAAATAAAACAGTTTTAACTAACTTGTCTAGAATGTCCACACATGCAACGATTGAATCTTGAGTCACGATACTTGCTCATTTCTAGCTTCAGGTTAGTTTCTTGGTGTGATGTGCTTGGACTGGCCATGTCAAAAAAAGAAATAATGCTTTTCTGGAAGCTCTTCCCATTCATACGCCATTGTTCATGCCTTAAAAAACAATGTGAAGTTGTACATTGTCATTTTAAAATATGTATTCTTCTTAGACATTTGTGAAAGGCAAATTTTTAAAGCACTAGGATTTTGTTCATATTATAAATAATGGAGGAAGTGTATTATTTAAAAGAAAACAAACCCTAAAAGGATTGTAAAGGAAAGTGATCGATTCCATGCTTTAACTTTGGAGGACTTGGTTGTACGGTCAAGCTGAAAGGAAAGTGGCTAATTTTGTAACAATCTTGGGAAATGAATCCAAGGATGTGTTCTCAATGCCTAATGCTGTGCTAAATATACCATCTCTTACCATGACTTTTCACGGCTTTGCAGCTTGTCTGATTTTCTCACAGCTCTTCTTTATGATTGGAATCCCCGAAAGCTTTTCAGTAGTAGTAAACATGAAAAGGTGTGAGCAAAATGTCTGGCTTTTCTCTTGGGATAAAGGATCATCCTGGTAACATATATATGTGTGTGTGTGTGTGTGTGTGTGTGTGTGTGTGTGTGTGTGTGTTTCTATGTGCATGGCATACTTTGGTTGTGCGTCTGCTTGCAGTTTTGGTGGGGAAAGCAACATGACATACACAGAAGGTTTATGGCTGCTTCTTGCTAATGATTTTTATGCAAATTTATATTTTATCATTCTCATAAAATGATTATATTTTTGGATGAAGAAGTAAGATCTAAATGGCCATTATGTCGGACATTTTGATGTATATGTGACGGATGACTGGATGAGTTCTCTCTCAAAGTAAAGTGAAGTTCGCATGATTTTCTGAAATCAGTATTAATGTTAAAAATAGTTATGGTTTTTAATTAAATCTTTTCTTTCATTCATGCCCAGTGACTTAGTTGACTCTACTTGCATCTCTTGGGCACTGATGACAGAAACAAGTTCCTTCTACATATTTCAAAAACAGTTTTAATATATACATGACGCATAATTCTCTTTATGCTTTTCTCTGTATAGTGTTTCTTAAGCATAGATTATTGGTGGGCTCTCATAGGAACACAGAGGTGGCTAGCTTTTCACATAATTACCTGAAAACAAATTAACTATATTTAACATAAGTATTCTACACATTATTTATCTTTTTTCTCCCAAACCCATAATTTCTGCTCTACAGTCACATCTGTCAAAGGAACAGACAGTTGAAAAAGTGTGGTTTTCCCAACCAGTGTTACTTTGGATGCACAACGTTGTATGGGCATTAAATGTTTGGCATTGTATGGGGGTTAAACACTGAGCTTCAGTTGCAGCTTGGGATCTCCCGGGTTTGACTGAGGCTTAAAACATACCCATGAGTGTCTGAAATTCTTCATGGCTGTGATCATATACTGAATGCAAAAGTCCATGCTAGGAAGAGTTATGCTAACATTTCAGAATATAAGAATTCATCTTCTTAAAGGCCAAGTTCTCTAGGTGTTGGGGTTGTAAGGCAAGGGCTGGAAGTGTGCTGGTAGCCTCCTCCAGGGGGTCAGAACGGGCTTGAACTCTACAGTGCTTTCTTCTGTCCAGCTTCCTAGTAAGAATCATCCCTATTCTGTATATAAGAATAGATGGATTACCATATTTTGCTTTTCTTTAAGCATTTTTATTTTTTAGTTTTTCAGGAAACTACCATGCAAAACAACATTTAAGAAAGAAAAATGCATAACCAGTATATATATTAGTAACCAATAAAACAGATTCACATTAAGAATGAAAACCATAAAAATCACATATGGAAATTTTCATGCTGCAAGGCAGAAATGCAGTTGACTGAACTCATGCAATGGAAACTTTTCTTTAGTAAATTTCCAGATTGGAAAATTGAGCTCCAAGCCTCTTCCCTCTCCCGGCAAGCGTCAGGAAAATTTCAAGCAAACTGCCTGACACGGCATGACTTACTTCTTTCTTTAAAAGGCTGCTTATTCACTGGAAGGCACCACAGTAAGGGATGCCACAAGCATGTTTCCCAAGGGAGCTCTATTACGTGCTCCTGTTCTTCACCCCCCTCCATTTCTTCTGTTAGTGATGCTCTGCCAAAGTCTGGCAGTGACCACCCTGCAGCGGCAGACTTTGGGGGGGCATTTCAGTAGAGGGCAGGTTTAGGCCAGGCGGGAGAGTGGGACTTCATACACTCTGGGAAAGGTCTAGAAAGCTTGCCCAGGTGCAGAGGCTCGCGAAATCCAGGCTTTGTAGCATGCAGAAGTCTAAAGAGCACACCCAACATATGTACCCCACTGCCCAGTGCTTGGCATCCAGTCATCACATGGCCTGGTGCACTTGTGCACATCGGGAGACATAGAGGGTTTTTGTAAGTCTTCTGCAACAGTTTTCCAATAGGAAAAAACGAAGCCAGGCTGTGGGAAGCTCTTTGTGCAGTAAACAAGTATTCTCTGGGGTTCCCCAGGCTTACAAATTAATGTTACAACTGAAAAAATGTTCCAAATAGTGACTGTGGATACAAAAGATCGTTCAAATTGCATTCTGTACTACGTATTAGTGGTGAGTGAACAAGGGTGACATTCCTGTTACAAGAACACACTTTTGAGGTTAATAAACCTCCTCTTAGCCATCATGTTTCTGAGAATCGTGTCCATTCTGAGAATGGAGAAACTACTTTGGGGGCTTGTAACTAATACAAAGCTGATAACATTGCAATATATGCGCTTCTACTCGGAAGGGAATCACACTGTGTTCAGTGAGACTGACTCCCAAATAAGCATGTATTGGATTGCAGCCTAAAAAGTGCAGGTGTCTTCCTATTTACTTCGATAGACCATGAATTATATTCCCAATTCTTTGTTCAGTGAGACCTACTGCAGTGATTCCTGGTCTCCACCCAAATCAGACCCTAAAATGCTTCTCTGTAAAATAACTTTCGTTGTCAAGTATTTTGTTGCTTAGCTGATTGGCCAAGAAAAGTTTGCAAAGAGTATAAATGACACCCCTTAAGAGCAATAGTCGAGTTTAATTTATGCTTATTCTAATAGAAGGCAATGCTATGCAATTGTGTACTACAAACTGTTATTTTGTTTTCATTCTAACAGAAATCTTGGAGCTGAAGTACCATGATTGAAATTGAATTGTCTTTAAAAATTAAATAATCACCACAAGCATGGTCCAGTAAATGTTCCTTTTACACATGTAGAAAGCAATTGTGTGGAACATTTGTCAGTGATTGTTCCTAGTAAGTCCCATAAAAGTCTTATTTTTCTAGATTGTGTCCCAGAGCTGTAACCTCAAGAAATGATATTCCAGGTAGGAGGGAATGCAAGTGAACCAGAAGCATCATTTAGACTGCAGTCCTACGCACACTATTGTGAGAGTAAGCGCCACCACACACAGTGGACCTTGCATCTAAATTAGCTGGTGCAGGAATGCACAGTTCTTCCGTCTGTTTGCACTGTCAAAAATTCCAGTCACTGTTCACTTGGAAAAGAGTTGTATTCTCTCTCTCTCTTGCCAGTGGATATTGCTTCAGTAACACTCTGCGGGCAAAAAGCAGAACTCTTCCAGTGCATGTTGAACGGAGCAACGTTCCATTTGTAAGAAATGAGGGTTCATTATATTCACAGCAATTACTGTTTAAAGTCACTTTGATTTTTTTAAAAAAACTTTCTGATACACTATATTGTGCTTAAAATACTTAGCCTTCTTTCAAAGAGGTCAGGGTGGGCACAGTCCTGCTCCCAGTTTTATCCTGAAGGCAGCCATGCTGTAGGTTGCAGAGAGAGGTTAACTGTGCCAGTGAGATTCACAGCTGAGCAGACCTGAGAACCCGCCTTCAGTCCAAGCCCAAAGTTCTGCCGTCTGCAGTGTTGGGATCAGATGGGACTTGACCAGTCTCCTGTTCTGCCTGTGGGTACCTCTGGTGTTGAGTCACTGAAGACAACCGTAAGTACCACTGGGCTAGGTCCAGACTTTGTGATAATTACAGTAGGTGCATTGAAATCACTGGAATGAACCTGAGTCCCATTGATTTCAGTGACTGCTCTCTGTCTGGAATCAACTCTTTAAGGCTGGAGTCCTAATCTCACTTACTTGGGAAATAAGTTTCATTGAACACACTGGGACCTGAGTATGCAAGTATATAAATTATGCCCTCTAGTCGTGTGACTTTGAATTTGAACTCTACCTAAAACCTTTGGAAAGGTGTGTCCCCAAGCAGAAGGAAATGGTTTCTAGCAGACCAGTGTGTGAAACAGCATTGTTTTCTGGCCTTCAGTAGAGAATAGAAAACAAGGCCTGTGCCTTGCTGAAACCAAATGACAAGCCGGTAACCAATTGGCAGCCAAGAGAAGGGCATTTATTGATTGCCTGTTAGCTGAGCCCTGGGTGAGACACATTCCAGGACTAATACTGACTCTTGCCTAGCATAGTGGGAGAGGCACTCCGCTCCATTAAAAACTCTGTTACTCTAGAACCTGGAGCTATACAGTGATGTCTGATTGTGTGCTTGTGCAGTTCTTCCCACATAAAGAAATGGTGCTGCCATTGCTGTGCTTGGCATTATCATCTATGTAACAGCTCAAGCAATGGTCCATTTTAGTGACCGGTGCAATGCACAAAGCAGGAACTACTGAAAGACTGTGGTGACTGCGTACATGAGTAAAAAACTCCAGGATGCAGTTTTCTGTTCAAACAGCCACTCCAATCTTGTGATTCCCATGTCACACAATCATGCATGCATATAGATTGCCTTAGAAAACACGAGCATCGGCTCTCTCGAGAGTGTAGATCTTGTGCACTGACTGCTCAAGAGGCCTGCTCAAGTGTTCCTGAACATGGACTTGGGGGGGTTCTATCATGGCAGGAGTTTCCAGGGGCTCCACAGCTGTGGTAGTCTTCATGCTGCAAAATGGGGTCTCCCATTCTCGCAGTTGATTAGGTCAAGATGCGGTGGTCTCCTAGGATGTTAGCTGGTGGAGTCAATGGACTGTACTACCTGAATTCAGCAAGTTGCTTGGACTTCTGAAGCAGTTTCAACTCAGTGGAACACCCAAAAATTGCCAAACAGTTGGCTCTAAAAAAGTCCTAGCAAAAACATCAATACTGTAGTGGAATATGGTAATGTAATACTGAATGATTACCACTGAATTAATTGCTGGTATGAAAACCCCCTATAGGCAAGACTCACTGGAGAAGACCCTAATGTTGGGAACGATTGACGGCAAAAGAAGGGGATGGCAGAGAATGAGATGGCTAGATGAAGTCACTGAACCAGTCGGAGTGAGCTTAGGTGGACTCCTAGGGATGGTGGAGGACAGGAGACCCTGGAGAAGTGTTGTCCATGAGGTCGTGATGGGTAGGACATGACTACATGACTAATGTAATATGAAAAGCCCCACGGTCTTTCTAAAACAAGTTATTTCAGTGCTGGCAGCATGCATTCAGGCTTCTGTGTACATATCCACCACTAAATGGGAAATGTGCAAAATTATCAGTGTTGTGGGCTGCCGTGATTAGTGCTAGAAAAGACAGCATGACCTGCACTACTCTGATATGACAAATGGACAAAGTGAACAATGCCCTTCTATTCAAGGGAGAGAGAAAATTTAGGTCTTAAAATTAAAACTGATTACTGCAGTTATTCTTTAAAACAATTTATTAAAGAATGACTAATGACTTTTATAGACACCTTATGAAAAATGGCAGTGATGTCAATAATTATTTCTATAAAAATTCAGTCTTCAAACCATAGGGTTAAAAAGGCCACAGTTCACACACTGAGAAATTCAAATACCGGAACCTGTATAATATTCCATGTCCATCACATCATATAAAGCTTTTCGAAGCAGAAACGTCCTTAGTTTCAGATATCAGCAACTTTGGTTTTAAGATCCCATACACAGAAGTTTTCTGAAGGTGCCTGCAAGCTTTAGTAGGTTTGCCACGTAGGCTCAAAGCTACTTCATCGTACTAAAGCTGAATACAGTAAATACAGTAATTCTAGTATTCCGCATTAAACCCTGACCCCAATTCAGCCAGAAAAAATAAGTTACTCTAATTGCAATAAATCACAAAGATGGCCATTTTTGTCCAAAGTATTCCATGTCAGTAGTATCTAATTCCTAAACTTCCTTTTTTCTAGACTTTGCAATTTTGTCATGAAATGCAAGAAGTGTAACAGAGACATGCAGTACTGAAGTCAGGGTGCTTTCAAAGGAAGGGAATGTGTAGTGCTTGGAAATTCATTTGAAGGTATGTTTTCTGAGGAGCAAAGTAGACATTATTCTAAACATACAGTTAAAAGGGTAGCCACACCTGTAGTTCTCTCTACCATCACTCCCTGTAATATCTAATAGAATTTATTTGGTATTATTATGTCACAGCATTCTCACTGTGATGTCAATATAGGGGTGGCTGCTTTTTGGGGTGTAGATCTTTGTTTCTAGCAGGTCATGGTAGACTTTAGCCGTATGTGATCTACTTTAGTTTTCACTTTGGTTCATCAAGTAGAGCCAGGTGCAAAATAGTACTTGATGAAGACTGAATTGCTGGACAGGGTATATTTGAGAAGATGCTGACCCTAGCAATGCGCTTTTGGTACCAGAATTGAAGCTTGCAGACCAGTTTCACACATAACTCTATTCGTGATTCCCTCCAAATTTTCATGATTTCAGCTGCCTAAGTTAGGAGGGACAGGTGGCTTTTTCTTGTTCCTACTTGTGAAATCAAGTTGGAAAGCATGGTGGATGTATTGCAACTCGTCTACCGATCGTTCCCACTTTAACTTCTGCCCATCCATGGTTTAGAGTCATGTCTACTTTAGCCCTGAGGATTCTGACCCATCAGACTCTAGAAAGCTGAATTCCATGTCTCATCCCATGCATCCAGTTATGCAGGGATCTGGGATTCCTGAGTCTAGCTATCCAAAACAAAAACCTTGCAATAATGGATTTAGATTATTTCCTTATAATGGATAATTGTATCTATCGATTTTGTGATGTGACTAAAAAACAGCCTCAGTAGTTTGGAAACTGCTTGGCTTGGATACATGTATCCTTCTGAGTGATGCTTCTCTCTAAATATTTCCCTTTGCTTGAAGCTTATTTCCTTCCAGCCATGATTTTTAAATACTGTAGTGCATTGTGTGCGGCATCATTGTGCGCGTTACCCCAGGAGATTCCAGTCCCATGGCAAACTGTGATTGGGTTAGTTGAAAGTTCTGCAAGACACTGGAATTGTCCATTAACGCTCAGTTCCTCTGAAATTGCAAACACAGATATTGATTAATGGCATATTATCTATTTTTAAAAGTCATTTCACACAGACACACTTTTCCAAATAGTGAATGGATCAAGCTTTGCTTTGCACGGCTGGGAATATCCTTTATGTTGATAAAGTGAAAACTGCAAGCAACCTACACAACTGTCAAGTTGAATGCACCATGGCTGACCTGTCTAGGTGGAGGCCCCTGCAACAGTGCCCCCTGCAGGCTCTTGAGGGAAAGGCTTCCCACCACCTTCTCCTGGGAGTTGCCCAACAGCAGGGGAGAAGCAGCAAGCACAGAACTGACCCTCGATCAACAAAAGGGCCCTTAGTTTGATACAGCAGAGCCTCCACGCATGCCTTCCCGACTGCCACTGTGCCTGACCTGGGAGAAGGCACTTTCCCTGCCTTCCATAGCTATGGCTCCTGCCAGGTGCATCTCAGTGAACTTTAAGAGAAGGACCTATGCACTGCCACTCATCGAGGAGGAGGGGGCAGGCATGTCACTGTCCCTCTCCCCATGCTGATCTCCCCAGGCTTCAAATAATGCAGACTGAGAAGGTATGTCCTGGTTAGGGAAGTTTGCCCCTAATGGCTAAGAGGTACTGCAAAGGTCAACCATCTGGGCACATATATATTAAAATTAATGAATCTGTTTTAAGAACAAAGTAACACCATACATACCTCTTAGTGTGCATACCAAGTTTCAAGCACCTGGGTTTTACAGTCTTGGAGCTACGGTAGGGACAGACGGACCGATGCACAAATCAACAACCTACTAGGGATACTGCCCCAGCTGAGACTGGGATCGTTGTATTTTGTTTCCTCTGAAATCAGTGGGACTTCACTGATGTTTGACTCGGTTACAATTGGAACTAAATGCAATTAACTGAGGTGGCAACCCTAAACATGCACACCAGAAAGTAAGGCCCCTGGAACCTGGTGGATCCCACTTCTGATTAGACTTGCACAGGATTGCAGTTAGTCTGGATCCAACCCACAATTTATGTTTTATACAACTGAATGTAGGGATTAGAGCAACTCCATGACCACAGTAATTCTCTGAAGGGCTTCTAGTCTGGTGAATTTTGTCAGAGCATTGTACCAAACAGCAGATTCAGCATAATATCCCTGAAAACCAAGCACACTGTAATTCTGCCCTGCCATTCATTTGTCTACATCTATTGCAGCTTTTAATCAAATTAATGTTCTGAAACTAAATGCAGAGTTGTACAGAAAGTAAGCTCTTTCATTGTCATCACTGCTAAGTTTGTGTTAAAGGTAGAACAGAATCATAATTTCACAATGCTCACTTTTTTGGTACTCTGCATCTGAAGCTACTGGTTTTGCCGGGCTGCTGTTGGGTAAAAACACACTGAGGAGGAAGATGCATCTCACTCACGGTGGCAGTTCTTACCTATATTCAAGTACGTTGTATTAAAACTTTGTTCATCTGCAATTTCTCCAAGGAGCTGGACATAATCTGTATTGGGAATACTGAGGGAACTTCTCTTCAGCAACATGATTTTTTCTCCATTTGAGTTCCTTAAGGTGTCCCACGTACATCGCAAATTATGACTCTGCTCATTTCCCTAAAACAAATTAAGAGGTTTTAGAACTTTATATATCTTGTTACATTTAGTAAATCATCCAACACCTTTAACATGACATCAACCATCTTCTCCCTATTCCTTGATAATCTATTAGGCAGATATACTGTGCTATGCTCTGCCCATTTCACTGATCCTGCCTTGCTTCTATTTCTCTTCCTGTAATTGTGGATCTGCCGGATGATTCTCAGGCAATATCTATTGTCCCTTTACTCAACAGGGGTTTTTTCAAAATCTTCAGAAAGAACCTTCCTCTTCTCCTGCTGTATTCACAGCTAAAAAAGAACCAAAATTCAACCTGCAGAAAGCTGCGCTGCGCTGCGCTGCGCTGTGTGTGCGCGCGCTCTCTCTCTCTCTCTCTCTCTCTCTCTCTCTCTCTCTCTCTCTCTCTCTGGAGAGCGACTGTGCTATCACCTGTTTATTAGTTCTGGGTGACTCTGAAATATGAGAAGTAGAGGAACAAAAGAAGCTCTTTTAAAGTGAGTAGGGAGGAGCTGGTGATGGTGGCAGCGGCAGCAGATGTTGCAATGAGGTCAGCAGGTGGGTCTGCTGAGGAAGCAGCCAGATGTTGCAGTGAGGTATTCCAGGAGCCCTGCCTGCTAGAAAATCTAAAGATACAGGCCACACTAAATCCACACCAAATCTAAAGATAAAGGCCTTATTTGTACAAGCATCCCACATGCCCCTAGTTCTCTTTAAAGGCACTTACCTCTTAGCACCCCGGCAGTGCACCCACCTGGGCCATCAATGGGTGGCATGTTAAGTCATGCATACTTATACACATAAGGATGGACCAGGGCTTTTCCCATGGCCCATGTCCTGTATTACACAGAGCTACTACCAAGACAACAGCTAAGTCCTGCTGTTCAGGAATTCCTTCAAACATTGCCCCTTCTAGGATCTCCACTATCCATAACTTTCAGGTTAGGTTGTGTATCTGGAGCACTGTTATTTTTTTATATAGCACAACAAATGCCAGTTAATTAAAACCTATAATTTCATTCATAGTCAGCTTTTCTACTAGATGTTCCACTCTAGCGTTAGCAGTAGCCCATCAAGCAGAAATTAAGCAAATGACGCTTTCTCCAGCACTTTAGCGCTATGCTAAATTTCTGCAACTAAGGCTGCTATTGAAGGTACAGAAATAAATGCTGGGGTCCCAAGATCATCCCAGATTCTTAGTCAAGGGATAGGTCTACAAACACTATGCGAGCCCAGGGCTACTTTGAGGGGACAAACTTGCAGTCCCATTTCCTGAAAGCATACCGTGGCCACTGGTATTAGGACAGTTTGGTGCTTACTCGTTCCTACCATTAAGTAAATCCAGGAATTTAAAGTCAACTGATTAGACTTCCCCACCACCCACCATCACTCAAAATGTCTTAGACTTTTCAGAGAAATAGCCATGAGCAGAACAGCAGAAAGCAACAGCTCCTTAAGAGATAGCTGTGAGACTCATTATTAGTGCACCAACATGTATCTGGGTTTTGTGAAAATGACCGAACTGAGCTCCTTCCAAAATCTGAAGGAGGAAACATTACAAAAGACCTCCACCACTGTGACAGGAGTGGCCAGATGCAAGAGGGCAAGGGTTTTTACATCTTTTAGCCTGCATGGCAGAGAAATTCCCTCTTTCACCCAACTATTAAAGGTGCAGAAGCCCTGTCTTCTTTTGCATCTGGCCGCCCTGACTGTAAAGTGGATGCTTGCACTGATATGGAGTGGATGACTTATTATTTTCAGAAGATTTGTGAACCTCACCCTTATTACTTAATGCTTGGGTGAGGAAAGCTGTCTTCAGAGGAGCAAACAGTTGTTAGGTACCTGGAGAAGTACGGCTCTTATATATTTATCTGAATTTATGCTAGATTTCAGCGTCAGGCATGCAGCCTGTTTACTCAGAACAAAGTAGGACAACATTTAATGCCATGCTTTCCCAAGTGACTGCATAAAATGTTTTAATAAATAAAAATATATATATAAGACTATCGTTCCTCTATTAGAAAAGGCTGGCTTGGGGGAAGAGAATCTGTTGACTGCAGGAAGGAAGACGGGAGGTGACCCACATGTGCTGAATCAGCCAGACCAGCAGGTGCACCTTCCTTGTGTATGCGGCTACAAGGGAGGTATTAACAGAAATGAATGCAAATAGTTTGGTTACGTTTGAAGGACTGAGCGGCTTCCATGAAATAGAATGAATTACTTACTAAAGAAGTAGTAAAACTATCTCCAGATAAACTGTGGAATTTTTCAAGTAATTTCTCAGCAGCATTTCGCTTGGCTAACTTTTTAGAAGTCCCCACCCCTGCATAATGAAAGAAGAGCAAAAATTACTGAAACAAACAGAAAACTTAAGCTGGGATACATTCATACAAAAGCAAAACATGATTATAGCTAAGAAGTCATACTGAAATGCATCCTTGCAAGGCAACCGGGCCCCCTCAGTAAAATAATGCATTCTTAGCCTCCACATCTTCAACTGCAGTCACCAATCTAAGACTGTCTCCTTGTATGTTTCATTCCAATCAATTTTCGCATAAACAGTTTAATTATGAACTGATGAGTTTCTTTCTAGCCATTGCCAGATCAGAGTTTTCTCCTATCACACCAGAAGAAAGATAAGGAAGCACCAAGATGTGGAAGGGTATCATGTGGAGAAGGATGATAAAAGCAGGCCTGAATTCAGGACCTAATCTGAACCAGGCTGCCTACAGGTCAAGCTCTTGGCTGCACAGGTGCCTGCCACAAAGTGATCTGAAGGTGAAGTCTCTTGTGGGAAAGGACAGAAGGAGCTGCTGCAGAATGGATGAAAGGCTATACAGCAGGGATGAGGGAGGCTTGGTCCTCCTGATGTAGCTGAACTGCAACTCCCATCATCCCTCACCATTGGCTATGGTGACTTGGCTAATGGGAGTCAGAGTTCAACAATGTTCTCCTCTCCAAAGTGTTTGTCATTTGATCAAGCAGCAAGGTCAAAATGGAAAAAAGATACGCTTGGCACCAGGTGAGGATAAGCACTGTACACATTCACATGTATTAGGGGGAGGGAGAAACGGTGTTTTCTTGAGTTCCAGGGAGAGCAAATGGTAAATTTACACAGAGAAGCACTGTAGCTGAATTGTCCTGTATACTTTTATTATATAAACACACAACTAAGTACAGATAATATTTTTTAAAATATACAACTCTGACTTGTATGTAATTATTTACTTATTAAATGGACTTTCAAACTAAAAAGGCATCAAAGCTGCTTACAACAGAATTATATGAGACAATAAAGAGATAACAAAAATGGAAACCTCAATATATTGCATTGAAGCATTAGTTCTTTGGCCAAATTCAGGCAATGCTACATTTGGCAGGGTGCAGGGAATACTCACCTGTTTCCACAAATGTTTCTATTCTGCAAGTCATGGTAAACTCTCTTTTATGAGGTGGCCCTGTCTCCTGGGCCAGTGAATACTCTGGAAGTCTCCAGCCTTTCTGAATAGCCAGCTCCTGGAGAAAGATGCAAAAGACCAAGTGGATGTTTGGTGCGTCTACTATGAAACAACCTCATATCCATTTAGTAATCACCATCACCACTAATGTATGTTGCTGATTACTGCAGGAAAACCCTTCAATTATGTTAATTATAATTAACTTTCAAAATTCCATGGTAGCTTGCATAACAAAACTTGGTTTCAGAAATATTTATACTTGAAATCAGGATTTAAACAATAAAAAGGTTTGTGTATTTCAGCCATACTGGTGTCAGTTTTATAGTATGTTTGACTTCTAGCTATCATGACTTCTTACTAGCTTTACAAAACTACACAAGTGCAAAGCTGTCAAATATGGTGCAGACAGTACTTTTGGTCACCACCATCTATGAGGAATGGCTAGCGGTTTTAATAATCATGAAATAACAGAACATGCAATAGCCTTGTCTAATTGTTTTGGGTTGAAGCCAGAATGTACCTCCCAAGGATGGAAGGGCTCTTTCTGTCCACCCAGAGCTGCTGCAGCTGGCAGCCCTTTCAGTTGGCAGCTATGCCTGACAGCTTGGGCATTTTAGAACCGCTGCCACTGGCACTCAGAGCCACCTGTCTAAACCAGCAAGCTATTTTGGCCACTCCTGCCTCACTGCTCTATAGGGGCTTTGGCCAACCATTCGGGTTTGGATGACACTTGAATGCCAAGTGTGGCTTAGAAACACTAGAGCAAGCCATGGCTTTGGGTGCTGGCTCAGCAGCTCACCGAAACCCACCTTCCAGGTAGCACACTCAGGTTCAGAGAGCATGCTAAGCCACCAAATGTGCTGAGTGAATTCTGCTGATGTGTTTCTCTTAATATTTACTTATTTCCTAAAAGTAAGTCGATGCCCTACAGGGGGGAAAAAAGGTAATCAGAAGAGACCCTGCCTGAATGCTTACAATCTAATCAGTGAAAAGAAAGAGAAGCAAACTTCATTTTTAACCCTGAAAGGGAAAAGGTTTTCTAATCTAAACTAAAAGAGAGTTTGCAAAAACAAGCTAGAAAACCCTGATTTGGAGACAAATCAAGGCATTGTCAGCAACACAGAGACATTTCAGCAAAAAGGTTCAAGACTACACTCAGCTGTAAAAATAATATGCAAAAAATGTGAAGCAGTTTTTATTAATAAGGTCTTTCTATTTATCACATCACGCTGTAAAACAAACTGTATTTGGACTAATCCTGCCCTCCTTTGGAGGCCTGCCTACTTTGCTTCCTAACTGCTGGATTTCATTAATTTAGCCAATGTGGCCAAACAGCTGATTTAAAAGAGAATGAATGCAGAAGGGAGTCACCAGATAGCTCTTTCCCCTGTTCCATTACTCTCACAAGAATGTATGGCTGCAATCCTGCTCACACTTGGGATGTAAAAGCACAATCTATGTTTATTTGAAAAGAGCTGCACTGTGTTCAGCAGGACTTATTTCAGGACCAAGTCTGCACAGCAGCCTTAGAGTGATTAAACACAGCAGGACAAACACGCACATACACAAGGATGTCTCTACTTTTTTCCCACCTGAAGTTTCAAGGAGGCTATTCTTAAAAGTCTTCAGATTTCAGGGACAAACTGGATGTGATGAGTGAGTTCCAGAAATTAAGCAGACACCACCCATCTGTATCAGGACTGTAGAGGGTTAACCCATCCATCTCATTATTCCTGCTGAAAAAGTTGTCCCTCAAGGAGCAATTATCCTTGACTAGAAAAGGGTATGGGCACACAGAGCTATAGTCATACATTTTTCCACTTGGGAAGATCCCAAGACCAAAGCTGAGAATGGAAGATTTTCAACAAGAAAATGGCATCTGGAAAAGGATGAACCAACTTCCCTTCTCTCCTAACACACATGTGAGAGTCCTGATACAGTGCAGGATCTTCCACAAATTACTTGTACAAGAAAAAGACGCTGCTTTTCTGTTGAATGGAGAAATGCTTGAGTCAATTAACAAGAATATATAAAATCGGCTTTGCAGTAAAGAGCCAGCACAGTTACTGCCAGGAATAAAGGTATTCAGTTAATACCACTGCTCATAACACTTAGAAATAAGGAAGTCTTCACAAAGGTTTCAGCTGCAAAAGAGCCTCTTGATCTCTGCCCGGGACAAACCTGACAGGTCTTCTAAGAAGGTAAAATTTCACAAAGCCATATTAATGGCCCAGTGAAAATTTTCAATTGAGTGATGTAAGAACAAATTTTGCTATTACTCCACAACATTTTATAGCCAAATAAAAGATCTTCATGCTATATATCACAGAGGATGGGCTGTTGTTGACCAACACACATACACAGCCATGTGTATATAAGATCCTGACCAAGACATCAAATTTTCCTCTACTTTCCCCTTCTCCACAAAATGTGTAATCACTGTATTTTGCTTTATGACACTGCCTTTAAAATGCTTCCTGAGTAGTAAGTATTCTGCTTTCCCATTTGTGCTACCTGATCTTGACTACCTGTGTTGTTTTCTGTCATCAGAAAAATGAAGGAAAAATATATTTTGTATATGGTTCTAAAATGGGCATGTAATTTACTATGAAAAAAGCATACACTCTAAAAGAAAAAAAGCCAGCGATCTTACCTGCAATGATCCTATAGGATTGGCCTGATTCTGAGCTTGATCGAAAGGTTCAGGAATTAAGTGGTCTGGCACAGAAATACTAAAATGAACACAGTAAACTTAAAATTGGCAGTTTAGAAATAATTCCAGGCATTGTTCCACTAATAAATCAGGATCCAATTACAAACCGTATGAAATGTTAGCTTAAGATTACCCACAGCTTAAGGTGCTAGCTCAGGCCAAACAGACTGACAACGCACATACTCTTCAAAATCAAAATGACTATGTATATACAGCATATCACAGAAGTGAGTACACCCCTCACATTTTGTAAATATTTTATCTTTTCACGTGACAACCCTGAAGAAATGACACTTTGCTACAATGTAAAGTAGTGAGTATACAGCTTGTATAACTGTAAATTTGCTGTCCCCTCAAAATAACTCAACACACAGCCATTAATGTCTAAACCGCTGGTAACAAAAGTGAGTATGGCCCAAAGCGTCAATATTTTGTGTGGCCACCATTATTTTCCAGCACTGCCTTAACCCTCTTGGGCATGGAGTTCACTGGAGTCCTCTTCCACTCCTCCATGACGACATCACGGAGCTGTTAGAGACCTTGCGCTTCTCCACCTTCTGTTTCAGGATGCCCCACAGATGAACGATAGGGTTTAGGTCTGGAGACTTGCTTGGCCAGTCCATCACCTTTACCCTCAGCTTCTTTAGCAAGGCAGTGGTTGTCTTGGAGGTGTGTTTGGGGTCATTATCATGTTGGAATACTGCCCTGCAGCCCAGTCTCCGAAGGGAGGGGATCATGCTCTGCTTCAGAATGTCACAGTACATGTTGGCATTCATGGTTCCCTCAATAAACTGTAGCTCCCCAGTGCCGGCAGCACTCATGCAGCCCCAGACCATGACACTCCCACCACCATGCTTGACTGTAGGCAAGACACACTTATCTTTGTACTCCTCACCTGGTTGTCGCCACACACACTTGACACCATCTGAACCAAATAAGTTTATCTTGATCTCATCAGACCATAGGACATGGTTCCACTAATCCATGTCCTTAGTCTGCTTGTCTTCAGCAAAACTGTTTGCGGGCTTTCTTGTGCATCATCTTTAGAAGAGGCTTCCTTTTGGGACGACAGCCCTGCAGACCCATTTGATGCAGTGTGCAGCGTATGGTCTGAGCACTGACAGGCTGACCCACCACCCCTTCAGCCTCTGCAGCAATGCTGGCAGCACTCATACGTCTATTTCCCAAAGCCAACCTCGGGATATGATGCTGAGCACGTGCACTCAACTTCTTTGGTTGTCCATGGCGAAGCCTGTTCTGAGTGGAACCTGTCCTGTTAAACCGCTGTTTGGTCTTGGCCACCGTGCTGCAGCTCAGTTTCAGGGTCTTGGCAATCTTCTTATAGCCCAGGCCATCTTTATGTAGAGCAACAATTCTTTTTTTCAGATCCTCAGAGAGTTCTTAGCCATGAGGTGCCATGTTGACCTTCCAGTGACCAGTATGAGAGAGTGAGAGCGGTAACACCAAATTTAACACACCTGCTCCCCATTCACACCTGAGACCTTGTAACACTAACACGTCACATGACACTAGGGAGGGAAAATGGCTAATAATGCCCAATTTGGACAGTTTCCCTTAGGGGTGTACTCACTTTTGTTGCCAGCGGTTTAGACATTAATGGCTGTGTGCTGAGTTATTTTGAGGGGACAGCAAATTTACACTGTTATACAAGCTATAAACTCACTACTTTACATTGTAGCAAAATGTCATTTCTTCAGGGTTGTCACATGAAAAGATATAATAAAATATTTACAAAATGTGAGAGGTGTACTCAATTCCAGAGTTTTCTTCCTCTCTTCCCCCACAATGGTAATTTTCTGCAATGCTATTGAAACTCAAGGAGTTTCTCAAGGATTCTCAAAAGCAGAATGGAAGGAAAGACATTTATTTACTGTAATCCCAGTTATTTGAAAATTGAATTATATACTACATTATTTGCCATCAGTCAAGACAGAAAACTACAAAAGTTATTATCAAGAACACTTCGAAAAGTAGGATAAAGAGGTTATCTGTATTCGAAAAATAGTTACCTGCACATATCCACAATGAATTCAGAGAAGCATCGCATAGATTGTTGGCGGGGTCCAAGGCTTAAGCCTGCGCACCCTACGCATGTTTAGGTAGAAGCACGTCCTACACCTCCCAGCATGCCCCACCTTAACTTATTTGTGACAGAAACTGGGATAGAAGCAGAGTTCTACTTCCATACTCATAGAAACTGCAAAGTATAATAAAATTTCCACTTGGCCATAATTCACATACAGTTTCATGAGAAGTCACAGAAATTGGCACACGGTGCAAAACATTTGGAGGTTTCCATTCAACAGCAATGTTAGCCTGATGCACTTGCTTAGCTTGGTCATGGGGGGTCTAACAGTCTTGGCAACATCACAGAGCTCTCGGCCCCAGAGATTCTTATGCTGGAGAAGGAGGTCTGGAAGGGGGCTCTGCTCACCTATGCCTGAGTGCAGAGCAGAAGCCTCAAAAGGATAGCTGGGCGATGAGGCCATTGGGGCAGGGTTTGGCTGCACACCCACATCTCATCTACACTGTTAGCTCTCCCATGAGCAAGCTGAATGCCTGGACAGAGCAAGCCACTATGTCACAGCCATCAAAATCCCACTCACCAAATATTAGAACTGCCTTTCAAGATGTGCAGTGCAGCTTCTGCTGCTCTTTGTTTTGCAACTTTCTTGCTAGGACCCTCTCCTGAATTAGTAAAAGAAGAGCAACAATATTTGTGCATGTTTTCACTGGCAGAGTAAGAAAAGAAACAGCTATCCTAAGTCTGTATATTTTGAAATATATGTTGTCTATTTCAGGATAATTCAGTTTTTCAAGTTTAAAGACTGCAATCTTGTATATGCCAACTTCCAAGTTATCATTTAGAACATTAAAAAATGAAATCACTATTTCCAGCCTAAACAGATCAGTTCAGACTATTTTTCTAAGATGCTGAAATGACCGATCTTACAATGTTTTGGCAGAGCACACAAGCCCTTTAGAAGAAAAATGGGGCTGGTGTCCACACAGCATTTTGTCAGGGCTATCCTAAAGAAGCAGCCTCAAATATTTTTCTTTCTGCAATTGTAAGATTGCAGTTGGGCAGCCTATTCCCATTGGCTTCTCAGTTTTCAGACTTACCTTCTCAGTTCTCAGATTCAACCTAAAGTGGAGATTCTGAGAAGCCAGGGGATGGTGCAGCAGACAGAACCCTTCCTTGAAGCAGAAGTTTGGCACTGCCCCTCTTGAAACTGCTACAGCATGAAAGATGCACGGAGGAAGGAAGCATAAGGGGACATCTGGCTGTGGCAGTTTCTTCTCCTCAGGCTTCCTTCTTTCTCTGGCAGGCTAATTTCAGGAGGGAGTGCAGTATGTTCTGTCCAATTCCTCTTCCAAAACCAGGGTTGGATTAGCGCGCTAGTCCACAGATCCCTGCACACACCACCAGAAGTTGCATGTATCAAACTGTGGTGCGATGACGGGGTGTGCTCTGTTGCCAACAGGATGGCTGGGCTCAGGTGCAAGAAGAGAGCTGGAGTTTAAAATGTCTGAGAAACACTAGCTTATGTCAAGGCAGGAGCATGTGCTACAAATTTGAGCCCAAGCACAGAAGGGGCAGGATGATTTCTGGATGATTTACGGAGGGGATGAAAATCAATTATTTAAAAAAATAATTGGATTTTTTAAATTTTAATCAGATTTTTATTTAAACTGGGTTTTTAAATAGAATGCTTTTTGAGGAAAAATCTATCTAAAGATGGTTTTCTATTTAAGATATATTATAGTTCAAAGGTTATTTGTCCTGAAATAAGGATTAGTTTTTAATTATGTAGCATAAGGCTATATATTCATGCAATTTTTTTTGTTAAATAAATTCCATTAATCCAGAGGTTTCTGTCAGATTATTGGGCAATCTAGAAGATATTATCACAGATGCTTGGTTTTACATTTCTCAGAACTGTGTGTTTCTCCAGTGATCACATGCCTCTTCTTCACAGCAAAAATGTTATAAAATAAACATACAAAGTTGAGAAAAGGACCTTAATTCCATTGTTCCTTTGCAAATCTATGCACACAAAATCAACCCCTTACCTCTTAAGTGCTAAGTTTTAAAAATCCAATGAATAGGATAAGATTGTTGGGAGTGGAATAGATCTGCATAAGAAGTCAAGTGTGAGGAGGGTGGAGCAAGCAGTAAAAATGAAAGGGAGCCCTTTTGAGTAGAACACCGTACAAGTCTTTGAGTCTTTCTGTGTATAGCCTGAGGTTTATCATATTATTCTTTACCTGGAGGAGGACACGTATATAGTGGCAGCAGACCAGTTTGGGGATATTTTATTGAAGATCCTCTACCCACAGGTAAGGCAGGCATTTGTGCAAATTATGTCGGAAACCCTGATTTAAATCTAGTCCTACTGACTAGTGATTTACATTGTGATTTAAATCAATTTTATTTAAATCATATCCACCCTCTTCCTGTAACACCACAATCCCCTTTCAAAGCCAACAAAGCCCAGCGTGAATGCAGAGTTAGGCCCTGTCCACCTCCTCAGCTGGAGGGGAAGCCAGGGGCTCACTCCAAGCCCAGTCACGATTGCCTCTACTCTTGCTAGGATGGTGTGGGGCATTCCTCCATGGGAGCATGTCTACTTAATTTCCAGTTCTCTGAGCCAATGCCACCCTCATTCTACTGTCCCACAACTTCCTGCGCTTCCAAAGAGCCGTGTACACATTGACCCGTGTTAGCAACCAGTGACAGGATCAGTTCCCAGGAGTCACGCAAGAAAGAAGTACTGCTGTTACACTGCAGTAGTTACTCTTCAATGTGATCTTCCGTGGCCAAAGCACAGGGCCGTGCTCAACGGGGAGTTTTCCTTTCCAGCCCAGAAAGCAGGGAAGAGTTCTGGTTCTCTGCTAACAAGCCATACACATGAAGGAAGCATAAATCTCAGCCCCCACAGAATATATGCTGCAGTATGTAAGGGGGACATACAGCACTCTCAATTCTGTGGCTCTCAGAGATACATAAGGGATGTAGCTGACCTAACTGTTCTTCAGCTTTCTTTTTCAAACATGACTCCATGCCTCCAATCAACCCTGAAGGCTAACTCCCGCTCTACACTCAAGGTGTTAACAGCAGGAGTAACCAAGCTCTCCTAAGGCAGGGAAAGGGGGGTTCCTTTCCACTAACTTTCTCACCCAAACCCTCTTTCCAGCCAGAGAATGCTGCTGCGATGCAAACTAGGCACAAGCTGGGCAGGGTGAGATCTGCCTGAAAACAGTCCCAGCAGAGTCACCTAAATAAGGGATCAAAGGGTGGAAGAAATGCTCTCCTCTACTATTTTTAACCTGTTTTGTTCTGCAGTCTCTCACTTCCAGCACACCCCAACCTTCTAAATGTCCATTTCCTTATCATTGTTTTCAACCAGCATACATTTAAGGATAAAAGCCCATAAAAATTTTAATGGAGAATAATGGGCTCTAGGATTAGAACTGGGGAAAAAGAAAGCTTTTAAGCTACTGGGTGGTATAAAAATTAATTAATGAATTAATTTGGGTTCTAGGGTTAAAATACTGGATGGAAGTTTAGAACATGTGAAAGATGGAATCTGGATTTAGGACAGACGGGGAAGGGAAGGATGTAGGCAAGAGTGTTTGGCCTCTGAGATTAGTATTAGTATAGGGAAAGTGCAAGAGGTTAGTCTGGATGTGTGGAGGGAATTTTGTGCTCTGCAACTAGGCTTGAAGGATGTTAAAAAAAGAGGAGGTGAACAAACATCTGGACTCTGGGATTAGAAGAGGAGAGGACAGAAGTGTTGAAGTGTGTTAAGAAGAATGCTAACTATTCTATTATTTCAGTTGCTGCTTGGGAGGAACTCCCTCTAGCAAGCAAGGAATGAGCTCTTAAAAAGAGGAAAGGCTTAGGTTTAAAAAAGTCCTCCAAGTCAAATCCCTTGCCGGATCCCTTAAATGGCAAAGGGATTGCTCTCCTTGCAGATTAAAGAAGCTTGTTGGAGGACTGGTCTTGGAGGACGACGACACTTTGAGACCAGTTCCCTCTCCCACAGCAGTACACTTCTTCCAAGCCCAATTCATCATCACGGAAAGCCTTTAAAATGCAAGGAGCACTGCCTTCCTCACAGCTTAAAGGACCATTCCAGCCCCTCCACTTGCTACATGGTAGGTGGGGGTGGGGGGGTAAATAAACTCTTGCTACCCAGTTTACCAACAACCAATGCCCTATTTAATTCTTTAGAATATTAAACACACAATACATGAAATTAAGAAATCAAAGGCATAGATTATACCAAAATGCACCACTGCTACAAACCTGTTGCAGTTATGTCACCTATAGTGACTTTATAGGTAAAGATAGGCATATGTACTTGTCCTTCAGCTTTTTCAAATTCATACGTAGGATTGAGGTTAGCCTTTGTGCCATATTCATGCAACAGCTGAATTGGTGTTTTCCCTGGTTTGGCCGCAATAATTTCCCCCAAGCTGTTCATAAAGATAAATGAATTCAATGAATATTTGAAAAAGAAGGCCATTAGATTTAATAACAAATTTTTGCTTTTAAGAATGTCATGTTGTACTTTTCATTCATGAAACGCAATCCTGATAAAGCTTAGGATGCTTTTGTGATTGTACTTTCATATGAATGAGTAACCATGGAAAAATTACACTGTTAATGCAAAAAGCAAAAATATAAACCCTAGTGATTTGGCTATACCGCCAGAATCATGAGAACAAAGTGACATGTGCTTCCCCCTTTGATGCTTAGACTTCATGTGAAAAGCCATTGTTATGGAACTAAAATGAGTAATGTTTGCATAGCAGCCTACACAGTGAACTAGAAGTCACCAGATGTTAACTTCTTAATTACATTTTTTCCCTCTTGCAGGCCTAAGTATAAAACACAAAAGCACAACTATTACACATTTATCTTGCTCATTCTCTTCGTGGGCTGATGGCCAAAATAAGACATTAATTATGCATATTAAAACCCTGCCTGTTTTCCTTCAAGGAAACCAAGGTGGTTTACTTAATCCTCCCTTTCTTCATTTTATTTTTACAACATTCCTATGGGGTATGTTTCCTTTCACCCCTGTTCCCAAGACTGACTAGCCTATCAAAAGGCCATCATGAATTTTCAGGTAATGTATCATTTCAGAAAGAATGATATATCTGAAAAATAATTCTATTATTTGGGCCAATTCTATAACTTTGGGCCAGTCACAGACTCTCAGCCCAACCTACCTCACAGGGTTGTTGTTGTGGGGATGAGATGGAGGAGGAGAATGATGAACGCTGCCTTGAGCCCTTTGTAGGAAAAAGGCAGGGTATAAATCGATAAGTAAGTAAATAAGTATTATTTAGTTGTACTGTACTCTGAAAGCAAAGGCAGAGAAATTACATACATAAGAGCTGTTTCAAAGTACATTTGAAGATCACAAGGCCCCAAAAAAAAAGGCTTCAGAAGTGGAAGACAGCAATTTGCTTAAGGAAAAAATTGAAACCAGAAGAACCAGTTGGATAAGAAAGCATGTCTGGTACAGCACTGTGTGTGCTATACAAGCAACACTCAAAATATGCAGACATTTTTATGGATGGAGACCCTCAATGGACACAAATGAGGGTACTTGTTCGGACTTAACTAAAATCTAACGTGTACACTTCAGGCATCCACTGAAGTGAACCTAAGGTTAACTTCGTTCGCTTTCAAGGTGCCACACGCCTCTTGGTTTTTTTGCTGCAACGCATTACTACAAAGCCACCTCTCTGGAAATTAATTTGCACTGCGGTTGTATGCATGTTTGCCTAAGTCCACTCGGTTCAAGAGGAATGCTTCCCAATCGCAGCCACCGGGAGCTGGAGTGAGGCTTTCTTCTGCCACGGAACTCCCAGGCAGCAGCTGGTCCGGGGCTACTCGCATCCCGCAACCCTACACCCATCCACTCGGAAGCCCCATCGCCAGGGCTCAGTCCCCGGGAGGTGGCGGCGGGACTGGAGGATCAGTTACACCCTCACAGCCCGGGACGGGCGCCCGTGCGGCGGCGGCCAGCAAGCGCGCCCGTGACGACAGCCCCGTCCTGCCCCGTGTCTTGCGCGCAGAGGATGCTCCGCACGCGCCGCGGGTCGCCGCTCCCCACAATGCTCCGCGCCCGCGCGGACCCCCCTCGCCCTCCAGCAGACCTGGCAGCGCCCTGTCTCGCCACCGGGGACTTCCGCTGCTCCGGGCCCGGGAAGCCCTCCGCGGCCCCAGCCAGGCAGGGGGCAGCCTGCGGCTGGGGCGGCTGGGGCGGGGTCAGGCTGTTCCCCGCCGCCGCCGCCGCCGCTTCCTCCGCGTCCATCTCTTCCTGATCGGCGACCAACATTCTTCCAGCACAGCCCCGCTTCGCGGGTCACGTGCGGGGCGGAGCCTCTCGTGCACGGCCCACCTCGGTTCGCTCCGCTGCGTGGCCCTGGCGGGAGGTGGCGGCTGCGGACTCGCCGCCTGTCGCCCGGCGAGCGAGCGAGCGAGCGAGCAGCGGCTTCGTTCTCAGCACTCCCCCCTGCCTATCCCCGCTCTCCCTCTGGGGCGGGCCGGGATGCGTCCCGCCGGGGAAGCCGACCCTCCCTGCCAGCCAGAAACCGGCCCTGTGAATGGGGCCGATGTCAAGGAGCCTGCCTTCCCCATCCTGGTGCTTTGCACTCCTGTTGGACCGCAGCTCTCAGCCTTCTGGAGGTTGTAGTCCAGCGCGTGGGGAAGGCACCGGGTTGGGGAAGGCTGCAGGAAGCACATTGTATTGTCAGTGGCCCAACCCCCCGCCTGTTTCCCTGTCGCTCTTTTGGCTCCAGTTATTGAGCAAAAGCTGCAATCGTACGAACCCTTGCTTGGTAAGAAGGGTGCTTTCTTTGTTTAATTGCCCTGCTTGAAACACAGAATTACGTGTGGGTCCAGACGACCGTGGGTGCTTCTGGTCAGAGCTGTCAAGTGGTAGCAATCACATGTCTCCGCTCTTTAACAGGTTTTCTGCGGTTCAGGAAAAGAAGACTGAAGAAGCGGCAGGGAAACACAGGACAATTAACTAGTGGAAGAGGACAACGCCTGAATATCCCTTCCCCTTCCTAAAATTTTGTGAATGAGAGAGAGGGATGCTGCCTAATAACATCCAGCAGTTAGATCCGGAAACCTTCCGCCAGCCCATGCTGTAGGTATTTTAGTTTCTCCACTTGAGCGGGGCGGGAAGAAGGATTGTAGATTGCGGCTCATATTACTTGTGTTGTGAAACACACATTTAACATTTCTCCTGTCCCCGCCTCCCTTTCCATGCTTTACAACTGCTGCCTTTCTGGTAAAGGAAGATAAGATAGTGGTGTGCAAAACTGCATTGTGTGCAGAAAAGGGATAGGGAGACAGTTCCCCCACCCCATAATACTAAAACCAGGGATCATCCCATGAAGTGAATTGGTGGAAGATTCAAGAGAGATAAAAGGAAGTGCTTCTTTACACAGCACATGGGATTCACATCCACAAGATGATCATTATCATTACAATACATATATATGCCACTTTTCATCCTTTTGCAAGGAGTCCAAGGTAACTTACAGCTTCTCCTCTCCCTTTTATCATTAGGCTGAGAAGCAGTGACTGGCCCAAAGTCACTCAGTGAGCTTTATGGTGGAGGACTAGAATCCAGACCTCCTGAGATTGGATGTAGTCTTGGCCACCCATTTGGACAGCATTAAAAGGAGATTGGATAACTGCACAGAAGAGAAGGCTATCAAAGGCTACTAGTCCAATAGCTACATGCTACCTCCAGTACAGATGCAGTATGCCTGTGTACGTCAGTTTATGGAGCACTTGGGCAGGCGTGTGCTTTTGGATCACGTCCTGCTCGTTCACCCCTGGACCAGAATTCTGTGCCCTTTTGTAAGATCTAGAAGGCTGATAACTTGCAACCCCTTCAACAGAAAACAGTAAAGCAGAATGTTGCCAATTCTAAGATGAGTCTTTTCATATCAAATATTTAGAATTGGCATTAACATGACAAAATTGTCCCATTTTTCCAATGTGGAAAGAGTGAATAAAAAGAAAATGTCAGTGGATGAGGTTCAGTTCTAATTCTCACCTATGTTCTCCTGAAATAAATAGTTTTCACATCTTAGTCGTTCTAAGATTTTTTTTAATTGATGAAAAATGAGTTTTTCAAAGTCTAAATTATCCAGCTAAATGATGTGGAAGATAGTATGGTGCTACAGAAAGATACTGCCTTAATACTAGTGAATGTTGCCCTATCTATTTACTTTGTTGATGTATTATTAATTAGTTTGAATGTGGCAAGTTAATGAAAGGGAGTTCTTGAATAATAGACTGGAGAAACTGGATGATTAAAACAATGCTGGTGCTTCCTTTCCAGATAAATGTAAGCTTTAAAGCACAGGTTTTTGTCCTGAATTAATCAATTTAGAAAAGTTAAAAGATTTTAAACATGGCTCCAAGGATTGAAAACTGCAGTTGCTGACAGTTTTATTTTGTGTATGCATGCATAATATGTTTGCTGCTGCTACGAAAAGTTTTGTTAAGCAGGTTGGTGATGGAGGTCGATTAATTCCTGTTCGTAGCCTCAGTGAAGCTGATAAATATCAACCCCTCAGTCTTGTAATCAAGAAAAAAAGCTGTTTTCTTTGCAGAAGATCCAAATTTGTTTCAACACCATTCAGCCTAAAAGACATTCTTCAAGGAGAGAAAGAAATTTCAGCTGGTAAGTTGTTTTAGGTTTTTCAGACCTAAAATATAATCTGTTGATTTTCAGAGGTATAACTGAATGGAATAAATATAAAGCCTTAGGCTATTTGATTGTACGAATATGTGAAAATCAATTAATATGCTGTAAACAGAATTCTTTAAAAAATAAAACAAAAGTTACCTTAAATAAATAAATGTATTTAATTATTAAATTTATTTAGAAGTTGATTGAAGAATTTGGGAAATTTGCATTTATCTTAAAGATTGACTTCATTTTTTGTGTATTTTGTTCTATGTAAAATGAATGCATTCTATAACACCTGTGTATCACCTAATGCATGATTGTACATATGTTTAGAAAATATGCCACTGAATTCATTATGCCTGCACCTACTTTCTAGTATGCATGCTAGGACTGCAGCCAAAACATTCCAGGACAGAACTTCATAAATTTTATTTCAGACTGTCACCTCTGGGTCAGAACACTGCTTGACAAGGCCATTTCAACACCTGTCTATAAATCCCCTTTATTTGGGATGTGTAGTTCTCCAGAGTCATGATTTAATTTGAAATAAAATGCCAGTGGAATGCAATTCTCCAAAAACGCACTATCCACATCACTGTAGGCACAGGAAACTGCTAGAAGAGAGTGTACTTCAAAGGCTTATGCAACAGCATCCTGCTGACCATTGTTGTTCGATGTGCAGTCATACAGAATAGACAAGAAGTTGAAACTGACGTTATTCCTCTTCTTTGTAAGTACCAAAGCAGTTTCTGTCTGTGTTACTCTGTGCAAAGCATCCATCCAAACTTAGTAACACTTACATATTTTCTGCATGTTTAGAAGACAACAGTCCTATAATTCACAGCTTTCCCCAGCCAAACAAGCCATAGGTAACTAAAGTCCTATTTGTTTCAATGAGATCCTAATATGACATGGACCAATCCTAAGCAAGTCCACTCACACATTCCATTCAATTCCATCCCATCCCATCAATCATACTCCCAGGTAAGTGAGTATAGGTTTGCAGCTTAAACTTAGCTTGGGTCCATTCCTGTTATTTTATCTCCATGTGGTGTTGGCTTTCTGGGATTATGCAAATATTTTATGTTATTACATTATTCATAATGGGATGTTATCCAGGGGAAAGCAGCTCAGTTGCTTGCAATTTTTGATGCCAACAATCAAAAGCTCTACATGTTGTAATAAATAATATGTTGAATATTTCCTACCACTGTGAATTACATACTCTGAATGGGGAAAAATGAATGTGATAGATACCATAAATTCAATCTATTCATAAGCTTATATCTGAAAGGACAAATTTAGAAAGATAATAAACTGTTCTTAGTATGTTTCAGTTGTCAATATTTCATTTGAAACCTACCAGTAGATTCAAACGTGGGTTTTGTCTGTATGCTTTGCCTGACTCCTGAATTGAAATATCTTACCTTTTGCTTCTTTGTTTGTTCTAGAACATTTAGACATTCTTGTCAAAATGTTTATTTCTAAACTGAGATTCCTTAAAAAAAATACTGCCAATCTTGCCTCCTGTAATAGGTTTCTGACTGAGTGAAGGAATGCCAGTAGTGGAATGGAGACAACAGCAATCTTCTCTTATTTCCCCTTCCTCTGCAGCATCCAAATCTGTTGCTCCAGTGTGTTAAGAAACCTTCCAGAGCAGTGTAGGAGGTAAACCTGGATGCTGCAGAGGGAGAGAGAAATCAGCATAGATCACATACAACCTTCAGCCAGTAGGAACATTCTGAGTGGAACTCCATTCAGGCAATGCTCTTTCTAGCAGAAAATAAGCTGGCTCAAACCCAGGGAAGACAAAGCTTTGCAAGAAATACCAAAGGATTTCATTGCTTCCAATGATGGAGCTCCCTGGCTCTGGAAGCTTTGCTGATGGCCTAAACTTCTTTTGGAAACCCTTTTGGACTTCAGCTCTCTTTTGAGAGTTGTTCCAGTCCTTAGAGATGTGCTAGGCTATAAATATAACTAAGACGGGTACAGCTAGATCACAACAGAATACCTACCTGCATCTCTTTCATGTTATGCAAAATAAGAAAATATCTAATACAGCATCTCTAGCCATATGTCTTTTTGATAGGCTCTCTTCTGGGCTGGCCCCTCTGAAGAAAGTTAGGCAGATGATTACAAAAGGAAGGTTCTTTTCAGTTGTGGCAGCCCTTTTATGGAGTGACATTCCCAGAGAAGCTTGTTTAATGCCACATTGTTATCTTTTCCGTGTCAGGCAAAGACATTTATTTTCTTCCAGAAGTTTTACAGTTTTACAGTTTAGATTTTATGTGTGTTGTTAAAACTGTTCCTGTGTTTTTTTGTTGCTTTATATTGCATTGTAATCTTTATACTTTGCTGCATTGTATCTGACCAATATCCAGTCTGCATTGGACCAATATCCAACCTGCATTGTATCTGACCAATATCCCATCAATAAAAGGATATTGGTCAGATAGAACAGATAATAACTAGTTTTGCACAAGGTAAACCACAAAAGAAATCGAGGCAGCAACCCAGCATGCACGTATCTGGAAATAATGCTCACTGGGCTCACTGAGACTGTAGACACAGAGGCTGTAAGAGTAGAATCTGAACATTGAGTAGAACCAATCAGAATCTAACGGGTGATCAATTTTACAAACCGTGTCTTGGATTAATATTATATGTGAACATGAGACTGTTTATAGACTTTAGTAAGCAGCTTTTCCCCTTTAGGTATTTCGTCTTACCAGTTACTGAATTATGAAGACAAGTCAGATGTAGCACGCAATGGCGGACGAGGAAATCACATCATAAACTCTGCTGGGGTCAATATTGCTGGATCAGATTCCCTTGCAGTGAAGGCTTCATTTGGCATAGTAACTAAACATGAGGTTGAGGTACCAACATTACTCAGAGAACTAACTAGTAGGTTGGTATTATTGTTTTAATTTTTTTTTTTTTTTGGCTGTTGCCTACTTTATAGCTGCGGTTTGAACTTTGACACTATATTTGATTAGTTCACAAATGCATCATTTGGCCAGGTTTTAAGAACCATAAAAAGGAAACATGTGAAACTATCTTGATTTCCTGCTTTATTTTAGGAAAATGAATTTTGAACACTGTCTTGTTCGTCAGTCACGAGAGAGTAAGAGGACAGTTCTTTGCGTGGTTATGGAGAGTATTCGAACAACACGGCAGTGCTCGCTCTCTGTGCACGCAGGCATGAGAGGAGACACAATGAGAGTGAGTGAGCATGTTCCACAAAATTCCTTATGTTTTATCTGATTATCTGTGGATTTAAGCATGCCTGCATTCCATGCATTGTAAAAAGAATCTGCTGCCAGGAATCGGGGGTTGTTAAAGATAAGATTGGATCCAGAATTCAAGCAGGGTCAACTGAGTAACCAAGGAATGTGGAGCATTTCCTTACTCTAGTTTACATAGCTTAACTAATACAAAATAGTACACATAATTATTTGTGGTGTACAGGGATCTCTTCTGCAAAACAAGCTCTTATTTAGCTCTTGAGCTCCGTTTGCATCAACAGAAACTAGTCCAGTTTAAGATACCCATCCCAATCCACTGACACGCAATGGGTGGGAGGTTCTGATGCATCTTGTGTGGACCTTGCCCCCCCCCTTCTAGATTTGTCCTCTTTGGTCAATGAAGAGGACGGTTTCCCGTGTTCAATTTGCTTGCACCACTGATCCTTCCACTGAGATTAACTGCTGTCAGCAGTGAAGGTCATTCTGTGCACACTTTGCCTTGTGGATTGCCGTTACTTGATTTTCATCTCAGTTTTCAAAGACCTACTTAATAGTACTGTAAGCTGAGATGTTTGTCCTAATTTCCTTAGAATGTAAAAACAACAATAATTTGAAATGCAAAAGAATCAAGCTATATTTTCTAACACTAATTTAGCTTAATCCGCATAAGTATTCAAAGGTTTTATTTTTAAGGCAGATATTAATTTCCTCTTTCTTTTAAAAATAGTTCCATATTATTGATGATCATAATTACAAAGGGCGTGACAAAGCTATCGTCTTTCCTGCACATACAACTATTGCATTTAGTGTATTTGAACTTTATATTCACTTGGATGGTAATTTTGGTAAGTATTCTGTTTCTTCTGCAATCATGATTGCTACCATTATTAAAGTTGTTCTATTTCTGACATTGGGACTGCAGTCTGCAGCATTCTGCACATAATATCCTGTTTCATTAAACACATATAAGCAATCTTGTCCAGTTTAACAGGCCCTTATATTCTAATCCTACAGATATGTGTAATTGCAGTGGGATGCACCCAAGCACCTGACAGTTTCACTCTACACGTGATGGCAACAGACACCTAAATTGCCCAGGTGCTTACAAAATATGAGTGAGAGGATGATTTTCAGACCAAAAGGGATGGCTTGGTGAGGGGAGCTGAACCTTTCCTCCACTTCCCCACCTATGTTCTCAAGCTCACCCCTTCTCAGCTAAGCAAACTATCCACATTAACACTTGGTTGAATAAAGAATCTTTATAGGAGAAGAGACAGCAGGGAGTTAAGTTGCAGAAACTGGGGAGTTTAGCAGTTCTCACTGGTGCACTTTCAAATGGGAAAGCACCTCTTTAAATATGTGATTGAGGTAAATGCTTTTAAACAAATGTATCTGCAACTATTTTTTTGAGCTATAGGTACTGGATTATTCTATGGGAGAGACATACATGGAGTCTATTATGCTGTGTTTCCTGTCAATTGCAGCCCTGTAATATTGTTACTTCACATTTATTTAATAATCATTGTGCTAACTGGAACTTTAAATGCATTATATCAGATATACAGGCTTGCACTAAGTACCCAGATCTATACTTATCAAAAGACATTAGGCCAGAGGAGTTCAGAGATGCACTGTAATATTTGCTACCGCAAACTTTGCAAAATGGTGCCATAGATTCTACAACTTAGGAGAATGAGCTTCATTTGACCCTGCACTGCCCTTAAGACAACCAAGCTTCAATCTTAAACACATGCACCTCAGAGTTTAAAATAATAATTAAAAGAAGTACAAACGTTCAGACTCAAGTCTGTATCATTTAGATAAATTGAAGTCTGGCATTCAGCAGTGACAATAAATGGCTAAATCCACCATTAGTAAACTGAGGTTACTGCCTCAGGCAGCTAATTTTGGTTGCCATGAAAATATAGCAAATGCTATTTGATTTATTATCACTGAACTTTCACTGCCTGGGAGGAAGAGAGATGCCTGTGCGATTTCCTGCCTCAGGTGTCCCCGTAGCTTGGCTGGCCTTGAATATGATGCCCTTTGACCAGGAATGGAGTGGGTGGACGTGCAATGCACTTGCTGCTCTCTCTCAGGCAGCAGGATAGAGATGCTTTCTCTGCCGCCTGTGGATGCCTCATTGAGGACGACCAGGGGTCAAAGATTTCATGCCCCTCATAAAAGCCTTCCACACCCCTGGAGTGGGCAATCCGCATGGTAATGCCATTTCACTGGTCAAGTTTCCCCTGCTGAGTTGGGAGTAAAAGTAGTTTAAAACAATTTGACATACTAAAAGACTTTAAATGTTTACAAGTCCATGACATTATTTTGTCTTCATAACATGATTTTCTCTATCATCTGCTTTGATCTCAGTCCTGAGATAGTAACACACGACTGGCAGGTTGCATGCCACTGGCAAACTAACACTGAGATGGGGACAACATGTTCTCACCTGTACTGCAAGGAAGATGAGAATGTGGATCCCTGTCCATATTGTGGAGGCTGATGGGGATGGCATTTGTTTCCCACTCAGGCTGTTTCACACTTTGGATCCATCAGGGAGTCCAGAGCAGCAAAGGCAAAAGTCTTGCTTGCTGTGTTGCATCTTTTACTAACAATTTTAAAATAGAACTTTTATATGCAGATGGTAGAACAATTCAGTTAGCTGTGTTTAGAAACTGGAGTGCGTTCACCATTTGAAATATTCTCTATTGGTGTTTTTCCAGAGCTTTGTCTCACTCCAGAATCAAAAGGAGGATTTGAAAGAGAGCCATCAAGATCATTTTCGCTAACCAGATTAAAAAATCATCTGTTTTATAGAAGTATGTTTGATGTTTATGTGCATTACACTAATTCATTTGGTGATTTATTTATGATTGGTGCAGAAGGTCCAAAATTATTTTGCAAACAATAATTTTTGCAATAATAATAATTTTGCAAATAATTTTTGAAAAAAATATTTTGCATCAGAGCAATTGCAATAGTTCTGTTAGCAGTCTAATTAAAATAATTGCAGAGATTTCAAAATATGCCAGGTGCATAAATTTTTAATTATAATGAACATGATCATGATCTTGCTTAATATTAAAATGTACCCCATTATAATTTGTTTTAATCTTACAATAGTTACCTTTAGGAGACTGGGAAGTAACACTCACAAATCATGTTATAATATTCTTATAACTTGGGCATAGTACAATACTTTTAAGTTTAACCTACTTTAGTCCTTCTTGCTCCTGCTATAAGACCTATGTCTCAGTTGAGTTCTGGAGTGCAGTTAGATTGATGTATGAAAGAAATCTTACATATGTTTATCTCCAGCTGGTAAGGCTGCCTGGAAATATATTAACTTCCCCAGTCAAAACATTGATGAGGGTTCTGCTCAGCTACTGAGGACACTGGGGCGGCTTGATTCAATCCATACCCACTTCCCTTTCCCTGCCAAGCAGCTGACTGCCACGATTTCTGGCAACGCGCATGCATTTGCATGGCCGGCTGCGGGTTACCGCTGGGGCTTCCAGTACTTTTTAGGTAACAGCTGCATGCATTGCTAGAGCATATGTCAACTGTCTCTGGCACAGGGTTTTCATGTTGAACTTTGAATAATCTGTTGGATCCAGATTTGGCATATTTGGTGTGGACCCATTTGTTCCAGTAGGAACTTACGGCTGAATCCAACCTCATATAAACAGAACCATAGGGTTTGTTTTCGGAAGATGATCTTTATTGCCAATAGAAAATTACACTTAAAACTGCCAAGATCTTACTCCCCTTGTGTAAATCCTTGGTGTGACCACACTTGGAGTGTTGTGGTCAGCTCTGGACACCTCACAATTACTGTATTGGGAAAAAACACAGAAAAGGGCAATGGAAATGAACAAGGGGCTGGAGTATCTCTCCTATGAGAAACAGCTGCAAACACTTTTTTCTTAGAAAAAAGGCAAGTGAGGGAGGCATGATAGAACTGTTTAAAATTATGCACAGAGTGGAGAAAATGGAGAGTGAGATGTTTTTCTCCCTCTCCCAAACAGAGGATCATCCCATGAAGCTGACTGGGGGAAAGTTTAGGATAGACGAAAGAAAGTACTTCTTCATGCAGCATAGAGTTAATGGCATTCACTGCCACAGGAAGTGGTGACAGCAGCCAATCCGGATGGCTTTGAAAAGAGATTGGACAGATTCACGAGGGAGGGAGCCATCAGTGGCTAGTAGCCTTTCTGGCTACCCACTAACTCCCTTGCCTGCATACACCAGTTGCTGTGGAACACAGGCAAGAGGAGGTCTTGCACCTGTCCTGAGGGCAGCTGGTTTGCCACCATGTGTATCGAGTGCTGGGCTAGATGGACCTTTGGTCTGATCCAGCACTGCTTTTCTTGTGTTCTTGTGTGTGAACTATGAACATGCCCCAAATAATTTACAATTTGGAATAGGAACATCAGCAATAAGATTTTTTCTTGAAGTGTACATTGTGAGAATTTCTATTGAATAAAATAATGTAATCAAATGGTTATTTCTTTGTACATTACAGTATGATTCAGTGGAATTCTAACTTGATAGAAAACGGGGAGCAAAACACTTTATAATGGAAACATCCTCTACGAAGTGTGGAAAAACTTATTATTAGCAGATTGTGTGGCTTATACATATTAACTTCTTAAATTGTCATGTTTACTGTAGATTCTGATCTGAAAGAGAAATGTATATTCATATACTGTGTCATTAGAATGTAGTAATCTTTCTTTTTTGTCTCTCTCTGTGGTTCTTGCAGACAAAAGGGTAATGGATATCATCGCTCACTCAGATAATTACTTAGACGACCTTTTTGCCGACTACTATGAAAAAGCTGCAAGCATGACTGAGATCTCCGCAAGCTATTTCCGGGAAGGGGCTCACGTACGAGTGAATCTACTTAATCATAATATCCCCAAAGGCCCTTGTTCCCTGTGTGGAATGGGGAGCTCCAGAAGGGAGACAGTCTATGGTTGTCTTGAGTGTTCTTTCAACGGACAAGCATTTGTACGGTTACATGCAGTGCCTTGCTTTGACCTATGGCACAAGAGGGTCAAGTAACATTTTCTATGAAAGCCTATGCACTGAATCAGATTCAAAAGGATGCATTTGGCTTCCCTTTAAATCAGTGGAATGCTATGAATGTTGGCTCCAGCCCCTCCCCCCCCATCCATTGAAATGTTTGCTGGTGCCATCAGAAGCTTTTTTATTATTATTTTTGGCCTTTTAATTGTGATATGTGGCAATCTTCAAAAGGAATTGCTGCTGGGATGTTAACCTTCTTCTCTGCACAGGCAGCACTCCTTCTCCTGCCCTGTGACTCCAGCCACCCCCTGCATGGCAGTTAAGCTTAGGAAAAAAGAACCCTACTGATGCCAATTAAGCCTTTTTCCTAAGAGTATTGGAGGTACAGGGGGGGACAGTGGAGACAATTGCCCCCTGAATGTTGTGGCTCACCCAAATTCTTCCATCACATGGCCTTTTGGGCTGAGGGCAAAAAACCATTATTTCACTGATGCCTATAGAAAAAGTTTTCCCCCCATGCTTAACTGCACAGGGTGGGGGCAATTTTCCCCTAGGAATGAAAGTGAGGAAAGGGGGAGAGGAATCAGATCTCTTGACCCCTTTCCTTTGACCCCCTCTTCATTCCTCCCACTCCCACCCCAGCATTTTGAATCTCTCCTGCACTGGATAGAATTGTGCACTATTTTATTCTGACTTTAATTAATTGGTTTTGATTACTGATGAGGAATTGCTTACTAATAAGATGAGCAATGAAAGCAGCATCTGAGCAGGAATTGGCACATGGAATGACCCTGATTTATCATGAACTAACATTTGCACCCGTGATCTGTCAAACTTTTGAAATCCCATTTTGAGGAAAAGTTGCCATTTGGGCGTGCGTTTGAATGAGAGAGAGAGAAAGTGCTCATGAAATAATCTACCAGCAACTTTTTTTGCATTTTTGACAGATTACAAATTAATTGCAAATGAAAGAGAACTACTGATCTGGGATGATCTGGGGCAAGGTACAAATTTAAAGATTTAGTTATGAAAGCTAAATGAAGTCTATTTCTCCTAAGTTTGCATATATAAATATCTATTTGCATATACCAACTTCACTCAGATTTATATCCTCTGTCCCTGGGCCCCAAATCTTTACACTTCACTTTCACATTGATTTAAATGGGACTCAAGTGCAGTTGATGGGAATCCAGTGCAATCTAGATGGGAATCCTGTGCATATACTTTGCCATAGAATTCTTTGTGAGTGCTGACTGCAAAAGTATAAAATATGGAGCCACAAATACTTGTATCATCCTGCTTTTATAGTAATGTTTTCTTCTACAGATCATACTGTACCAGTTTTTAAATATTTTCACAGAATTGCTTATAAACTTTGTTGTGTTCCTGGGTAATTCTTTATAAGTGCATAATGCAAAATAGCTAACGTGTTTTTGAAGTAGAATCTTGAAACAGCACTTTTTACATTGAAAAAAATATCTATATTGTGTAATTTTAGGATGCTTTACTTTAACTACATCACTGAAAGAAAATATTAATAATTTGTTAATGGTATAAATATTTAATTGAAGTATCAGATACAGTACATGTTTGTGCTTGCTCTGATTAAAGATATGTTAAAACAGAAATAAAGCTAGATGTTCAATTTAAATTCTCACCCTTATATCTGTTTCCTGTTAGGCCACTACAAGCCCCATTTGATTTTAAAATGGAAAAGCTTTCTATTTTTAGTAGCTTGTGAAATACTTGAAAATGATATATATTTTTGGTAATAAAGATGTATCATTTTGGAAAAATTAACTCTGTTTTATCTAATTTCATATTCAAATGTAGTATAAGACTTAGCAAGGGTCCCCTTTTTGGATCCATGAGTACATTCTGGAATTTGAAAAACTGCTGTGAGTACCAGGTGCAAAGGAGTTACTGGTGGATCACCACTTGGGCAGTTTCCTTTCACATCTATGGATCTTGAGTTGCATCTTATTCAACAACAACAAAAATGTTTCATCTCTTGAATAAAGAATTGTCTAATTCAGCATATTGCTGGAGGAGCAATCGACCCTGTGCTTCTTTAAAACATGTTTTGGCAATGTCTGGGAATTGCTTCCTTTGGAGGGGAGGTTGATACACAAATACATTTGGCAATGGAACATTCACTGATCTGCATGCTTTTTACAATTAATTACCTGCTTCAGGGAAATTAACAAGTGATCAGCATAAATGAATTTTCCACCCCTTGTGACAGCAAAAGACTGCCATTACAAGAGGGATAAACACCTCCTATAATGCAATGCAACACCTTACAAAACCTTCAGTATTTGAACAGGTGGTATATAGCGCCACTGCCAAATTGAAGCATATGTATAATTGATAAAAAGTGGTATGCATTTCATATAAATGTACATTTTTAAAAGATCATTAAAAATAGATGCATCTAGGTGCAAGCAGAACATTATGGCACCATAGGAAACACCTGTGGGCACCTGGGAGGCTAACTGCTGTCTGAGAACATGTATAACAAAGCCTAAAAGCAACTGTGTTGGGGGGGAGGGTTAAATTTTACTCCACTCTGAATCTCTCTCTCTCTCACACACACACACAAATTGCACCTTACAGTAGAACAAAGCTAGGGCAGGAAGTGATTTGGAGCAGGGAGGAAGAAAGCAAGGAAAAGCTCAAGAATTCTTTCCCTCCACTGCTTCTCTGGAGAATCTGCATCTTCCTTGCAGCTCTACCTGTTATGTCCCCCTGGGGAAAGGACTTCAGGTAGGAGCATCAGCAACAGCATGATTTGCATCTGGCATAGAAGAAAACTAACGCCAGTCATTTCTTCATACCACGTTCAGAGCAGTCCATACAGGTTTTTCCAAAAGGACTATGAATCACACAGACTAGTTCACATTTTATTCCATTTGCCTAGGTTCATCAAATTCAGTTATTAGAATACAATTGATTTTAATCTTGTGTTTTTTTTTTAAAAAGGTATAAAAAAGGACTTCCATTTCAAAATGTATTGGTTTAAAAGCAAAAACTCTAATGCATAAGTTCCATCGCTAATCAATGAGGCTAAAGCATACAAAGCACTTTAGTTGATTACAATTCTCATACCAAGTCCGCTGTTCTATCTTCGTTCTGAGGTTGTGTTCAGGACTTCTCAGCAAAAAGGATGTCATGTTGGGTTCAGCAGAGCACACGGGTCTCTCAGGGCACCCACATCGTGGGGGGGGGGGTCTTACTTGGGGAAGCAACATGGGTACAGGAGAGGAACTGTTGTATGTCCATAAAGCAACAAGCAGACCTTTTAACCACCTCTTCTGTTATAGTTCATCATGCTGGTAGACATTATATTCCTTGGCAGATATGAAGCCATCTCCATCATGGTCGTTCTTTTTAAATATATCCACCAAAATATCATTATGAACAGATGGGGCACGTTTCTTGCCATCCCTTTCAAATTCCTTCTTCAAATAGAGGCTTATCTAAAGGAACATTAAAAGCACACCCACATTATCTCTGGTTTTGCTCTGTGTGTTCTGTGAAGCTACATCAGAAGCTACTGTGTAATGAATCGGACCGTGGGTTCGCCTAGCCCTGCACCGCCAGCACTGACTGGCAACGGCCTTCCAGGGTGCAGCGCTGGGTTCTTTCCCAGCCCTATCTGGAGGGGCCACGGACTTAAACTGGGACCTTCTACATACAAAGCAGCTTCTTTGCCACTGAGCTCCAGCCCCTCCCATGCACGTGTCTATCCTTTGGTGCAGATTTGGAGGCCACATCGGAGGTGGCAGCAGGGAGGGGTAATCCACTGCACCAGCAGCATCCCTTCTGTTGGCAGCTGAATAAAACTGGAGGCACACAATGGAAACTAACTTGCCCTCAAAGATTAGGTGCAACGGTGATGCTGTGGCCACTTTCCTCAAAAGAGAGTGAGGGGTGAGAATCAAGCCCTTACCACATGAAAGAACAAATGGCAAAAAGGGAATCTTTAAATCAATTTTGCAATGCTGCTGGATAAGAAAATGCGCAAAGTCCAACATATCCTCACAATACAATTGTATTTTGATTTTAAGCAACTTCTGTAACCACGTCTACTCACTTTGCCTAATGTCTTGTTTTACTTCCTTTCAGGCTATTTTTTAGACCCTTCTTTCTTGCTCATGTCTGTGAACCCTGCTAATGTCATCAGTAGTTATATATCATTTGTCTCATCACAGCAGCAAGTATTTGTTCCCATACATACCCATGGTTTTTGATAATGGCCTTCTGCCAGATTGTGGTATAATCTGTGCTCATAATCCACCAGTAGAAATGACCAGCAATACAACAGACACATAGCAGTTCCTACAGCAACCCTGAAAGTTTCTGAAACAAAACAGGTAAGTGGAGTTCTGTGAGCTTCACTGACTTGTTCCATTCCAGAAAGTCTAATTTTGGCCAGTTTCTGGTTGCTGTTGTTGTTTTTAGTCGTGAAGTCATGTCCGACCCATCGTGACCCCATGGACAACATTCCTCCAGGCCTTCCTGTCCTCCACCATCCCCCGGAGTCCACTCAAGCTCACACCAACTGCTTCAGTGACTCCATCCAGCCACCTCATCCTCTGCCGTCCCCTTCTTCTTTTGCCATCTATTGTGCCCAGCATCAGGCTCTTCTCCAGGGAGTCCTTCCTTCTCATTAGGTGGCCAAAGTATTTGAGTTTCATCTTCAGTATCTGGTCTTCTAAAGAGCAGTCAGGGTTGATCTCGTCTAGGACTGACCAGTTTGATCGCCTTGCGGTCCAAGGGACTCGCAGGAGTCTCTTCCAGCACCACAACTCAAAGGCCTCAATTCTTCAGCGCTCAGCCTTCCTTATGGTCCAACTTTCACAGCCATACATAGCAACTGGTTGCTGTAGGAAGTACTAATTTTCTATTGTGCTGGTGGTCATTCCTACCTGCATAAGGGTGGATTGGATCCTGCCCAGATAATATGCCAGGCAGTGCACCCCTTACATTCAGACCCTTAGCAATGAGATCCCCATCTTTTGTGTAGTTCTAGACCTAAATTTGCACTTACACATACATTAAGGTGAAATGGAAAGCTATGGGACCAGAGGACATCAGAATATTACTCACATTACCTCATCTCTCGAAAGCTTTTTGTCACTATCCGTGTCTATTTGAGAAAATGCTTTAATACTGCGAGGTCCTTGAGTTACTGCATACAATTCAATCTCAAAGATCAGTGTTGCATTCGGTGGAATTTTTGCTGGTTCTGAGAATGTAACAAGAAAGTTTCAGGCAAAACTCACTCAGATGGCAGAAAATCTTAACCAAAAGCAGCAGTATTTAGCAATGAAGGATCCTGTGTCAGGCCTACTGGTTATTAAGAAGTCTTACCCTAAAGTTCAGGCAGTCCTCCTGACCATCAGCAGCACAACCAACTGGATGATTCCCTCTGCAAACTTTAAAATGAGAAGCTGCTGGAAAAGGTGCTATGCCCAAGAGAGATATCCCACAGAATTCCAAGAGGGACTGTGTCACTCACCCTAAATTGCTTACAAAAAACAACTGCCCTGAATTAATGTCATTGGGCAGTATGCAGAGCTGGCATTCCATCAATGTGCATCAGGCTGCACTAGTGGAAACAAGCACTAGCACAACCAAAAACAAGCTAGTGCTTGCCAGTTCAACCCCCAGAAACTAGCTCCAACTACCATTTCCAGAAGAGGGACTGGTTGGCAGAGCTCCCTCCACCAGCACTGCTGGTTGGCTCGGTTCCAGAAATGCTTGTTTGGACTCGATCTTGGTTCCTGCAGCAAGCCCCAGCTTTCCATTATGCTAGCAATCCTCCTGCCAGAGGAAGGGCACCCCTGGATACTGTCCAACAGTGAGCAAACTTCTTGATAAAGCTGGTCCCTGCTTCAGCCAGAGTCCTTCTGCTGTGGTGGTAAAGAGAAGGTATGATGCTCTTGCTGTAGAAGCCTGGGCTGCCGATTATATGCCTCAAGCAGACCAGAAGGGGAACACTGTTCCTCTGGTCTGCTCTGGGGGTCCTGTCTGGACCCCTGACTACAGTAAGGGCACTGTAGGGCAAAGCAACTTGGTAAAAATGAAACAACTAATCAGTCCTGAACGGCTCCTTCATAAAAAGCGTAATTTCAAAGAAGCCATTAGGACAGAAGGGCACAACTTATCGCTCTCCAGATGATGAGGATGAATTTCATTTCTATACCGCCCCACAGCTGAAGCTGTTTGGCCTACAAGTCCCATCAGTTCTAGATAGCAAAGCCAAAGGTTGGGATGAGGGAAGTTGTAGGCCCAACCATCTGGAGGTACATAAGCAGGGGCTTCAGGAATACAGGGAATAGCAGTGTCAGGATTTAACCAACAAAATCATCTGCATTTTAAGAAGAAACAGGACTTCAAGGAAAATCTATGTTTAGCGTTATCACAAAGTTTTCTTGGGCTGGAATTTTATTTAAAAATTGGCAGGTTTTAAGGAGAAAAGAATGCTAAAACAGATGAAAAACGATAATGTAGTGCACTTCCAAAATCATTCCAAAGCATTTGGCAAGCCAGGCACATGCAATTAGTGCATAGAGAAGCTGGTTTTCTTTATACGGGAAGTCACCTAAAATGACAAATCATAGAGCAAGCAGGAGTTCCTGCTCACAATAGACAAAAGGGCCCTGGTTCCCCAGGAAGAGGCAAGAAAGTCTCCTGTTCGAAATCTGGAGAGCCACTGCCAGTCTGCATGAAGAGAAATGGCAAGACAGCCACTAGACAAACTATGGTTTGATTCAGAATATCGCAGCTTTCTACAGTTTATTTTTAAGTACCTATAAACTGCATGGAATGCTAACAGCTGCAACACCCTTCACAAATAAAGGGAAAAATCAGAACTGATTTGCAGAGTTCACAGTAAATAAGCAAGCAGTGAAACCCTTTTATACAGAGCCCTGTACACTGTACACACAGGACTCTGGCTGTGATGTACAGTGGGCAAGGTGTGGTCATCTAGATGCGTAGGCTTACAACTCTCACCATCTCTCACTGTTGGCTATGCTAGTGGTAGGCCAGAACATTGGAAAGGCTTCCAGTTGTCCACCCAGACTAAAGTGACATGGCTCACCGGTTGCGTATTAGGGCCTGCCATGGGTTGACTAACACCCACATCCTTTTTGAAGCCCTTGGAGGCCAGAACATGAGACCCACTTAATCCCAGGGATGAGGAGGTGCTTGAGGAATACATGGTAGGCCACCAATTTCACAAGGCCATTCTAAGAAATCTCTTTCATGAAATTGTCCCGTAAGAGGTCAGACACAGAAGAGCAGCACGTGCAGCTTAGATTTTCTAACTGTTCTGTTTTTAGAGTTTGCAAGATCAGAGCAGGGCTGTCAAGGACAGGATATTTTGGAGGGTACTCATTCATAGGCTTGTCTCAAGCCGGAGATGACTTGACAACCCATAACAACATCATAAAAGGGGTTTCAGATGCTAGCAGAAACTTGAGAACCATACATACCACAAGGGAACCCACAGAAAGATCTAGAAAGCCACACATGCATTCCTGATATTGACAGCTAGAGCCATCTTGCCCAGCATGCAGGACTATGTTCTGACAGAGAAGCTAGAAAAAAGGCCTTCTTCAACAGCAGCCTAAAACAAACAGTCATAGTTAGTGCTCAGTCATCATGCGATGCTCATTTGCTGTTCTGGAATATCAGCTGATCCATCAAGACATGTTAATCTGGTTGCTGGACCGAGACCAAGTAAATGGCTGGCTTTAGGAGAATTTGACTCGGAAGAGAAGTCCACCTAGGGAAATTTTATACTGGGGTGGGTAACTCATTCAGCCTGAGGACACAGTCTGTTTCAGAGAATCTCCTGAGGACTACATCCCAGACCCTAAGCCAAAGGGCTGAGAACCAGGGCAGTGGAGTCACAGAATTGGAGTCGGTAAAAATTTTAATAAATTTATATTGTAATATAAATAATATGTTAACATTTCCTATTTCAAAGATAATAATTTGAGTAACCCTTTTCAGGTTATATTTTCAGGATGTAATTTAACCAGTTAGGGTTCTAAAAAGCAGCCTGATTTTTCATGTTGGCAGTGATAAAATGCCTTGTAGGTTGAGTGTTTTCAATCCTTATAGGAAAGAAATACATTAATTATTTCCCATATTAATATTTAAATATAGGCGTTGGAATTGAAGGTACCTTAAATTGGGGAGTTGGAGTCAAAGGTTTTATGTACTGACCCCACAGCCCTGCTGGGAACAAACCCACCCTCCCCCACCCATATTTTGCAACGTAAAGTTTTTACTAAACATATCTGACCACAAGGAGAGGGATTTCAACCTTTCAGCATGTGGTGGAAAGGTGCATAAAAGTTGGGAATGCCCAAATGCTTCCAATGCTTAAAGCAACAGCAGTTCCAATCAAAATTCATGCACTGATCCAATTGCATCAGTCATGACTAAGTCCCATTTAATAGTTGCATCTATCTCACGTTTCACCGGGACTCAGTCAAAACAAACTTTAGCTGATTTGGGGCCATAGTGAAGGTTTACTCAGTGGGACTATGACCAGGAGATAATGAACTGTCCTTGCAGCAGACTCTGCTTTGGTGTGGCATCTTCTCCACAGGATCAGCAAACCCAGAGACCGAATGCTCCAGGGCAGCCTACGCTGGCCATGGGTTGGCTCAAGTCAGACATAAAACGTTATTCCGGAAATTGGGAGCCGTCCTATCGGCACACAGTCCCTTTTCTATCCTCCCAACGGGTTCCTCTGCCCAACTCTTGGAGTTTGCTAATCATAGTTTGCTGTGGTGTCTAAACAGGCAAACTCTGGCTGGTGCTAACTGCCAAACCAGTTTCTGCAAAACTGTTCCCAGTAGTGATGATGATGATGAACCATGATGGAGAGGCAAGGCACTAACCCTAGCCTGCCAGCAGGGACATCATGACAAAATGCAAGGAGAGAGAGAGGAGGAGAGTATGCCTGAACCTACAGTGCTACTTGAGACCAACCATGATTTTGATGATGTCTGAATTGAGCCACATGGATTTTCCAGCACTTCTGTGGGCTCAACAGTCCTTAGAAACCAATCCGTGATTTCATCCATTGACTGCTTATGCAAGTCCCACAATGAAGGTTAATTTTGAAAGGAAAAGAACAACTAATACATTGCATCAGCCATGCAAAACTCGGATGCCTCATGAGAAAAGATTTCTACTGTTCACTGATTGGCTGCCTCTTTTCAGCAAGCCATTGGAGGGACTTTCCTCAGCACTCGTTCCCCTTGTGCCAATAATAAGGCAGATGATGGGGGAGTAGTATGTGAGGCTTTCATAGCAACATCCCCCCTCCCCAAAAAAAACCCAGAACAGCATATCTGGGAGCACATCCTCTCTTGATGCAGGAGCAGTACATTTCACACAAACTGTTTGCATCTTGACACTATAGGGTTGGATAGCTATTACCAGATATTTATCCAACACTTTGAGCTGGAACTGTCTACAGTGAGAAGCAAAGCACCACTCACATCAGGACCCACTGCTCAATAGTGGGGGATCCCAATTGCTTCCCACACCACAGCTCACCGCACTGAGCAAGGGTCTCTGAACTCTCTCTATAGAATTTTCAAGCAACAAGAAGGGCTGCCATGGGAAGGAAAGGGGTGCATCTGATAGCACATCTGATCCAGCTTAAGTCTGGCTCCAACCTAGAATCTATATGAATTCAGGCTGCTTATAAATCTAGTTTACTAGAGACAATTTTGCATGTTTCTCCTTCTCTCATAATATAGAATCTAGGTCATCCCTTGAAGCTGACTGGCAAAAGATTGAAGATAGATAAAAGCAAAAACTTTTTTAAATCAAGGCATATGGCAAAAGATTGAAGATAGATAAAAGCAAATACTTTTTTAAAACAAGGCATAGTTAAACTATGGAATTTAATTCCATGGGAAGTTGTAATGGCGACCAATTTAGACAGCTTTGAAGGGGATTTGGGCAAATTCATGAAGGGGAAGGCTAACAATGGGTACTAGTCTTGATAGCTACATGTCACCTCTAGTAGCAGATGTAGCATGTCTGTTGCTGGCGAACACGGGCAGGACGGTGCTTGTGGATTCCTGCAGGCAGCTGGTCAGCTGCCCTGGGAAAAAAATTCTGGAGCAGATGGACCCTTGCTTTGATCCAATATGGCTCTTCTTAAATTCTTAGAACTAAACCTCTGGACAAGTAACAGAAGCAAACTTTTTTCCTTTGGTTTACTTCAGCGACTTCTCCCTGCTCTTGTTGCTTCCTCGTATCTAACTTTTAGCTCCTTGGGTCAGAGACTTCTCCTGAATAAACTTCTATGCATAAAGTACCTATGTAGGAGCCCATTCACTGCAGGCCTCATCTGAAGCCCTCCTCCACATTCCTCTCCCTAACAAAGTAAAGGGGAGTTTGCAAAGAGGAGGGCCTTCTCCTGCACAGCACCCCAACTATGGAATTCAATCCCACTTGAGGTCCGGTTGGCACCAACTCTCTTGGCTTTTAGGTGCTAATAAAAGACACATCTGTTTACCAGTTATTTTGACAGGTGAATTTTTAGGTATTAATGTTACCTTATGCTGCTGCCAATGGGACATGATGTTAAAGGAGGGATATTTATTTCTAATTTTAATAGTTTATTCTTTATTTTGGGGGTTTTATATATGTACCATATTTTTCGCTCTATAAGACGCACCTGACCATAAGACGCACCTAGTTAAAAAAATATTCTGAATCAAATGGGCACATAATCACAGGCACATTCCCCATCACTTCCCCATGGGCTGCACATCTGACAGACTTACTGCACACACACATTCGCTCTGTAAGACGCACAGACATTTCCCCTTACTTTTGAGGGGGAAAAAAGTGCGTCTTACAGAGCAAAAAATATGGTATATAGTATACATTTATAGCATTTATTAATTCTATTTTTTCTATTTTGGTTTTAATCCTGTTAATTTATTTACTGATTTTACTGCTATTATTATTGGTTTTTGTAGTAAATGCTTGCTTGTATTGTTTTATATTGCTGAATTTTAATATGTTGTAAGCTGCCCAGAGAACATGTGGATAGTGCAGTGGCATATAAATGGGATGAATGAATGAATGAATGAATACACACACAACAACCTGTTGGTACAACAACCATGTGCTTTTCTACTTTGGGTTTGGCAGAATTCAAACTTCACAGAAATGTGACATAACCAGGACAGATCCAACTGCAATTTCTTAGCATCACTACTACCATTAAAAGGTACGAATGGACAGTAACATCCAGAGAACAAAAGAGGAAAACACAACCCTGTTTCTGGTTTTCAGGAATAATACTTTTGGGAGGCCATCTGTGTCAACATTCCTCTCACTGTAGTTAATGGAAAGAAAACAGTATAGAGAACAAATAAAATCAGGCTTGTTTTACCATATCCACGCTCTCCATAGGCTAGTGAAGGAGGAATGATCACTTTCCGTTTCTCTCCAGGACACATATCCATCATTGCAATATCTAAGCCTTTAATCACTTGTCCTACACCAAGGACAAACCATTTTGGATGGCCGTCATTTTGTGTTCGACTACAAAGAAGAAAAATTAACAGATGTTTGAAACTGTACTATAACATTTTTTAAAACTGGATTCATACAAGCACATCATCCTCTTTGGAGAATGTCCATTAGTACACTGGTAAGTTGTGCACAGTTAAGAGACTCTAGCTGTGTAGCTGTAAGAGCAAGCTGAGAGAGATGGACATGGGGAGAGTTGTTGCTCAGTGGCAACTGGGTCATTCCAGCGTGCACAGTCCAAGAGGAAAACTGGATAAAAGTGCTCCTTTCTCCTGCACTGTCCAGAACAAGGGGCAGCAGCGGGTCAGGATCAATCCGACAGGCAGGAAAGGAGATGCTTTCTCCTTACATGCACAACTCAGTTTTTCAATGCATGCATTTAGATGAATGGGAGTGTTTCCTAATTATGGGTCCAAAGAATTTGTTGGGCTACAATGCCCAGTCAGCATGGCCAATGTTCAGGAGTGATGGGAGCTGTAATCCAAGACTGGAAAAAAGTGGATGTTTCCAGATGAAGGCTGTTTTTGCACTAAGGCACTCTGCAGCTATTCATGGTTCTCTAACAGATTCCCTTTTGGTAGGAAAAAAGATGGAAGAAGTGGTGGGAAAACACACAAGGGACCACAAACAAAAGATGCCATTGTCTGAAGCCTCTGGTTAAAAAGTGTGAATGAGGCTTTGCGACTGCACAAGAAAAGCCTAGTCTGGAAACTCATTGTGTCTGCCCTCTATCCAAGCATGCACATGCTATGGCCTCCCTGCCTCACTAAGATGTACAAAGTGGCCCTCTGGTCCTCATAACTTATACAAGGAAAACAGATCCCGAATACATCTGTGCACATGTATTCATACATGTTCTGAAAACGCCTGGGCAAGGAAACAGGCACATTTCTGACGCTTCAGCCCTTTGGGAGCAATCCCCGCAGACGGCTGTCGAGCGTCCTCCCAGGCAAACGCGCCTAGGAATGCTCTGCACAGCTTACCTTCCTGCGGGCGACAAGTCATTCCAAGTGGTAACAGATCAAATGGGGGCATTCGCTTAGGGAGTTTTCTTTGCAAGGTACGAGTCCCCCTTGCTCGCCGGAAAAAAAAGAAGAGAAAACGCAAGCACGCAGGGTGCCGCCGTTGCCTCACCTGCAATAAAATTTGGTATTATCACTTGCCAGGTATCCGTCATAATGGGCATTAAGCATGTCTCCCCTCTTGCTCTTGGTCTCGCAGTTTTTGGGGACGTGAAGGACTTCTATCTTAACTTCGTCCGCAGGGGAGGCAGCCTCGGCGCGCCCGGGGAGAACGGCGAGGGCCTGCAGCACCAAGCACAACGTCGCGGCGAGGGGCATCGTGGCGACCGCGCTGCTCTGCCGCGAAGAGAAGCGGCGCTCCGTCCCGGGGCTGCGTGGCACTGGCATTGTTCGACGTCACGGGAGCCGACGGGGCGTGGCCGCGGGGGACGCCGCGCGCCGCCTTGTTCCGGCGCGGGTGCGGCTGGCGCGCGCCTGCCTTGCTCGCCCTCCTCCCGCTGCGCCGCGTCGCCTTCTCTCTCGGCTTTAGCCCGCGTAGGTTTTGCTGACTCTTTGGAACATGCACGAGGCAGAGCTGCGTCATGGCGTGCGGCGGCGGCGGCGGCGGAAAGACGCCTTGTCCGTTTGACCCAGGCGGTGTGATTTATGGTCTGGGAGGGTGAGGAGTGGAGAAGGAAGGATTTTAGAGCCCTGAGGGCCGCGCGGAAAGGGGCGGAGTGGTGCATCTTCTTCCTCAGCTGCAGTGAAAATGAGGACCTGGTTCTATTTTGGAGACGTTTTCTCTGAAACGCACCACAGTTTTGTTAAAAAATACATCACTTGCATATTTTCTTGACTTTATTAGCTATTCCTCCATGCCGGTATTGGAAAATAGCAGGGCCGAGCCCTGCTATTGAATTTCTGTATCGCCCCATTATCCGGCAGGCACTCTGGGCAGGTTAGCATTTTTAAGTCATATACACATTCATAAAATACTCATGTTAACTGATGCAACAAGGCAACAACCGCTGGACAGCAACCGCAAAGGCTATTCTGTTTTAACCCCCCGGAGCAGCAGCAAGTATAATATTTAAAGTGGCACAGCAGATTGTAGTTAAAGGGTGCACCAGGAACCCGGGCGCGCGGCAGAGATCGAGGCGAGCTGTGCACTGGACATGGCATGGCACTTCCATCCTGCCTTGGGGAAGTGAAGGGCAGAAAAGGTCCTGTGGAGTCGAGGGAGTACCCTGTTTTATTTGCGGAGGGGGGAACTGACGCAAGGCCGCCCGACTATCCGAGTTCGCATGTCTCGTGTGTGCGTGTGTGTCTGCTTTAACCAGCATCCCCTTTCATCCAGGAAGTAAATGAAACGTCAGGGTCAATGGAACCAAACGCAGAGGCCCGAGAAAGGGGGAGGGGAAAGGGAAGGAGAAAGGGAAAGAAAGAGGCCGACGGCGGGGGAGAGGGAGCAGGGGAGGGCGGGCAAGAGGGTTTGACAATTACTTTGTTTTCCCCAGTGTCTGCGATGTGCCTAGGCAATGAATGACTCCGCCGCCGCCGCCGCCGCTGCACGTGCCCAGCACCCGCAAAGCCAGCCGAATCCAAAAGCTACGATCGCTGTTGCTGTCGCCGCCGCCCCCCGAGCTAAGCCGCTCAGCCGTCGATGTCCTTAGAGGGTCGCCGCCGCCGCTTCTGTTCAGAGCCTGAAGGGACAAGCAGTCCGTGCCGTTCCTGCCGCTCTTTCCGAGGAAGAGGAAGAGCAGGATGCTGCGCAAGCCGCGGCTTTGAACTATGGAGGGAGTTCTGTACAAGTGGACCAATTACATCACAGGTACCTGGCCGTTCTCAGCGTCTGGGCATGGCTGTGGGTGGGCTGTCCCTGCCAAGGGCTCGCCGGACCGGCTTCTGAAAAACTGCGCCAGTGCATGAAGCCCCAGCCGGATTTCTTGGGCAGATTGCTTGCCCGCCCACTTTCCTCATCCTCCTCAGCGGTTGAAGATAGTCCGGACCAAAGTGAGGGGGCTCCTACCTGCTGCCTGCAGACATGTTGGGCTGCAACTTGCGAGCATGCCCCAGCAAACCACTCCAGTGCATCTGGAGGACAACAGGTTGAGGAAAGGCTTGGTTAAAGTGATGGTGCTTGAATGGGCTGGAAAATTGCTGCAGCTTTCCTCAACTTGATGCAGAAAAAAGGGGCAGAAGGGGAGGATACGGGCCAGTAGGTTAATGGATTCATAAGGCAGGTAGCAACTAGGCCAAATGCTGAGACACACGTTCAGCCTTCTACAATCTTGTGCTCACATGTTTCAGATTCCATCTCCCAGCATTTTTGACAGTTGAGCGTGCTGACTGGAAGCTGATGTCCAAAACGTGGGGCATCAGCTTGGGGAAGGCTGGTTCAAATATGTCTCAGTGGTTGGCCTAGATGCTACTGTCCTATGAAACTCCTGATCGCACTAGCCTGTGTCTTCCACTTTTGCCCTTTCTTATTTAGGCTCCCTGGATGGTAATCTGTAGGCTTGATTTGGTGGAAAATAAACCAGGCCCAAACTGTTGATTATGCTGGATTTATGTATGGGCTGAACGGGCTGCAGCCCAGCGCCTCATAATCTAGGAGGGCCTCAGTCTCCTGCCAAATTTTGTTTTAAAATTTACCATTAATTCTATTTCATTTGCAATGATAAAAATCAGGGGCATACCTAGGTGAAAGATTATTTTCTAGATTAAAAAGTAAAACAAATGATCTAGGGTCAACAGTGTCCCAAGATCGTTTGTCTGAGCTAATCATTCTCTGCACAGAAAATGATAAATTGTGGCTTGCTAAGTTTAATGATATAATTGATAAGTTTGCATCCAAGCAAGCTCAAAAGAAACTATTCCATCTTTGTACATAGTGTTATAGCATGATTCCCCTGTGAATGTTCTTTGTGAACATCTTTATTACTTCCATACTTTGGTAAATTAAAGGTTGTAAATTTATAAACAATCTATTTATCAATGCTAAAATTTCATCAATGTACTACTTTCATTGAGTTTTTGTTTTTTTCTGATAGAATCATAGGATTGTAAGGGGCCAGAAGGCCATCGGATCCAACCTCCTACTATTGCAGGACACTAAATCACACTATCCTATTGTAGATGACTACCCAAACACCCACAACTTCCCAAAGTTCCATTGTCGTACTTCTCTGATGGTGTCTAGTCTAACTCTGGTTTCTTTTAACTTAAGTTCTTTATTCCATGCCCTGCATTCTGGAATGAACAGAGATTTTGTCCTTCCTCTTTGTGACAGCCTTTCAGGTACTTGTAGAGTGGTATCATATCTCCCTCCAGTCCCTGAATCATCCTTGTTGTCTTCCTCTGTACCCTTTATAGCTTTTCTGCATCTTTTTAAAACGTAGGTGCCTGGACACAGTACTCCAGGTGAGGTCTGGCTAATGCTGAGTATACTGGAAATAGTGCTTCACATGTTTTGGAAGTGATGTTTCTGTTGATGCAGCCCAAAATAGCATTTGCCCTTTTTGTAGCTGAATCACATTGTTGGCTCATATTCAGCTTGTGATCTCCAACAATCCCAAGATCCTCTTTTGCAGTATTGTTGAGCCAAGCATTCCCCATATCGTAGTGGTCATTTGGTTTCTTGTTCCTAAGTGAAGAACTTGGCATTTGTCCCTACTGAATTTCATTCTTTTGTTCTCCGTCCAGCATTCTAACCTATTGAGATCATCCTGTATCTTATCTTCCAGGGTAGTTGCTCTTCCAGTCAGCTTTGTGTCATCTGCAAATCTGATATCTTTCCTTGTACTTCCTCATCTAAATCATTGATAAAAACATTGAAGAGTACTCGTCCCAGGATGGCACCCTGTGGCACCACACTCGTCATAATCAGATGCTATTAGGTTAGGCCCCCGCAAGGTCTCCTATCTCAGGGCCATCAGTTGCTTTAATCTGGGACTGCCTGCCTGGGGTCTGCGATAGAACTCAGGGTGTGGCTCTGTGTATCAGTGAGGATGGGCCTATATCTCAGGACAGGGAAATGTGTATGTTGCAAGATTATTTATTATTTTTGTTTATTTAGGGGACTTCTATGCCGCCCTATTCGCCGAAGCCTCGGGGCGGCTCACAACCATAAATAAATAGAATCCAATAAAACAATATAAATTAACAATATAAATTAAGTCGCACTGGCCAAAGAATAAAATGAATAAATAATATTAACAATTAAAATAACATTTGAATAAAAAGGTCTTGGCTTGGCGCCGAAAAACAAATAACGACGGCGCCAAGCGGACCTCTGTGGGGAGCGCATTCCATAGATTGGGCGCCACCGCAGAGAAAGCCCTCCTCCGAGTACTTACCCTCCTAATTTACAACGTATTTCACCAAAGAAGGAGATGGCCATCTTTGCTTCTAATATGCATCGAGAAAGAGGGATTTTGCTTGCAAGGCACACCTTTGGGATAGGGATATTGTTGATTGCAATTTAGAATCACTTTTCTTTATCATCATTGGCAGTAGCCCTTTAGAAAAAAAGATTATCTGCAGTTTTATATCAATAACTGGAGATGTTTTAAAATTCAACCAGCCTTCCCCAGCTGGATGCTCTGCAGATATGTTGGATTACAATTCCCACCATCAGCTTATCAGTTGAGGCTGATGGGAGCTGTGTTCCAACAAGTCTGAAGGGCACCAGGTGGAGGAAGCCTGAATTTAACCATAGTTCACCTGGTGCACAAGCAAACAGAAGTCTTTGCAAAGTGTGCCTCCCCCTCCCACTTCCTCCTTTCAGCACAGATGAAGTATAAACTAGAGTTCCATTTCACTTTAGCAGATTCCCGGCTTGTCATTCTGTGCAGGACTTGTGGTTTCAGATAAAACCTAATTTGTTGCCGAAGACAGCCGTGGTTTTGGCTTACTGAGCAGCTGACTACAGTTTTATCTAGACCCTGGTTTCTCAGGAATCTGCTGAATTGAAGCTGCTAAAAATGAAGCTAAATTCAGGTTTATTTCTATTCCTGCTAGCACAGGAAGGAGGTTTGTGTTTGTGCAGAAAGTGCTGAGCTGGGCAGCTTCAGGGGGCCTGGAGCACTCTTTGCCCTTAGAAGGCTCTCCAGTGGTTTGCTGTGGCAACTTGGGGGCAACTGCTGAACCCCCACCCTGCCTTCTTTCCTGTTTTGGCTGGGAGAGTGGAGCCATGCGGCCCACGGACCTCTCCATTATTCTTAAGATTGAACCTTCTCGTTAAGCGCTGAGTGTTACCATACCACTAAGTTCTGTCTCTTCCCGAACTATGTTCAGCTTTACATCTAAAGGGAAGAAAAAGTAAAATATTGTTCTGAAGCTAGAGATAAGAACATGAAAAAGAGCCTCACTGGATCAGATCAAGGTTCTGTCTAATTCACCATTTGCCCTTTCTTGCAGCTGCCAACCAGTTTTCATGGGAAATGCATGAATGTTTTAGATGCCTATTCTTTTACAAGTCTGTCTCTTCTAAAATAAATTCCTAATATAATGGATATCCCAGTTATGAAACATTCCTTCTTCACGTTCCATTAAAGGAGACCACTGAGCCCTGGGCTGGAGTGTGCCAGCAGTCTGGGAAGATATAATAAAAATTAGACAGGTCCTGAGTTCTGTGGATAGAATAGTGCCACTGACAACTCTGTATGTTATAATTTTAGATTATGACTAGGCTTCATCAGCAGCTTGTTTTCCTGCATATGTTTCAGAATATGAATCATAAAGCAGCCATTCTATATTTAATTTCAACATAGTTGTGATGTGAATGTGGGAGAACAATTTTAGATTGTCCAGGAATTCATAATGTCCGGGGAAAAGGCTTATTTGTGATGGGAAAAATATGGAATATTGTTGCAATTCCCAGATAGTTTGGAAAGCTTTATAGATGGGTCTCCTGATTGCCTGTGATAGAAATCTGGGATAAAAAAACACAAGTAAAGCAGAAGTCATCGATGGAAAAATAAGGCAGGTACCTTTTTGTAGCTGTATTTTTGAGAAATACCTCACATAGTACATTATCAGTAACTTAAGAAAATTTGATCACACACCCTCACCCCTCTTTTCCTTCTTATGTCTAGCCCAGCCTGTATATAATATTCTGCCACTTGAAACTTCCTTTTATTTCCAAAGATGAGCTATACTTCCATAGAATGCAACCTTCTACAGGTTCACGGGCAGCAATTTCTTATTTAACGTGGTGCTCTGTGTGTGTCTTCTGAATGTGGCTTCTTTGCCTTTGAACTGAGCTACTGAGTGGAGTAAACAAGTCTGCATGTAAAGATAATGGCAGATATTGCCTCCTGTAGGAAGAAAGGGAAGGGCTTGAAGTAGCATTGCAGCCCTGAAAAGGTCAAAAGAAAGTTTAAAAGGCGCTGTTTGATTTAAAAACATTTCCTAAAAGACAAACACAACATCTCATTTTTAGCCTCAGTGTTATTAAATTCCCAACATTGTCTGGTATTTTGCAAGGCATTTTTGGTTTTTTTGCTCTCCCGTTCTCCAAATGATATGACATTAATTACATGCAGATAGATTTGCCAATTCAGGAGCTTCTTTTAACTTTAACAGACTATTTAGAATATAAAGCAATCAGGGAATTGCTTTTCTGTGAAGCTCTCCACTAGATCAGGAGTGAGCATCTCACGGCCCTCTGGATGTTTGGATCACAACTTCCATCAGCATAGCCAACAGTTGGGAATGATGGGATTTGCAAGCATGAGTTCCAGGTTCTGAATGACCACACTATGCTGGCTGTCATTATCCCCATGTTTATTCCTCTGCTGCCTCTCTTTCTCTCCGCTCCCATCAAGAGCTCACTTGATTCATCTTTTTTGTTCCCCATTTCCATTTCACGGGGTCAGCCTGGCGGCTTGGCAGAACCAGAATGGAACTGTTCGTTTCATTGTGGCAGATCTTGCCTGAGCCCTGCAAATGGCTTGCTCAGAATCCTCACTGAATTACAGTGTCATCGGCTTGGTTTGATTCTGCAACAATTCTGCATTCTGCTCAGCTTGAGTCAGTTCCACATTTCTGGGATTATATCCTTTGATAGCGAAATCTGTTGATGAATTTCCCTCAATACTTTAAAATGTTGACCGAAATAGACTTGTCTGTGGTAAAAACTACTCCTTTGGGTCAAATAATTCCTGTTTCACAGAGGCGTTTGTTTGTTTGTTTGTTCTGTTCAAATCCACCTTTTTTTCCTTTTGCAAGGAACCCAGGGTGATTTCCATAATCTTCCTCTCCATTTTATCCTCCCAGTGACCCTGAGGCTGAGAGGTATCCAAACTGTGGTATGCGAGGCTGAGAATGGGGGCCTGGCCCCAAGTCGTCCAGTGGGGTTCGTGAGCAAGTGCAAATGAATCCCCAGCCCTGCCCTCTCACCCCACTGGCTTTCACTGACCAGCCTTAGCCTCTCTGCAGTTTTCACCTGTGCCCCCTCTGAGCGATGCCATCATTATTCCACGTTCAGAGACTGAGCTTGGCAGGCTGAGATTACATTAAGCAGTGAGCAGAAGGAAGGCAGAACACCCAAAACACTGCAGAGAAGGGAGCTTAATCGCCGGCCGGCGAGGCAGACGGGGAAGGAGCCTGGACTGAAATAAAGGGGTTGGCAGCAAAAGACTGGCAGCTGCTTCCGGGTTGTTCAGCACTGTGAACAGCAATAGCTCAAGCCCTCTGTGGCTGGGACAGCAAGGCGCCCCATCCCATAGAACAAGGAGGAGGGGAGGCAGGCAGGGGAGGGAGGGGAGCCTCTTGGAGCAGTTGTGAGCCCCCGTGGCCTCAGGCTGGTGGTCCAGAAAATGCTAAGATTTTGCAAAGGTGGCTTGGTCCCTCTGTGGTTCAAATTATAGCTTTACCTTGCTTTTGAAGGTTATTTAGGTGTAAATCTTGCTTTCCACTGAAAGGTCTAAGCCAAGTGGGCAAGTGCATTCCTACACGCACCCCTCCTCACAGCTGGGGGCCCAGGCTCCAGCACTGCTAGCTGAAGTGGCTGCCGCTGCTGAACTCCCAGCTGTTCCGTCGGGAAGCAAAGCTGGCTGCTTGGCAGGCTGTCGGGAGCCCCATTCTGCAGTGAAACGGTGCACAGAGGGATGCGTCCCTGTGCACTCAGTTGGCTGGCAGAATCAGCCTGCTGGGAAGCTGTTTGGCGGGCTGGCAGGAGCCCACTTTTGCTGGATCTTGGCAGCCGCAGTGGTGTCTGGGGCAGAGGGAGCACGCAGATGGCGTCGGCTGGTGGCTGGCTGGCCTGGCACAACGCTGCTGCCAGTGTGAGGGTGCCTTGGCAACAAAACAGATCAATGTTTTCTGCTGTTTCCCTAGGTTGGCAGCCTCGCTGGTTTGTTTTAGATAATGGGATATTGTCTTACTATGACTCGCAGGATGATGTTTGCAAAGGCAGCAAAGGAAGCATAAAGATGGCGGTTTGTGAAATCAAAGGTAAGACCAGCGGTCTCCCATTCTAGGCTGAGTTAGGCTGTTGTGCTCCTGGCTACCTTTGAAGGTGCAGGCCTGAACTGGGTGGATTCATTCATTGGTCCGCTTGGTCCATTTTAGGGGGTAAACTGGGGGTAACATCAGCAACCTAACATTGCTGAGAGAGCGAAGATGGAGGCCAACCTCCAGCTGGTGCTTTGGTGTAGCAAAGTATATAGCTCGGGTGAGTTGTCTTAACGGGCGTACCAGAGTAATATGGCGTGGGTAGGCATAGATGGTACCCTGGACCAACAGAAAACAAAACCAAAAAACAAGTGGGCCCTAGATCAGATCAAGCCAGAGCTTTCCCTAGAAGCAAAAATGTCAAAATGTTTTAATGTTTTAATAAAATAATAATAAAATAAAAATTAGGGCTGTCATACTTTGGATATATCATGGAAGGCAAGACTCCCTGGAGAAGAAAGTCATGTTAGGAAAAGTTGAAAGCAAAATGCAAAAGAAATGACCTAATATGATTGAATCCATAAAGGAAGCGACTGCCTTGAACTTGGAAGAGCTGAGCTGGGCTGTTATGGACAGGACATTTTGGGGGACTTTCCTTCATGGGGTCACCATAAATCAGGGATGACTTGATGTCACATAATAACAACAGGCGCGGACAAGAATTGCATTCCAGTCCACAAATCATGTGAGGCTGCCCCATGCTGAAGACAAGCAAGCATTTTGGGGAAACATTCCTTGTTTGCCCAGTTTGCATTCAAGAGTGGACTCCAACCTCATTTTCACACTGTAGCCTATTGGAGAAAATGTGCATTTGGGGCATGAACTTGGAAAAGTGCGTTTTTGGGTGTTAAAAAGGATGCTTGCATTTGTGAGCAAGCACAAGAGGAGATGAGTATTGAGGTTGGAAATGGAGAACCTCCATGAGGCGAAACATTGTTCGTTCTCACTCCATGGGAGGATGTAGATTTCCTGAAAGACGTTTCTTGAGACCGACTGTGAGGTCCGCTTCCCCTTTTGCACCTTCCTTTTTGGCAGTCTCTCTCCCTACCCTTCCACCTTGCTGAATATCCAGCCAGCTTCTTTGGCCGACAGGACCAGGATGGCTCCACCCCATCCCTTTCTGCACTCTGTTGAAGCTCCATGAGAGCACATGGCTGGATCGGCTTTATTTTCGGCAGGTGCTACTTCCTCAGTCCATTCCTGATCCCTTTCAAAGTGTTGTTTTTGACCTTGGAAGCCCTGGTCACCTTGGGGCAGAATATAAAAGGGGAAGCCTCCTTCCTATGTAGTTGTCTGGGAAAAAAGCGGGTCTGGACTGCTGGCAGCTGGGGATGTTGGGGCTCTGCATTTTGGGCACCACATTCTAGGCAGTCGTTGAAAACCTAAGCTTGTATTACTTCCCCTGTTGTAAGTTCATCCAGCAGACAGCACAAGAATGGAGCTCATAATCCCAGGAGAACAACATTTCTACATGAAAGCCGTGAACGCAGCTGAACGACAGAGGTGGCTCGTGGCGCTCGGGAGCTCCAAAGCTTGCTTGACAGACACTAGAACAAAAAAAGAAAAAGGTACTTGCTAATTTCAAAACTGTAATGGACTTGCGCTTTCAAATAATCTGTTTCTTAATTGGTGCAGTTCTTGGTCAAAAGTTCTTTCGAATGTAAATCTCTGTTATTTGTGCAGTTCTGGGTTCCCTGTCTGCATCCCCAGGCAGCTGCCAGAGCCCTGCTGCTCCTGCTGTTTTGTTTGTAAGATGAGGCATTTCCTTCTTTCCTTTAGCTGGAAGGCTGGCAAGCGGCAAAACAGAGCAGTGGCCTGCAAGCCCGTATTTATTTCCATGGATGCCCCACTTGCAGCCCGGGACATCCTTAGAAAAGGGAAATGGCAGGTTCTTTTGGAAACTTGCCAAAGCAGCCGGAAAAACTGGGAAGGCAAGCTGGGGTCTAGTAATAAGTACACTGGGGAGCCAGGAAGAGCAGCGGGGATGCTGGAAAATGTGTCAGTGCTGTTGAAAATGGTTAGAGGTCTTTTTCTATGCATATATAGTTTAAGACTGAGTCATTCATTAACTTTAAGTGTAGATATTGAAATGTAAAAGGTGTCAGGAGAACTTCTATCCCTGAACAGCAAAGTTTCTGTTTTCTGATATTTTTGCAGAAATTAATGAAACCAATGAATCTCTGAAAACCAAAATGTCGGAGCTTCGTCTCTATTGCGACCTCTTAATGCAGCAGGTCCACACGATACAGGAATATGTTCACCACGATGAGAATCGCTCATCACCCACCATTGAGGTATCGGGCTGTTCTTTCGCGCAGCATTTGTTCAGCTTTGGAAAACAATCCAGTGGCACCCAGCAAAGGATGCTGGGAAGATAGGAATCCTCACTCACCCTACTCCCCGCCCCTGAGGCCACAAGAGGAGGACTCAGAGGCCTGGTCTGCCTCCCCTGCTTCTGTGCAGGCCTGCAGAAGAGCCGCTTCCCAAGGCTGCCGCTGTGGCCCTGGCTGGGATGGAAAGGGACGTGCCCAGGGCCTGCCCCCCCATGAAGGCGCCCACACCAGGGTGTGGAATGTGGGGAGTGCAGAGCTTCCCCCACTGTCCGGTTGGTGCTCCGGCTGGGGTCTTTCCTGCAGTGAGAGGGCAGCCAGGGGTGCTCTGGAGACAAGCCGCTCACCCTCGTTTCCCCCCTTGCATGTCTCCTTGCTTCTGCTGCTGTGTTGGCTCTGGGGAGAGTCACACGGCCGGAAGGTGGAGCTGCAGGGCTCTTCTGCGAGCAGTGCTGGTCTTACTGTTGCCCCGTGGCTGCTTCTCCCAGCCGTGTGGCTCTCCAGGGAGCCAACATGGTGGCAGCAGAGGGAAGGGATAGGGGGCGTGCCTCAGATGGCAAGAGAGCTGTGGTGCCGGGCCTGCTTCCCCCAAACTGCAGCATCCCAAAGTGTCTGCCTCAGATCCTGACTGTGAAGTGGAAGAAGGGACGAGATCAGCATTCTTAGCTGAACTGGGTTGTCAGGCCTCCCTGCCTCTGGCCCAGCCTCAAGGTTCCCAGGGAGGCTGGGCTGATCTCCCGGGGAGCCCCGCAGCTGACACCCAGGGTGGGACTGGCTAGGCGGGCAGGAACAGGCAGGCAGCCGGGTACCTCCCTCCCTCTCTAGTGCTGCTTCAGCTGCATCAGGACTGGCGTTGCTGTCAGTATATATGATAAAACAGGAAAATAAACCATAAAAATGCTACTACCCAAACCATCAGCAAACAAACAGAAAGAGCAGCAAAAATAGGTAAAATGGCTTTCCGTAAAAGAGGCAAACAGTAATAAACTGATGACGCACCAGAAGCCGTGTCTCGGCAGGGATTTGCATTCCTTGCTCTGAGAATTCTTAAAACATTTTAAACATGCGACGTGTTGTCCTTTTGTCCAGCTGGAGAGATGGCACAGTGCAGCCCTAGCGTCTGTGGCGAGACGGCCCGCTCCTGTGTCTGGGCCATTTCTAGGCAAACTCCCTGCATTCTTCCTAGGCTGGAAGCTGATGAAAGAGTGGCTGACGCAGTTGGCTAGTTATGCTGGGCAGCACACTGCTCTGGCTTCAGCAAGAAGCCTCCCCTGGGGGGGCGGGGGGGGGTCTGCCATTATTTCATTGCGCTGGGCAGTTGCTGACAGGTGCCCCTCGCGTTCCTTTCTAGAATATGAACGAAGCCTCTTCCTTGCTCAGCGCCACCTGTGACACGTTTATCACAACGCTCGAAGAGTGCGTGGAAATAGCGAATGCCAAGTTTAAGCCAGAGACGTTTCCGTTGCCGCATCCTGACCCCTTGGTTTCTCCCGTGTCACCTTCACCTGTGCAAATGGTTGGACATCCTTTAGCATTTGGCTTTCTGGAGGGCTTGAGAAAGCATGGAAGGGGATGGTGGGGCAGGATCAGCTGCCAAAGCTGCCCGGAGCCGCTGTGAGGACCTTTCCGAGAGGATGACTTGAGCCTCCAGCCCAGAGTCTTGGAGGCTGCAGTCCTTAAAAGGAAACAAGAGCAGCTTCGCATGGAGAGCCTTAAATGCCTCTGTGCGCATGCTTTAGCTATTTGAGCATGCCTGTAGTGTCCAATAAACTCAGCAAGATCGATCTGCGAGCAGAATATGTTTCTTACATGTTTCTCCTTGGGGGAGGCCAGGGGGGCATCCAGGACTCTTTCCTCTTTCATGCTCAGGACAGTCCTGCGAGGTTGCTTAGGCTGAGAGGCCAGCCTCATCCGAGGTGCGTCACTGTTGAGTGGGGATCTGAGCTTTGGACTCCCCAGGCTGAGTCCAGCAGTTTGAGCACTGAGCCACACTTTCTGTTTCTTGAGGAACCATTTGTAAGATCACACGGGACCAAGTTGGTCAAGGGGAGAGAGTAGCAGCCATCATGCTTTGAAGCCCGTAAAGACCAGGCTCCAGGGAAGCGCAAGCGAAGCGACAGTGAGTTGGCTCTGTGGAAATGCGGCCTCTGCAGAGTGCCAGGGCTCTTGCTCTGCCCTGAAATCACCTGCTAAGAGGTGCACACCACTGTCGCCCTGCCGGTTTAACGTAGGGCAGGTGGGAAAGCTGATTGGCCCAGAGAAAGAACAGCATGTGGGTGATGCTATTTTGGAGCAATGCTCACTTGTTCAGTGCCCACCTTCTCCCTTGTAGACGCCCCTGTAGCGGCTTGAGGTGAATGGAGCAGATGCCGTGGAGTGGCGCTTCCCTTGGAGATGCTCCCGCTGGCGAAATTGTGTGTGAAGTGACTTGTGTTACTTCCTCCGCAGCCCCTTCCATCCTCTGAAACTGGGCTTTGGAGGGCTGCAGAAACCCCCAGAAGATGGTGCTGGGGGCTACAGGGAAAGGGGGAATCAGCAAAAACTGCCCCACCTCTCCCTCTTTTGTCAGTTAGATCCACCAAAATCCTTCCAAAGAGCCCTCCTGTTTGTGGGCCCCAAAGTCTGGATTTAGTGCAATAGTTCTGATTAGTCAAAATAACAATTCTTATAATATACAGCAGGGGTCTCAAACTCGTGGCCCGCGGGCCAATGGCCGGGCCGGGCGGGGCACGGGGGAGGGGCCCTGCGGCCTTCAAAGTGCCGGCGGTACCCGGGCCGGCCTCCGGGAGCCATGCGGGATGAGTGGCCCCCCACCACCACTTGATGCGGCCCAGCATCACCCAGACTCTACTTCCAGCGGCCCCCAGGTCAGTTGAGTTTGAGACCCCTGATATGCAGTGTTTAAAGGTGTCCTTGCAACTAAAAAGCAGGTTAGTAAAGCCAGCAGGAAGCACCTGTGTGAATGCTGCCCAGTTAGTTTTGAATTCTGATGAAATAAAATGCAATTAAAGTAGCTGGATATGTTCCTGTCTCAGTGATAATCACTTTGTGTGTCTCCTTTACATACTTAAATAATACGAACAAGTGCCTTCACTTTTAAAGAGAACTGTCCTACAGATATAGCTAATGAAGCTTTGGGAGTATATCATAATTTCTTTTGTTTTTTTTAAATTATTCCTTAGATGAAACGTTCTGTTAGCCATCCAGGTACATGTAATCCTGAGAGGTAAGTATAAAGTTGTGATTCTATACATTTTTAAGGTTTGGAAGCCAATCAATAAATGGAATGTTCTTCAGCATTCTTCCTGTTATGAATCCCCATCTCATCTCAAGTCAAGCCCATGCTGCTCAGTGTAGAAATTCAGATTAACCATATGTTGCCTCTGCATTGTGTATTTCGAGTTTATTCCTGTAGCGGCATGCATTTCTGATAATCTGATCATATATGATTAAAACTAAATACCTGCATGGGTTGAATTCCCTCTGACAGTTACACACTAGTGTAAAGTTGTCCAAATACATAGTGGTTGCAAGGAGAGCGCTTTGGGGTTTTATCACTCCAAATGTCTTCTATCTTCTCCGGCAGCACTAATGGACCTAATCCGTTCCCTCTGGGGTGTGCCATGCTTTCATATGCGCAGCAACAGGACTTGAAGTACATTGCAGCATTTGATTCAGTCCTGTCCGTTTATTCCCATGCTGCAAAAAGCCCTGATCTGACAAGCTACCTATGGACTGCCCTGTGTACAGGGGAAATGACGTTCTCTTGAGCTCTCTCCTCCTTACCATGCCACTAAATGGGCACGCTACGGAAATGCTGAGCACCCAGGTTACAATATAGTTGATTTGTTGCTCTTGGCTTTGGCTTTAGAAACACTTCGTAAAACCAGCCATGCTGTTTAATCTGTAGGAGCAGCCACTCTGTAAAAGAATCAAATCCGTCGTCTTATCGAATATCGCAAAGATGGCGAAGAACAGTCTCAGAAACAGAATCCCCTGTAGACCTTCCTGTTGAAGACACAGACCGTGAGTACCGGCCCGCCACCCGTGAGCTCTGATTCAGTGGCATTTATCTTTTTCCCCTTGAAGGTGCTGCACCAGAGCCAGGATCTCTGCCAGGGAGACGATAAGTGCAGGAATACGTGACATGCAGTCCACTGCACTGTGGGTCAGGCACACTCAGCCTTGTGGAGAGCTTTAAGACTCTGGGGGGTTGACCTGTAGGGGTGTTTCAGTGACCAGATACATGCCCAGTGCTGCCAGTTGAGTGCATAAGAGGCAGCTTCCCTGCAGCCATCCCAGGAGTGATCCAGGACAAATTGTGTTGATCCCATCTGTGTTTATTAGAGGAAAACCTGGACACTGGAATATGCACGGGCTCCTTGCAGCTCACCAGGCTGCACTCTGTCCATCTCACAACCCCATTCCCAGGCAGACCATCTTGTGGAGGGGGGATGACGTTTCAGCTGGTGCCAGGGACAGGCGGGCCGTCACCAGAGCCCCTTTCCTGGTGGCTGCCACAGCTCCAAAGCCCCTGGGGCAATCTTGTGTGATGATGCAGCAGTTATGTCCCGTGGGGGTTCTGGGGTGGGAAATGCAGCACCCCTAGGAAATGCAGGGGCCCTGGCCATGGTGTGCACCTTTGGCCTGAACTGTCAAAATGTGTCCTCTGACATTCTAGCCTGGAAATTTGAGCGAAACATTCAAAAGTTACCACCTTTGGATGAGCAATAATGCTTACACTTTAATCTGTCTCTTTCAAAGAAAAGTCAATTGGGGAGCCATTAGAGCGTAATGTACACAGATTCTTTGATTCATTAATTCGTGTTTTGAAATCAAATGTAGCAAAAGAGGAATTACATAAACTTTTGTTACTTAATTGTACTCTTTTTCCACCTTACTGTTGTTACTGAAGTTAGTGGAATATAAATTAAAGTGGAGTGTTCTGTTCTTCATGACTCAGTCAGTTAAACATTTGAAACCCCTGCTGATTTTCAGGGGAAGCAATAGGCATCAACTTAAATACCTCTTTTGAAATTCATAGCACTTAAGAGTACTTCCACTTGGATTCATCATGACCATTTTTTATAGTTCCTTTACAACTGCAATTTGCTTCCTTTCCTGCTTCTCCGTGTATGCTAGCCAGTACTAGCCCAGGAAGGCTATTACTGCAAACTATGACCATGAAAAATAGGGAAGAACTTAGGCTCAGAGGTCTGGCCAAGAGTGAACATCAGCTTATGCTCCTCATACTTTGGGAATATATGTAATATTGACATATTACAAGATGGAGTGGGACTCCCAAGTCAGTGTGTGCCTTGCCTTGCTAATGTGGGGGTGGATTCTTTGCAGGGAGTGTTCAACAGGTTGGAGGAGGGTGCTTAGCCTGCTACCCTCTTCCCGTACATAGCCCACCAGGTCAGTTCAGTCCTCCCATACACACCTGCCCAAGGCCTAACAGAGAACATAAAACACTTTGCTCATCCACATGGAGATGAGTTGCCATACTGGAACTCTGACCTGTGCGTTTCTCAGAGGAGTTGCTTCACACTCTGTGTGTGCATCATGCAGTTAAATAAAATCAGCTGAACATACGTTTTCAACCTAAAACCCTGATTATTGTCTTGGTAGGACCGGCATTTTCCTCCAGAGATGCTCTCAATGGAGATTTTGCATCTTCAGCCATTCCTGAAGTGACCGTATCAGCGTCCAAGAAACAATCAGAACTTGAAGAGACTCTTCCACCTTCTTCCTGAATCTATAATGGGATCAACTTTCTCTAAGTAATGCTATGCAAAAGCTGCTGTAATTCTACTATTGTTGTAGGAGAGTAGTTAGTTCCCTGTGTGAAGGATTTCTCTGCACTTTATAGAATAATGTAAAAATTAACTTTGAAGCATATTTTATCTTTATATAGTTTATTTGCAAGAGTATTTTCCTAAAAAGAAGACTTCTGCTTGTGCATTTTTAACAGATAGATATGTACCTTTGTAAATGTAGCTCTTCTTTTTACAAGGTGTGACAGGCAAGCAGCCCGGTTGTGATACTCCTCACCTTGACAAAAAGGGTGAGATGTGGGGTGAGGAGAACTTGTGCCATAGACCCTGGCTGCCCCCTTGATCCTACAATTGCTGTGCAGGCCCAGTAGCCCTGGGAGGAGAAGTGAAGGGAAGCAAGCATGGCTACCACTGGCGGGGTGGGAAGGGGCACTTTTCATTTCGGAGGAAGTCTTTCTTGCATTTAGACTGAGACAGTATTCCTGAAATTGACCCTCTTGGCATTGAGCATTCCCCTTTTTAAAAGCAGTGGTGTGCCAAAGGGCACAATTTATGGAAATTTAGTTATAACTTAATACCTTAAGTCCCCTTGAAATCAGTGTCCTAAGGACATGCTGAAGGCACACCCAAGCCAAAATAAAGCACTTTTAAATCCCATTCTTTTTAATGAGTGAGAAATATGCTCATTGAAGTCAGTGCGATTTTACAGTGTCTAGTTTTCCTGTTATGTGCAGTTTTGTTTTTATAACAACAGGACTTGGAAGACCTGTATTTCTCTAGATTGTACCCCAAATTTAGCTGATCAAAAGTAATGGATGAGTATGCAGTGTTTTTCTCAATGCATGTATAAATTACCTCGTTACCAGGCATTAAACCATATATGGGCTGAAGGTTATTTTACCATTTTTAATTTTATTTTTTAATATTTTATTTGGAACACAAAATGTTTGCTCATTATTACTGGATAGAGGGAAGAGAGATGGGAGTCCTGCTTAACTCCTGGTGCGGGGGTGCATCACTAAATGCATTGTAGCACTGCTTTTGAGGTCATCAGGCATCATCCAATCAAAGTTAAGCACTTAAAAGTCTGACTGATTTCAGTGCATGCTTCCCTTTCTCCTGTTTTAGTGAATGGGACTAAAAAATGCCTGACAATGGCGGGGTTGTCACTTAAAAGCAATTTGTCCTTGATCAATACATCTTTTTACCAAAGTGTTATTTTAGCGCCAGTTTCTGAAATGTGCTCTTGAGCTGCCGTTGTAATGTATTCATATTTGCAGCTATACGTTTATTTATGATGTATTTATACCAAAGGGGGAGGGTGGCTTTTCTCATTGTGAGTCCTATAACTTCAAAATAGCATATACGTATGGCAGTCTTCCCCTCTGAATTAACTTGGTGTCAAATATGAATTTGTCTCTAGTAGAACCAAGAACTGACTCTAATAAATTGTATAACTTAGCCTGCACCTGTTGTACATTATGGGCCCAGTTCATCAGAAACCTCTCTTGTGCAGGCCCTGGTTTCCTTTCCTTTCCTTTCCTTTCCTTTCCTTTCCTTTCCTTTCCTTTCCTTTCCACGAAAGCAAAGAAAACGTATGCAGCTTAAATTTCAGCAAGGTTTGCACAGATGTTTTTGAAGAATTGTGCCCAAGTTCTTAGTGTTTTGAAATGTAATTATTTTGGCTTGTTTTTGTATTCACTTTGAGAGAAACTTGGTATATAATGTCTCGGCCATGGAGCACTTTTTAAAAAAAATAAAAATTGCTGTTGTTTTTTTTAGAAGTTACATAAGTGTTCAATAAATACATTTTTTACAGTCAAGCATGCAAAACTTTTTTTCTGGTCCAGTATTACTGTTCAAGAACTATATCATATGTCTTTGGTTGATACTAACAACCAAATTGCACTTGTGGTCTCAGTCCTGTTTTATCGATGTATCTAATATATTTCTGTACTATCTTTCTGTTAAAGCAGCTTACAGTTTTCAAATACTGCAAGACCCAAATGTTCCCCCCAAGTATAAGTATAAGGCTGCTGACGGTCCCTGCAGTGGCTGAAGGGGCCTCCATGAATAAGTGCAAGAGCTGGCCTGCATGGATGCCGATCGTCCTTCAGGTCTCTCGGGTCCAAGTACAACAGGAGGTCGAGCCTGGAACGAACTGTTAACCAGTGAGGCATTTAAGAAAAGGAGAGGGATGTCCCCAGTGACTGTTCCTGACCAAACGCTGTAGCTGGAAATGTCAGCAAGCTCAGAATATTAGGTTGAAAGCAGCCATCTTTGGAAGCAGCCCCTCCTGTGCAATGCAGGGCAGAAGTCTAATCTCCAGGGAATGGTTAGCTGTGGCTATATGCCATCACCACAGAGGGGACTATGGTGGGTTCACTCGCCTAGCTGGCGAAAGGTGCCTGGCCATAGACGGCACAGGGGCCTTTCGTAATACACTTGTAGTTAGGAACTGGACTACAATCCTTCTGAGCAATATTAAACCACATGGAGTGCAGCCCCAGGCACCTTTCCTCAAGCACTCATCAAGGTATCCCACCTGTCCTACTCTCTCAGAAATGGGTACATTGTGTAACCAGCAGCTGGGATCACTGTTGGTGCTTATAACTGTCATTTCAAAAACTATCCGGGACAGTTTCTCAAGTGGTTTTCAGTTTATGGGCCCATCTAGTGATCTGGTCATGGCAAGGGAAAAGTGCAAATAGCCCTGCAGCCATATCACCAACCTCTTGCTGGCTGAGAATAACATCCGGCATGGGACTGACAATTTGGACTGGGAGACTCCCATATTTGTCACAGCCAATCTGGACCCCCCCCCCCCAATAACTCCTAGTACAAGTACTGAAATATTCCAGAACAAAACACCTGGCTCATTAACACCCAAGCACAACACCACCTCTGCCAGCCCAGTGAGACTTAAGGAGCAGAGTGGCTGTCATCCTAACAGAACCTACAATCTGGCCTAAGTGCCAAGCAGAACTCCTCAGCTTTGCAACCCTCGAGACAACTTGGCGGCCATGGAATTTGCGTGGTCCGTTGCAGTTCCTGTTACTGCCCACTGAGTGACAGCTGCACGGAGACAGCAGCTGAACATACTTGAGGGATTAACCCTTCCTAGCTTCTTTCCCCAGGAGTTAAGCTGGACAAGCCTGTTCAAGCACAACATGGTCTAGTGGGGAAGAATGGGAGGGAGATATCCATATGCTTAGGAGAAAGCCAAGTGCTTTAGCACCTAGACACCTTGCTCCAAACAGCCCCGGTCATTTGACATGGAGTGTTATACATCAGTCGAGAATAACAAAGGGAAAGGCAGTGGGATGGACTGGAGTCTGTTACTGGAGGGTGTGCTTAGAACCCTGTTTTGTTGTACTTGTTAAGGGGTGACTGCCAAAAAATTGCTAGTTGTATGTATCTATTTTGACTGCTTGGCCATAGAGAAAATGCTTATGTGTATTTGATCATACTCTTCTGAACTCTGTCCCACTTTCTTTATTGATAAAACTCAAGCTCCAGCACTCTTTTGTGCCTGTTTTGTTCTCCCAAACCAGCTATATTCTAAGCCTGATTCAGGCATTTCTCTGCACGTCTTGTATGCTTACACGTGTATTGATGGCGTTATATGTAATAATACTCATGCATGCTACTCAGATTCAGATATTGTAGACATTTGGTGTCTATATCCTATCAGATGATGAATCCATGAAGACTTCTCAGGTATTTTCTTCAGTTTAGCCACTCTTCATTAATGTTGATGTTTTCGTTGATACATGCATGATGTTGGGGCTTAATATGCAAACAAAACTGGAAAAAGAGATCATCTTTGGTGATTTTTCTTGTAACTTGGGCCATTTTATCATGGCTGTTTTGTGTCGCACAAAAAGTTTCAGTGGCTTTGGCCAATGCTAAGGTTTCACAGGACATATGGCAGTTCTGTGATGAAGTGGACAAAAGGGACCCTCTGGTTCCAGATATTTCCTCTGGACATCCATTCTTTTTACCTTTCTTGCCTCTGCTTCACTTTAAAATTAAGAGTGCAAATACTTAAGCATTTAGCACTACAAGCTACACATTGTAAAGAACCTTACATACTAACTTTAGGCTTGATAAAACACTGCACTGATCCTGTCTTCAGTGTGCTGACCCTACTCACCACAGCATCCATTCACTTTCTCTGCCTTTTAATGTGATTTCTTATCCATTTTTTGGGTCTTGTTTCTGCTGTTCCCCTGCAGTCTTTCTAAGCCGGTGCCTTAACACTTCTTTGTAGTTTGTTCATCCTATCCAAACAGCCACTCACAGGTGGGACTTCTGATTTGTCCCTCTGACTCGATCTGTTTCAGTTCTATGGCAATAGTTCTCATTTCTCAAAGGCACAGGCAAGAGACAGGACTTGCCTTTAACCCACCAGATCCTAAAGCTGAGCTCAGGAGACATGCTCTGGATGGAGTCATGTCAAGTTACAGCATAATATTCAGAGTATTTTCTGCCATAAGTCACAGTCAGTATCTGTGCTTTTAAAACAAACCAGTGTTTGTAAATTGCAAGCCCCTTTCTCCCACCCTTCCTCTAAGATGTTTGCCCCAGACATGCCACTGATTCTCCCATATGCTCCTCACACTATGCTAATAGAGCCATCCCTTCTTTTCTGTTCCTCCTTGGTGACCTTTGTGTAGGGTGGCCCGGTGAGAAGAAGGAAGGCTAGGCACCCTTTGTGTTGGTGTAAATGTAAAAGAAAAGGGAAAGTTCCATTGTGTAGACACACAGAAATTCAGAGTGGGAATGCAGCTGTCAGAAAGAAAATAACCAGAATGAAGCCATGTTGAGATGCAGGTAACATGCTTTATTTCAAAGGAACAATACTATCTCAAGGAGGTTCAACAAAACAGCTAACTGTACTTATTACTACTACATAAATTAATTCAAATTTCTGTTCAGGGCAAAATGTGATGTTATAGCAACAGTTTTAACTTTTCTTTAAACTGTGGTTCAAACCTTAGTTGCCTGGAGTTGAGAGTATCTAGCAAAGTCCTACTGCTACCACACAATCACTGCATCCTAGGAACCTCCAAGAGTTGGTACTGCTTCTGCACCTGAGTACCCAAACAGCTTTGTGAATCAAAGGGATGGCCAGGTGATGTTGCTTTATGGTAAAGCTGTTCAGTGCAGTCAGTGTGGCAGAAACAGCACATTAACAGGTGGTGAACAAAATGCTGGCCGCTTGCACTTTGCTCAAAGTATTGTGAATCAGTCATGAACAAAATATAGGTTTGACGCTGATCAGAGGGAACATAAGATATTAAAGTGTGGCTTACAAGGAGGGTATTTGCAAACCTCACCAATGCCTTATGTTTCTGATTCAAAATCTTTTCGTGCACGAATAAAGAAACCGTGCACAGCATAATCTCTTAGGTGTAGGTAAATAAGTCTTCAACAGGGAGCCTCTCTACCTGTTGAGGCATTCTTAGACATCAACACTCTGTTGAGGCACAAATATTAGTTAAATGTTGAGCAGGGTATTCGTTCCCTAAGAAACTTTCTCCTACCAACAGTTCCAAAAGTTACATTTTAAAACGTCATAAAATAAATGGTACAAATCCCCATAACCGTTATCTTCGGCTATATACAGTATGTACATGTCAAATGAAAAATTGTTTCAAAGTCAAACAATAATGACTATAAGTCATTGTGTATTTCTTTGGACATTGCCTGGCTTAGGTAGGTATAAAAATATTTCTAATATATATTTACAGATCTGTTATTTAAGTCCATATAAATCACTTGCCAAAAAGTCAAGTGCAAATAAAATAGGTCATGTCTTCTAAATGGATCGAATGTTAATATTCACAGTGGCAGAGTCAGTGCCAAAATCATTTTCTAAATTCAGGGTATAGAGGCCGCCATCATTTTTTTGCACATCCATGATAATGAGGGTGGTTAGATCGTCACTTGTTTCAATGTGGAATCTGCCACCTTGACTAGAAATGTCTTTGCCTCTGCAGGACCATGTTATTTCGGGAGAAGGGTCACCAGAGAAAGCACAGGAAATGGTGAGAACTTTTCCTTCCTCAATGGAGATATCATTGGGAAGAGCTTCAATTTTGGGTGGGATTCCTTGGCAAAACAGGAAAAGAAATGTCAAGTTAGTTCTTCGCGGAAACAGCACTTTCACAGCAAAAGGTGTCGTTCTGGATATTGTGGGGAGGGGGTACTCTAGCTCTACGTATAATTGTATTGCTCACCTCTCATACCAGATTTACGCATTCTACTAGTTGAACTCTCCAGTTGGGTCAGACTAGATTTCCCCATTATACTGCTGGAGCTCATCTCTACAAAGGATTCTTTCATGGAAGACATGCTTTTGGCAGACATGCTTGCAAATTTCATTTCAGTCATGCTGCTACTGCTGCTAGCGCTGAACGAAGCTTCTTGTTTAGAAGCAGACATTTGAAATGACTGTGAAGAGAAACTTTCCTGCATGCTTGCATCACCACTTGTCCTCAACACTACCTCTTTGGGAGGTTCTTCAATTAGAGCTGTGGAGTATAGCAGAACAGAGTTGGAAAAACCAATGACATCACATTGCTTGGTGAAGTCATGTGCTCTAGAAATTGGCATTAGGGAAGAGGAAGAGGAGACTGGCTGGTTGTTCAAGGAAAACTAAATTTGGTTATAATTTTTTGCTCAATAATGAATAAAATGCAAATACATTTGCTCCTTTAATTTTTCTTTTTATATTGTTAATTAGGAGGAAAAATGAGAGATAATTAACATTATTGAGCTAA